TACTCTTCCATGCCAGGCACTGCGATAATCTCACCGAATTCCCACAGCAGAGGCGCATTGTATCCTGTGCCATCGGGGACTGAGTTCCCGTGCCATAGGGTGAACCTCTGTTTTCTGGCTTCCTGTCTCTCTAAACAGAGGCACCCATGAACTGACTTCAGACTAAAGTTGGCCTTGGGGTGGGGGGGGGACAGTCGGGATAACTGAGTTGAACCTCAAGTGCCAACTGGGATGGATTGGGAGGGGCTGCCTGGGAAAGGATTTTGAAGTCACATGCAGGCTCAGCAAGCAAGTGCATGATCCAGTAGTGTCTTCCTCCGAGAGCAAGAGGTGGGAGGGAGGGGGTTCCACACATGCCACCTATTTGCCCACCCTTCACCCTGGGGGAACAAATAACATTTAAAGGGCCCAGTTGACTTAAATATTCCTTAATTCTGCATGTTAAGTAGCAGCAGCTCTGGGCGCCTGGGTGGCTCAGTCGTTAAGCACCTGCCTTCAGCTCAGGTCGTGATCCCAGGGTCCTGGGATCGAGCCCCACATCAGGCTCCTTGCTCAGCGGGAAGCCTGCTTCTCCCTCTCCCTCCACTTGCCAATCCTCCTGCTTGTACTCTCTCTCTCTGTCAAATAAATATAATCTTTAAAATCTTTTAAGGAAAAAAAAAAAGAAGTAGCAACTGAGAGAAGTTGGGAGAAGAAGGCGTTTCCGTCCAGTTCCACTGTGATTGAGTGGGCAAGGAGAACACTGACGCTGGACGGGCCAGATGGGTTGGGGGCTCCCTCCTCAGCTCCTCAAATCAGAAGCCACGCCTTGGGACTCAGAGCCCTGCTGCCCCCTTCGCAAAGCGAAATGACTCATGGGACAGCGTCTCCATCTACCAAGACTTCCCTTCAGCCCACTCCCCACAAACCCCAACCCCCCCCCCACCAAGGTATGTGCCCCAGCCTAGAGGGCAGGACAGACAAAATGCTCCCTCAGAAAAAGTGAGTGACTTGCTCACCCAGTGCACTGGAGAGTTTGAACAGCATGGCTGGCGGGGCAATGAGGCAACGGGACATTCCCTTTCCTGACCTTTGACCTTGCCTGCCACAGGAAGTGGGGGTCTCTTTCCACCACTTTTCTGTCTCCAGGGCTCAAGGGATGCCCCACCCAAATGCAGCACCCCCAAATCCTGAGCATCTTGGCCCGGATGGGGCAGAAACACCTGAAATCCCTGGTTGGAAACCCAGCTGACATGGGTGACCCTGGGCAACTCATCCTGTGGGAGCCTGTTTTCTTGTCTGTTAAATGGGGAGAGACGACCTACTGCATTGGAACTTTGTGAGAAAATGTGTGTAAAATATCTGGTACAATGGAAAGTTTCTTTGCCCCCTTGTCACATCCCCTCAACGGGCTCCAAGAAGAACTAGAGGTTCCCGCCCCCCAACAAGCCCAACTCCTCTCCAGGGGAAGGAACCCCCTCCCCACCCTCCGAACCGGGCTGGGGGCTGCGAGCAGGTCTGGCTCCACCAGGGGGCGCTCCCTCCCCAGCAGGCGTGCCCTCACCGCCCTGTTCCCGTCGAGAGGGACCACCAGCTCGCCCGGGGGGGAAAAAGTCATGGAATTATGCGAGACACATCCCAATCCCTGAAACCTTTTTAAAATTGTTTAATACGATTTAGAAATTATGTCTGAGAATTGAGGAAATCTGATAGTTTTTTTGGTTTTTTTTGTTTTTTTTTTTAAAGATTTTATTTATTTGACAGAGAGAGACACAGTGAGAGGGAACACAAGCAGGGGGAATGGGAGAGGGAGAAGCAGGCTTCCCGCCGAGCAGGGAGCCCAATGCGGGGCTCGATCCCAGGACCCTGGGATCATGACCTGAGCCAAAGGCAGACGCTTAATGACTGAGCCACCCAGGCGCCCCAATCTGATAGTTTTTAAAAGCTCTTGAAATAAAAAGGGGAAACAGTTTCGAAGGAAACCCGCGGTGAGCAGCGCAGAGCTCCTCCCCCGCCCACGGCAGAGGCGCCCACGGCTAGCTCGGCCATCAGGGCCTGCAGTCCTCTGGTCCCGGCCCCCCGCTGCCGGCCCGCCCCCATCCCGGGATCCCAGAACCACTCCTGCCTCTGCAGTGCGTCCCCGCGAGGCAGCCGGTCGGAGCTTCTCGAGACAGCCCTGAGTGCTTTGCACCTTTTATTAAGGTGCCCTCAGGGCTCCCAAGAGAAAAAAGCCCCGTGTGACGGGCCCCTCAGTGTCTCTCCCCACGGCTCCTCCCTCCTCTGTTCACCATCCTCAGCCACGCTGGCCTCCAAAAAGGCAGATTCATTCCCACCTGGGGCCTTCTTCCCTGGCCGTTCTCTCTGCTGGTGAGGAAACAGGCCACAACGGCCAGACGCCACTGTTCAGTACGAAAGCCCCCAGGTGACCCTGGTCCAGGCATCTACCCTCCCTGGGCCCCAGGCTGCCCACTGCTGTGCTGGACTCGTGCTGGGTGTGATGCATGTCTGGGGTGCAGGCAACACCCTGCTCCCCAAGCACAGGACACAGATGGTGCTGTGCCCACGATGAGCTCAGCCCACAGAACACCCAGCCCTGGTCAGGCCTCCGGAGCAATGAGACCCCTAGCCCAGCTCCCAGACCCTCCTCACTGCCCCACACCCAGGCCTTTGCCCCTGTGGTTGCCCATGACACTCCCACCAGCCGATCCAAGACCTGCCCACCCTTCCCGACCCCGCTCAGGATCCACTCAGCACAGAATCCTAAAAGAAGCCCAGATACCAGAACCAGGTGGAACCTCAAGGCCCCCGGTCCTCTGCCCCTTCCAAGCAGCCACTTGGGGCTCACAGACAGGGTCTGCAGTCCCCCACTGGGGAGGGACACTCCACAGTCCATCCAGGGCTGGCAAATAGAGAACATGGAGACCCAGAGGGAAAACCAGGGTGAGGTCAATCTCAGAGGACCTCCTGGGGGAGGGAGACTTTGCGCTCATAGTTATGGGTATTTACTGGACAAATAGTTATCCAACACCTGCTATGTGCCAAGTACTATGTCAGGCATAGGAACTGTGAACAAGATAGACATGGTCCTGCCCTGGGAGAGGGGGGGAGGGGCACAGTGGGAACTAGACACAGAAATACTGTGGTGAGAATAAAGCAGGGCAGGGGTAGAGAGCATGCAGGGGGATCAGGCACCTGAAAGGTTATTTGGGGAGTGATGAAGCTGAGGCCGTTTGAGCCAACAGAAGCCCTTCTCAGGCAGAGCAGACAGCAAACACAAAGGTCCTGGCTGGCTCTGGACTAAAGGCCCCTCCTCCAGGAAGCCACTTCAGATGGCTTCTCCTGATCCACACTGCATCTGCACTCTGTCCCGCCAGCTCCGCCTGCCTCCCCCTGGGGGCCCAATGCTTGTGCTCAGTAAGATCATCTGTTGGATAAACCAGGGAGAAGATGCATCCACACTGCAGAGGGGTGGTCTGTGTCCCCAGGAGGCAAAGGCTGGGTGTTCTTCATTCTGGCATCCCCAGTGCTCAGGGAAGTGCCGGGCATACAGCAGGTGCTCAGTAAGTGTTGAACAAGTGTGAAATAGGGAAGTGATGCCAGAAAACAAGGCCAATGATGGCTTTTCTCTGAGGACAAGGCTGTCCCCCCCCCCACTCCCCTCTGTGCCCTCGTGCCCCATCTCCTGGTGGAAGGACACCCACCCTCAGTCGGCCCGTGGGGCCATGACTCCTCAGCCCAGCCGGGCCCAGGAAAACATTTCTGTTCCACTGGAGATTAATGTCTGTTCCTTTGTCGGATTGTCGGTGGTGCATGGTTAGGGGGCAAACCAGATGCACGTGCCCTCCAAGAGCGGCTTGGCAGTGGCCGTCCATCCTGGAGAAGGCAACCCAGCGAGGGGCTGGACACAGCCGTGGGTGTGAAGTACGAGGAGCGAATGAGTGCGCAAGAACTGAGGGTGTAAGTGCGTGTGCATATGAGGTCCGCATACGTGTGTGCAAAGACAGGAAAACATCTAGAGGAAGATGCACCAAAGTGATCTCTGGGAGATGGGATCCAGATGGGTTTTATTGGCTTTTCTGCTTTTCACTATTTTCTTGAGTTTTCTACCCTCAGCCTGTGCTACTTTTAGACTCAGAAGAGAGCTAAATATAAGTAGCTTTTTTAAGGCCATTGATGCAGAAGGCAGAGAGCAGGCAGGGAAGAGCCTGGTGCGGCCGGGCCTGAGGTGAGGAGGGGCGCTCTGGGGCTCAGGGAGCACAGGCGACCACAAGACAGGACACTGGGCCACCAGCCGCAGCTTCCTCACTCACCAACTCCAGTGTGACACTGACCTCCAGTCCCTCGTCTGGGTTCTAAGCTCTTTCTGACCCTGATGCTCCAGAATGATCTGTCCCCTATCCCATCTAGGGCTCAGGCCAGGAGAGGCTGGGTGTGAGCAGCAGGAGAGACACATCACTGTAGGTGGTGCTTCTGGGCCTGGGATTCTGCATCAGGGGAACCTGCCCGCTGGAGGGGCCGTCGGCGACCTCCCATGGCCAGAGACCAACGCTCACAGTTAGCTGCTGCCCGGGTAGGAGGTGAGACTCCGACGGTAATTTTCTTCAGTGCCTGCGGTGTACCTACACCGAAACATGTGGGCAGAGGCAGTAAAATGCTGCTGTAGCAGGGCTGGGTCCTACTGGGGGGAGGGTTCACCGAATGGCAGAGTCAGGTGGAAGGTTGACCGGAGGTTGACCTGTCCTGACCCCTAGTGTCCAGCCAGATGGCCCCTAAGTCAGGATCTCAGCTCCTAAAGGACCCTGAATCTCCCTCCAGGCAAGGGCTCTGCAGAGGCCTTTAAGAAAATCCCCTGAGGCCTGGTAATCGCCACATCCCATTCCCCCCCACCCCTCCCCCATAGCCTCCCCCCCCCCCCCCCCACTCCGGGCAGAGGCCTTGGTCCTGCCACTGCTTTTACCACTGTCCCACCCACCCTGAGTTCTCCACCCAAGACGCTGCCCAGAGCAGCACACAGTGGAAGGATCTAGGGCTTTGGCTCAGAAAAACCTGGGTCCAAAGCGACAGAGCCAGGCCAAGGTGCCCTCCACCACACTTCGGGGCCTCCCTTGCAGGAGGGGCAGACAGTTTGTAAATGCAGAGTTCCCTATGGCGAGTGCCTGATGGCAGAGGAGGACAGACACACAGCAGGGCAGGAGACACACAGCCACCACCACCTCCAGATGGCTAGCCATGAGGCTGAACCAAGTTGCAGAAGCAAACAGCTCAGCCCAGCGGCGTGACCCACCAGCCGCATCACCACGGAGCCTTCGAGGTCCCGGCCCTATGCTTCACCTGCCAGACGGCTGCCCCAGGTATCCTGGGGGAGGGGACTCTCCCCTGCATCCAGCCAGGGCCTGGTGGGGGGGGGACGTGGCCCAATGTCAGACACAGCCTGGTGTCTAAAGTGGCAAGGGACACACAACCCAACCTCCTGGCCTATGGGACTCCGATATCTGCAAATATTTATTTTCTTCTCCAGGACTCTGGTAAAGAAGGAGGTCAATAGAAGAAAGTCTCTACCTTCTGGGTCTAGCAGGGGTAATAAGCCAGGGACAGACAGGACGCCCATGGGCCTGGGCCTTGCGCTGGAGAACTGGAGAGAGGGTGGGCCACCTTAGAACCGGATGCGGTAGCTCTTCTTCGTGGAGGACCGAAGGGTGGCCTTCAGAGGTCTTGAGAGCCGTTCGACGGATGAGGCAGCAGGCATGGGGGTCGCCGACCTCTGCACAATGTACCTGGATGCCTGGGACAGGACCAAGGGGGAGGCCTGGAGGTACGGGGAGCTGGACAAGGCAGACTCCAGGAACCCGGAGCCTGAGGCTGTCAGGGTGAGGGTGTCGCTGAGGGAGAGGGAGGTGGCAGACGAGCTGGTGTCCCTATCAGGATCCGGGTCCTTGTGGCTGTGATGGGCTGCCAGGTGGCTGTGCGGGCCCTCCTGCTCTAGAAGGTTGTGAAGCACTAGGTCAGGTGTGTGGGTGGGTGACAGTCCGTTGAAGTGCAGGCTTTGGTAGATCTGAGGTGAAATCTGGGGGGGAAACAGAGCAGGGGAGTTTGGGTGTTTCACTCAGGACCAAGAGCAGGCTCACAGGAAGCATGGGCCCTGGGGTCTTCCCGGACAAAAGAAGTCTCCAGAAGTTTCCAGAGGTTTTTTCTCTCCACAGCCTGCTGGCACTGCAAGCTCACTGTATGCCAGGCCTGGCACCTAGCCCTTCTCCTGGGGCTGGCAACAACACTTTGTGGTCGGCGCGGGACTGTCCTCATCTTTAGAATGACGCCTCAAGCGGGACCCGAGTGGGGCCCCCACCTCTCCTGTCGGCACTCACCAGGCTGCACTTGGAGGCCCATCTCTAGAAGGCGGGAATGCTGAGCAGCTCCCCCTTCTCACTGACCTCTCCCCGCCCAGGACAGAGGGGTTCTCTCGCTTTAAGTGCCCACCACCGAGGGAGGAAACGCTAATGGCAGACGCCTCTGGAGGAGGCTGGAGTCTGCCCAGGCAAGAGGCAGGATGGGACTCATAGCTGTCCTGCAAAATCCCCGGCTCCCTTTTTCTTTCCGCAGAGGGCCCTCCCATTCCCTCCATCCCTTACATGGCACCAGGAGACCCTGTGTCTGCTCTGGAGCGGCCCACGGTACCGGAGGCAGACAAACAACCAAACGCAGAGCCACAGACTCTGGGAAATTCTTTGAAGTCTATCAAAAGTACCAGGCCCACAGAGAACCTCCTCCTGTAGGCCCGATGAGGTGTGTCCTCAGAGACAAAACCTGTGTCCATGGCCTCAACCAGGGCCTCGGCAAATACACCAGCCAGACCAGCTTCATCCCAGAGCTGCCTGTGGCCCAGCATTCTGTTAAGGGACTGACGCTCCCCTGTCCCCGACTGGAGGGCCCTGTGGGCACAAGGGTGGCTGTGGATGGGCTGTCAATGGAGAGGGGCTCCCCAGCCTCCCACACCAGCATCTCAGGGAGCAAGCCCCGCCCTGCCTCACCTGGTGCTTCATCCAGTCATACTGCACGTGGGTGGACAGGAGTCGGGAACTCCGCGACCGGTCCTTGGGCTTGTAGGCTGCTCCCACAACTTTGCTCATCTGCGGGCACCACGGGCGAGAGTGAAGCCTCGGGGCTGACCATGGTGGGCCCCTCTCTGCCCCTGGGTCCCCCACGCAGCCTCACCTGCTTGCCCTTGGACTCCCACTTGCACCAGCTGCGCTCAATGTCTTCCGGGGAGCGCTCCCCAGCCCACGGGGACGTCTGGGTGATCTTCTGCAGCTTAGCCCACGCCTCAGCCTCAGCGTCTGCCTTCCCATTCAGGAGAGCCATGAGCACCACCTGCTCCCGCCGCTGGTACACCAGGGCCTCGGCCAGAGCCCGCTCCTCCCTGATGTAAGGGGCTTTCCTTCATAAGATGCCCTCACACCACAAGGTGGGGCAGCCTTCCCATGGACCCCAAGAGGGCTTCTCCCTCCTGGGCCTGATCCTCTCCCAAACTTCTCATCCCCCCCCTGAGGCCCTACTGCCCGGGGCCCATCATTAAACAAGTGTCCAGGGAATGTTAGCAAAGCCCAGATTAAACTGACCCCCGACAAGTCCTACAACCTTTCCTACCACCCTGTGCTTCCCCCCTCCATGGAGGCCCGACACCCCATCTTGACCTTACCTGGGCCGCCCCTTGTGAAATATTTAAACATCCTTTCCCTCCCAGGGAAACCCTGCCCCTGCCTTGTTTGCTAACCCCACACGGGACTGTAGAGACATATGCCTCAACAAGAGGAGAGGAGCCCCAAGGACGGTACGGGTGCTTGGAAAACTCCTACTTACACATCAAGACCCAACTCCAAAAAAATCTCTTCTCCTATGAAGCTTTTTTTACTTGATCCACCCAATGAGGTGACTGTCCTCTGAGCCATTCCTGTTCTTAGCAGTCCCATCGCTTACCATATAAAACAGTAGCCATGAGTTTGCATGTCCGTTTCCCCAAGGGGACTGTAAGTTCTCTGGGGCAGGACCTGTGTCTGGATTGTTTGTGATCTCTAGGAACTGGCACAGAGTCTGGTACTCAGCAGGACCTCAATAAATATTTCTTGGAATGACCCCAAATTCTCTGAGACTTGGTCAGGAGTAAGAGCGGGACATGGGTGGAGGAGGAACCTGGAGAGGAAAGGAGCTGCAAGCAGCAACCTGACTTCCCCATGAATCAGGGAAATAACACAAGCGTCTGGTCAGGACCAGAGCCCCGGGCACTCTCCTACCAGGGACCTCTAGCCACATAGAAATGGCCTCGGCAGGGAAGCCAGCCCTGGCTAATCTGGACCCAGCTCTGGAGCCGGGGCCCATCGAAGGGCTTGCCTTTTTGCATTTTCTGCTGGTTTGTACCATTCAAACTTTCAGCTGAGCTGGGCTCATAGGTCATAGATGCCACCGTATAGTCAAGTTTCCTGCAGGTCCCAAGCCTCTGGCTTTCTGAAGGCCCTCCCCAAAGATGCCCAGCACCACCCAACCCAGATGAGGCTGCCCAGGACCTGCAGGGAGGCTCCCAGCATCCCCCTCCTTGGGCTAACTCACTGCAGCTCTGGACGGAAAGCCTTCTGGGCAGCGTCGGTAGAGTGAGCCTCCTCCTCTGAGCTTTTTCTCACTTCAAGATCACCAACGATCTGAACATCCTGCAACCTTTTCCAAACACTCAGGCCAAATGTCCCTGTGATTTAACCAGACCCAGCTCAGTAACAAGAACTGGTCTAGCTCCCCTCCTCTGATCCTTCTGCCCTTCACCCTCCACCCTCAAGGGTCAGCTAGAAACCCCTTACCCTCGGCCTGCACCTCATGATGCTTACCACACGCCAGGCATTATGCCGGCTACTCAACAAATACCTGAAGGAACCAGACACTAGCCCTAGAATATGCTTGGTGCACAGGCCAAAGCATCCTGCCCCCCGTATAGGCTTCGGAGAGCCATTCTGGCTGGCAGGATGGATCAAATCTAGTGGAGTTCCACCTGCATCGCTGTGTTTCCCACAGGACATTTGCTGAGCACTAGGGGCACTGAGGGCCTGGAAGTTGGGCTAGACAGACAGAATGAGGTTGTTGGGAGACAAAGTCCCACTAGAGGAAGAAGCCTTTAGCAAACACAACAAACTTCACCCTTGAGACAGACTTCACGACGGAAGACAGAAGCAAACCGAGTCTACCGAAAGCGGCAGTCCGGACCCAACCCAGCTCAGTTTCTGACTGCAGTGAGATGAACAGCCCACTACAGAGGAACGAGCACATGCACTGGAGGAAAATCATGCCAATTTCAGTCTCTGTGGTTCTTTTATACAAAGTCCAGAAAAGTTTCCGGTTTCGTTTTGGATTTGGTTTTAGTTTTGGTGGTGGTGAGGGGGTTGTTTTTGTTTTGGGGGGTTTTGGAGGGGTGGATTTTTTTATGCATATAACATGTAAAAAGACAGGAAAGTATAACCAATAATAAAAAAAAAAGAAATAGGCATTAGAATCAGACCCACAGATAACTCTGACATTGGAGCTATGAGATAAAACTTCAAAATAACTATTATAAATAGTCAAATAACAGAAAATATGAACAAAGTGAAGGAAAAGAAGAATTTCAACAATGAATTGGAGTCCATAGGAAAGAACCAAATGGGTATTTGAGGAAAAAAAAATACAAAATTAAGAATTAACTGAATGCGGGGCACCTGGGTGGCTCAGTTGTTAAGCGTCTGCCTTTGGCTGGGATCAAGCCCTGCATCAGGCTCCCTGCTCAGCAGGAAACCTGCTTCTCCCTCTCCTACTCCCCCTGCTTGTGTTCCTGCCCTCGCTATCTCTCTCTGTCAAATAAATAAATAAAATCTTTTTTAAAAAAAGAATTAACTGGGGCGCCTGGGTGGCTCAGTCATTAAGCGTCTGCCTTCGGCTCAGGTCATGATCCCAGGGTCCTGGGATCGAGCCCCGCATCGGGCTCCCTGCTCCGCAGGAAGCCTGCTTCTCCCTCTCCCACTCCCCCTGCTTCTCCCTCTCCCACTCCCCCTGCTTGTGTTTCCTCTCTGGCTGTGTCTCTCTCTGTCAAATAAATAAATAAAATCTTAAAAAAAAAAAAAGAATTAACTGAATGGATTTAATAGCAGGCTGCATACAGAAGAAGACGGGATTAATGAATTGGAAGGCAGGTCAGCAGAAAATATCCAAACTGGAATGCAGAGATTGAAAAAAACAAAAAACAAAAAACAAAAAAACGGAGAGAACAGAACAGAATAGGAGAGATATATGGGACAGAGTCAAATGTCCTAACATACATGTAACTGAAACTCCACAATGGGAGGAGAGGGAGGATGGGAAAAAGCAGTACTGAAGAGATAATCTTTGACAAATTTTTTAAACTGATGAAAAATAGCAGCCCACAGGTTGAAAAAGATCAGTGAACTCCGAGCAGAATGAACACAAATAAAACCACACTTAGGCACATCATAGTCAAACTGCTGAAAACCAAAAGCAGTCAGAGAAAAAAGAAAAATTACCATCAAAGTATCAATTTATGGGGCATCTGGATGGTTCGGTCAGTTAAGCAACAGATTCTTGATTTCGGCTCAGGTCATGATCTCAGGGTCATGAGATCAAGCCCCATGTCGGAGTCTGCCTAAGCCGATTCTGCTTGAGATTCTCTCCCTTTCCCTCTGCCCCTCCCCACCCCACCCCACTCACATACTCTCTCTCTCAAAAAAAAAAATAAAGTATCGCCTGGGTGGCTCAGTCAGTTGGGCATCTGCCTTTGGCTCAGGTCGTGATCCCAGGGTCCTGGGATCGAGCCCCGCATCGGGCTCCCTGCTCCATGGGAAGCCTGCTTCTCCCTCTCCCAGTCCCTCTGCTTGTGTTCCCTCTCTCTCTCTGTGTCTCTCTCTGTCAAATAAATAAATAAAATCTTTTTTAAAAAAAGTAAATAAATAAAGTATCAACTTACAACTGACTTTTCAAAAGAAAATACAGAAACGAGAGATGATGGAAAAATCTTTTTTTTTTAAGTAATGAAAATAAACTTCCAGCTGAGAATTCTATGTCCAGTAAAATAGTCTTAACATTTTAAGGCAAAATAAAGATGTTTTCAGATAAATAAAAGCTTTAAGAATTAAACACTAGCACAGATGCCTGGGTAGCTCAGTCAGTTAAGCTACTGACTCTTTTTTTCTTTTTAAGATTTTATTTATTTGAGAGAGAAAGAGCATGAGCAAGGGAAGGAGCAGTGGGAAGAAGAAAGTAAGATTCTTGCACAAGCAGTGGTATCAGGTCAAGAGTGCGTATTATAATCTCTAGAGTAACCACTAAAGAATATTATAAAAACATACAATTAAAAACCTAGTAAAGGAATAAAACAAGATAATTGTTTTAAATACCTGATTAATCCAAAAGAAGGCAGAAAACAAAGAATAAAGGAACAAAGAGCAGAAAACAAATATCAATTTGATTGGACTAAATATCCAATTAAAAGGCAAAGATTGTCAGACAGGATGAAAATAATAGGACTCGGGCGCCTGGGTGGCTCAGTTGGTTAAGCGACTGCCTTCGGCTCAGGTCATGATCCTGGAGTCCCGGGATCGAGTCCCACATCGGGCTCCCTGCTCGGCAGGGAGTCTCCTTCTCCCTCTGACCCTCCTCCCTCTCATGCTCTCTGTCTCTCATTCTCTCTCTCGCAAATAAATACAATCTAAAAAAAAAAAGAAAAGAAAAGAAAAGAAAATAATAGGACTCAAAATAATGCTCCGCAAAAGAAGCACATTTAAATATAAGGACGGAGATAGATTGAAAAGTCATGTGGGCAAAAGGGTACAAACTTGCAGTTATAAGATGAATTAAGTTCTGGGAATCTAATGTACAGCATGGTGACTGCAGTTAACAATACTATATTGCATACTTGAAATTTGCTAAGAGAGTAGATATTAAGTGTTCTCACCACCAAAAAAAAATAAAGTAATTATGTGAGGTAATAGATGTATTAATTATCTTGATTGTGGTAATATTTCACAATGTACCCATATACCAAATCATCATGTCATACACTAAAAATGTCAACTTATTCAGTCTTTTTTTTTCAGTTTCTATTACTATGTCTTCATAGTCACTAATCTTTTCTTCTGTAGTATCTAATCTGCTATTCACCCTATCCAGTGTATTTTTATCTCAGATATTGTTGTTTTTAATTTCTAATTTCAATTTGGGTCTTTTTATATATATTTCAGTTCTCTCTTTAACATGCTGATGTTTTCTTCTACCTTTTGTGACACATGAAGTATATTCATAATATTTATATACATTATATAGTATAATATATCTATATTGTATTATATATAATTTATAATATTACAAATGTACTGTATATATTATATATAATTTATACTAATTTTGTATATTATTTTATTTATAATATATTATTATAAATTATACCTCAGGAATTACTATTCTTTGCTGCCTGCTGTCTAATGTCTGGAAACTGTTATATATATTTTGTTCATGCTTTTAGTCTTTTAAAGTGGGAATGTAAATCTGGTCCTTGTTACTCTGTCATGTTTTGAACCCACAGAAATGATAGGCAATAGAAACAGACCCAGAAGTGAACCAGATATTGGAATTATCAAAGACTTTAAAATAACTTTGATCAAAATGTTCAAGAATATAAAGTAGAAGATGAGGAATTTCATCATAGAGAGAAAGAAATTAAAAATAGAAAGTTTTTACGCATATAAGAGCTGAAATGCAAGGAAACCTAAGTGAACTAATTCAGAAAGGAATAAGCCTTTGATAAGAGACGAGAGACCACGGGCGCCTGGGTGGCTCAGTCGGTTGAGCGACTGCCTTCGGCTCAGGTCATGATCCTGGAGTCCCGGGATTGAGTCCCACATCGGGCTCCCTGCTCGGAGGGGAGCCTGCTTCTCCCTCTAACCCTTCCCCCTCTCGTGCTCTCTCTCTCTCATTCTCTCAAATAAATAAATAAAATCTTTAAAAAAAAAAAAAAAAAAAGAGACGAGAGACCAAGGCTGCTTTCAACCCTGACAGAGTAATGAGAGGAGGATGAACCCTCCATGGAGGAGGAGAAATCAGATGAGTCCTTAGTGAACTTTTAACAGCCTCACATGACATGACAGATTATAACCCAGGATGTTCCAGCCACAGGGCAAGTCTGCAGCTACCCGCCAACTCTTTCCCTCAGGCCTTCACAGGGTTTATGGTGGCCGTACATTGAAAGCTGGGGGCCAGGCAGAAGAGTTGAGAGACAGACCATGAAAGTACTAAGTGTAAGAAAGCATAAGATGCTTTTTATGTGATGGCTATATGGGTATGTATTTACTTTCTGAAAATTCACAAGCTGAACCCTTTTGGTTTGTGTGCTTTTCTTTATGTATGTTATAACTCAACAAGTTTATTTTTAAAAAGAGAAAGGAATGTGCCTTCTCAGATATATGATTTGCAAAAATATACACAGGCAAATAATTTCGGGTGGGTGGTGAGTGGGTGGATGGACAGTTGATGGATGACTGGACAGACTGCTGAACGGACAACTGGAAAGACTCACATCCTGTGATACTATATGAGCAGAGACAGCTTCTGTGGCCTGAAACCCCACCCCACAGGATATAAGGTTGATGCGAGCATAGGTTCTAACAGGGACAGGGCCATGATGGGCCATGTGGCATGGCTGACCTTCAGCATGACCCATACCAATGGTGTCACCGGAGAGTTTCCAAGCCTTGACGTCACAGTCCTGGCCAGCACTGACAACCAGCTGGAAGCTATCCACATACAGGATGTCTGCCACACTATCCAAGTGGCCCTTCCAGGTATTCAGAAGCTTGGGGGGAACCAGGGAAATGGTCTGGCCAGCCACGACCTGTAGGGGACAGTACAGGAGAACTACTTATACTGGAGGCAGTCGAGCCCTCTATAAGGATCCTAGGTCACAGTCCCCTGGCCCATGTCCCAGGGTTCTAGTTCTAGACATGTTCCCACATTAATTTAGGTAAGTCCTGGCACTTGTCTGGCCTTCACTGGTCCCTTTGGTAAAATCATAAAAAAGCATCTGCATTTGCTATATTGCTTACCAACTGCATCTATACAGATTATTCCATTTGAACATCATAACAACCTTACAGGATGTGTGAGTCCCACCATTTCATAGAGGAGAGAAGCGAGTCCAAAGCCACATAGCTAGAAAGTGGTGAGACTAGGACAAGAACCGGGTCTTCTTCTAAAATTATTCAGCTGGGCACTGGGAATAGAACAGGGTGAGCAAGGGAGTGATAGATCACATTCCTAATGAAAGGATGAACTCTACTTAACTGGAAAATGAGTAAAAATAATCAGGACTGTTTTAAATAAAACAATATTGAAAGGGGATGTATTTTTACCATATTCAAGTATGTTAAGTCACAATATAAAAATTTTAAACAGAACATGGGAGATGATAGAAAGCTCAGAAACCAACACACATTTACATAAAACATCCGTATGTAAGAGTGGCAGGAAAATTTGTGGTAATAGAGAGCATGACCCATAAAAAAGTGCTGGAATACCGGATAAACTATCAAGAGAAACTTCAACCATTGTTGTGTTTCTTACAACTAAAGAAACGCTAGGGCGCCTGGCTGGCTCAGTTGGCAGAGCATGCAACGCTTGATCTCAGTGTTGGGAGTTCGAGCCCCATGTTGGGCATGGAGCCTACTTAGAATAAACATTTTTAAAAAATTTAAAAAAACAACTAAAGAAACACTAAAAGGGTCAAAGAATTCTTTTTAATGAAACTGCAAAACATCCAAAAGAAAATAGGAGTATTTAGCTTACCTCTGAAAAAGAAAGTGATTGACAATGGGAAATACCACAATGGGAAGAAAAATTGGCTTGACTGGAAAAAAAAATTATAATTTTAAAATCATCATAAATAAAATTAAAAGGCAAATGACCAATTGGGGGGAAATATTGGTAATACATATGACAGATAATAAGTTAATATTTTTAATATGTTTAAAAAGGATTATACATCACTTACAAAAGATGGTTACCCCAATAGAAGAATGGACAGAGGACATGAAGAGACAATTCACAAAACCATACATGGCCAATAAAATGTCAACATCACTAATAAGAAAGATATCTTCATTAAAATACAAGAAAACCATTTGCATCTAAAAATCAGCCAAAGGTTTTTTTTTTTTTTCACTTCAAACATTTATTTATTGAACACCTTCTATAAGCAAGGCACTCTATCGACCCAAGGAAACCTCACTCGGATGAATACGGCTAATCATAAATACTTTATGCTGGCAAGGATAAAGCAAAATATTAGAAGTGCAAAACTATAAACTTTGGGAGTGCAGTTTGGCAGTACACAGTAAAGGCCTTAGAAAGATTTATGTTGCTTTACATACTATTTCCATGAGATAAATTACCAGATGTGCAGTTAAACAACTACAAATAACAACAAAAAGATTTGTGAAAAAGAAAAACTGCTCTATCATTTTTATAGCTTTTAAACACAGCTTTATTGAAATATAATTCACATACAATTTACCCATTTAAAGGGCTTGCTTCGGTGGTTTTTGGTATATTCAGAGTTTGCAACCACCATCATGATCGATTTTAGATCATTTCAGCATCCCACAGTTGGTGTAAGTGGAATCAGACAATATGTGGTCCTTTGTGTGACTGGTTTCTTTCACTTAGCATGTTTTCAAGGTACACGGTGCTATGGCGTGTATCCGTACTTCATTACTTTACTTATCCATTCATCCGTTGTGGACATGTGGGTTGCTTTCACTTCTTGGCTATTACAACTAATGCTGCTATAAACACCCACATTTAAGATTTTGTGTGGACACGTCTTCATTTGCCTTGGATGTATTGCTGGGTCATATGGTAACTCTATGTTTAACTTTCTGAGAAACTGTTAAACTGTTTTCCAAAGTGGCTGTACCACCTTATGTTCTTACCAGCAATGTTTGAGAGTTCCAATTTACCCACATCTTGGCCAACATTTATTATCTACAGCCATCCTAATGAGTGCGAAGTGGGATCTCGTTACCGTTTTGATATGAATTTCCCTAATTCCTAATGATGTTCAACATCTTCTCATATACTTATTGGTGATTTGTATATCTTCTTGAAGAAATGTCTATGTAGATCCTTTGCCCATTTTTAATTGGGTTATTTGTCTTTTTATTGTTGATGTGTAAGAATTCTTTGAATAGTCTGGATACTGGTTTCTTATCATATATATGATTTGCAAATATTTTCTTCTATTCTATATGTCACCTTTTCCCTTTTTTAATAGTATCTTTTGTAGGCCAAAAGTTTTTAAATTTGACAAAATTCAATTTATTTGTTCCTTTTGTTGCTCATGGTTTTGCATCATATTTAAGAAATATTGCCTAACCCAGAGTCATGCAGATTTCTCCCTATGCTTTCTTCTAAGAGTCTTATAATTTTAACTCTTCCATTTAGGTCCATGACCATTGAAGTTAATTTTTGTGTATGTTGTGAGTATGTTCTTCTCTCTGTTACATGTTCATTCTTCCGACGTGGATATCCAGTTTTCCCAGCATCATTTGTTTAAAAAGACTATTCTTTCCTCCATTTGATTGTTTTGGCACCTTTGCCAAAAATCAATTGACCATAAATGTGAGAGTTTATTTTTCCACTCTTAATGCTATTTCATTGACCTATATGTCTGCCCTAATGCTGGTACCACACTCTTTTCACTGTAGCTTCAGAGTAAGTTTTGAAGTTGGGAAGTGTGAGTTTTCCAACTCTGTTCTTTTTCAAGATTTTTGAACTATTCTAGGTCACTTGTATTTCCATAGGAATTCTAGAATCAGTTGTCAATTTCTGTAAAATAAGAAGCTGGGATTTTGATAGATTACACTGAATTAACTTGGCAAATACTGCTATATTAACAAGACTGAATCTTCCAATCCATGAACATGGAATATTTTTCCATTTATTGCGGTTGTCTTCAATTTTTTTCAACAGTGTTTTGAAGTCTTCATAATACAAGTTTTGCACTACTTTTGTAAATTCATCCCTAAATATTTTATTCTTTTTGATGCTACTGTAAGCTGGATGCCTTTTATTTCATTTTCTTGCCTACTTGCCCTGCTGGTAAAACATTAGAGGAAGTGGCAAGAGCAGACATCCTCATCTTGTTCTTCATCTTAGGAGGAAAAGTTTAATCTTTCACCATGAAATATGATAGCAGCTGCTTTTTGCTGATGGACTTTATCAGGTTGAGGAAGTTCCCTTCTACTCCTTGTTGATTGAGCATTTTTATCAGGAAAAGGTGTTGGCTTTTCTCAAATGCTGTTTCTGCATCTATTGAGATGATTATGTGTCTTTTGTTCTTATTCACGTAATATAGTATATTACATTAATTGATTTTGGATATTAAACCAACCTTGCATTCTTGGGAAGTCTCACTTGGCCATGATATGTAATCCTTTTCATATGTTGCTGGATTCAATTTGCTAGTATTTTATTGATGATATTTGCATCTATATTCACAAGAGATGTAGTTTTATTTTCTTATGATGTCCTTGTCTGGTTATAGTATCAAGGTAATATTGGCCTCATAGAAAACTATTTGGCAAGAATTCTTGAAGAATTGACATTAATTCTTCTTTAATTATTTAGTAGAATTCACCAGTAAAGTCATCTGTACCTGGGCTTTTCTCTGTGGAAAGTTTTATTACTGATTCAATCTCTTTACTTGAGATATTCAAATTTTCTATTCTTTAGATTTTCTTTTTTTTTTTTTTTTGAGCCCACTCTGGTAGTTCATATCTTTCTTTCTTTCTTATTTATTTATTTATTTATTTGACAGAGAGAGAGAGCACAAGCAGGGGGAGCAGCAGAAGGAGAGGGAGAAGCAAGCTCCCCAACAAGCAGGGAGCCCAATGCAGGACTCAATCCCAGGACCCTGAGATCACGACCCGAGCCGAAGACAGATGCTTAACCGACTGAGCCACCCAGGCGTCCCAGTTCATATCTTTCTAAGAATGTATCCATTTTCTATCACTTTTTTGATAATAAAAATTTTAAAAATGATCTAAAGTCTGACAATAAGTTAAATAAATGACTGTACCTCTATAAAGCAAATATGGCTTAATCATAAGAAAGTCTGATCTTTAAGAATGTTTGATAATATAGGAAATTCTAGTTACACACAATATAATCCCAGTTTGTTTAAAATATATCATTATAACATGGTCAAGAGCACAGGTTCTGGAGTCAGACAGACTTGGGTTTACTCCCAGATCCAACATCAGCAGTTGTGTGAACTTAACACAGGTCCTTCCAGCTCTGCAGTTTTATCTTCCTCATGGGAAAAGTAACATCTCCCTCACAGAGCTATCATGGAGAGCCAGTGAGAGAATACATAAAAGCACTTATCACAATTTCTTAAACCACAGTAAGCAGTAAATAAATGACACTGGAGTGCCTGGGTGTCTCAGTTGGTTAAGCAGCTGCCTTTGGCTCAGGTCATGATCTCGAGGTCCTGGGATCAAGTCCCGTGTCGGGCTCCCTGCTTAGTAGCGAGTTTGCCTCTCCCTCTCCCTCTGCCCCTCCCCCCCTCATGCTCTCTCTCTCTCTCTCTCTCTCTCAAATAAATAAAGAAAATCTTTTTTAAAAATGACACTTATTGTTGTTGTTATAATGATTGTATTAACATTACAGACTCCTCATCTATTAAACCCACGGGTGAGTAATTCCCAACAGATTTACTAAAACCAGACTAGACCTAGTTATCTTTGTGCAGAGATTCAAAAGGTACCTAAGACTGCAAGATGGCTATCAAAACCACAAGTGCATACTACCCCTTGATCTAGAAATCCCATTTCCAGGAATTTATCCTTCAGACATATTTTTCACACATATGAAACAACATTCACTATTCACTTTCGTTTAAGAACAAAAGATTGAGGGCGCCTGGGTGACTCAGTTGGTTGAGCGACTGCCTTCGGCTCAGGTCATGATCCTGGAGTCCCTGGATCGAGTCCCGCATCGGGCTCCCTGCTCGGCAGGGTCTGCTTCTCCTTCTGACCCTCCTCCCTCTCATGCTCTCTCTCATTCTGTCTCAAATAAATAAATAAAATCTTTAAAAAAAAAAAAAAGAACAAAAGATTGAAAACAACCTCAATTTCCCTTCAAAGGGAACTATATCATTAATATATCCTATGGCTTACTGCACAGCTATAAAGAAAAATGTACTCATATGCAAAGATAATATATCTCCAAGATATATTATGGAATAAGAAAAGCAAGGTGAGCACCAATGTGTATGGCATGCTACTTTCATGTAAAAATAAGGAGGAAATAACTTTAGACATTTCTCTTTGCATAAATAAATACTGGAAGAATCACCAAAAATCAATAGAAGTGAAACAAGAAGAACTGGTTTGGTGGGGGGGGGGCGGGGAGGAGACAGGAGTAGGACTTAGAGTTCTCACTATAAGCCTTCTCCACTCCCTGAGTTTTTAAATCTTCATTGATGTATAACATACATATAGAAAAATGTACATTCATAAATGTACCACTGTATAAATTTTTACATGCCAAACACAACTGCGTAGCCAGACCCAGATTATGAAACATTGTCAGCCCCCACGCCCCGTTCATGCTAGCCACTCCATGCTTTTGTTTTGTTTTGTTTTGTTTTGTTTTGTTTTGTCTCTTTTTGTACTTTAAACAGATGGAACTATAAAACTTACCATATATACTCTCTTAGTGTCTGACTTCTTTCACTTACATTGTTCAAATAATTACCCATTTTGTAATAAATAGTTGCAGATCATTCATTTCTAATGCCCGATATTATTCTGTACAGTGTGTATAGTGCAATTTATTTTTCAAGTCTACGTTGATGGGAATTTTGGTTATTTCATATGCAGAGTTATTACATATAGTAATTCTATTAATGTTTTTATTCATTATATTTTAGAGCATAGGCTTCTCTTGGGTATAAACCTAGAAGTGGAATTGCTGGATCATAGTGTAGACATATATTCAGTTCTAGCAATTACTGCCAAACAGTTCCCCAAAGTGATTATACCAATCTACATTCCTGCCAGCAATAGAAATTTCAGTTGACCTACATCCTTGCCAACATTTGGTATTGCCTATCTTTTTAGTTTTAGTCATTCTGGTGGATGTGTAGTGGTATCACATTGTGGTTTTAATTTTCATTTTCCTCATCAGAAAAGTATCTAAGGAAAAGGTGCTCAACTTCATTAGTCATTAGGGAAATATCAAGTGATTTTTGAACTATGTAACTATATTACCTACTCAAGAAAATACATAGATATTTTCATTAATTTTTTAAAGATTTTATTTTTAAGTAATCTCTACACCTAACATTGGCTCAACTTACAACCCTGAGATCAAGAGTTGCATGCTCTACTGACTAAGCCAGCCAGCTGTCCCAAATATTTTCATTATTTTAAAAAGAATTCATGACCCCAGGGCCCTCATCGCAAAGAATAAAGCCCATGGAAGGGGGGTGTGCGTGTGTTCATGTGCAAGTGTATGCATGTGGCTATATTTGGTGTGTGTAGACTTGGGTTTTACTGGGTAATGGTGACTTCTGGCTAACAAAAACTGTCCCACATCAACCAGACTACCTTGAACGAGAAACATGAGAGACTCAGAATCTTAGTATAGTAAGAGAACCGTGGCCGCAGCTCATGAGTGGGGTTCAAATTCCTCCAGTAATCTTCCTACCTCCTTCTCCTCCAAGGGGATGTAGTGTGGGAGGTTGATCTGGACCCGTTCAGGAATTAAGAACTGGAACTTGTTTGTTCCACTGGGTTGAGATGACCACCTGTCAGTGAATGTGCAGTAATCCTTGATGTCCCAGATCTAGGCACAAAATGTGGGTTAGTGGCCCAGCACCCCTTGACACCAACACCAACTCACACTGTGGGCCCCTCCCAGACTATTTCTCTTTCCTCGGAGGTGTGAGCACTCACAGACACTCAGGGTCAGAAGGGGCCCTCAGGATCTTCAACCCAGACCCCTTAGCTGGCATGCAGAGAGGGTATGACCAGCGCAAGGACAAGACACTCTTGCCTCATGTCTCACCACAAAGCATGAAGTCAGCTCCTGAGACAGGTGACCACACAACTGGGGGTGAGAGAGTGGCAGGAAGAGAACAATGGAGTAGGGGACCCCCTGGGAGAGGCTTCTTGGACGGCCCTTTAGAGCCATGTCCTCACTCATTTCCTGGGCGCACCACAGCAGAAGAGGACTTCTACTGCCCACCGTTTTACAAACGAAACCATTACCCAGAGGGAGTAGGGACTAGGCTAGCGCCACACACAGCAAAGAGGTGCCCAGAGCTTGGCTGCCACCAGCCCCTCCATCTCAAGCCAGGTCTTCCTCACCTTGATGTATCCTTTACAATCCCCTGTGACAAGGATCAAGTCTTTTTCGTCCGTGGCCATGGCACCCACGACCACATCGCCCCGGCTTAGGAAGTCCACAGGGAACTTCCCCAGCAGGCCTCCACCCCCGTGGATGGACCAGGCATAGATGTGGCCGTCGATGCAGCTGCTCAGCAGGACGGCTACGTGTGGCTGGCGAGGCCTGGTCTGCAGGAAGATGATCTGTGCAAGAGAGGCGGGCCTGCTCAGCAGTGCTGTGAGCTGGGACTCACCCTGGCCACAGTCAGGTGGTGCTGAGCGGTCTGGGCAAGTCACCACCCTCACCCCGCCCCCCAATTTCCTAGATGCCCAGTGAGAATGGTGACCATCCACCACTCCTCCTACCTAGCTGGTAGCAAGGACCATTTTGGTGCACTATGAGCTCCTTGTGCGCAGGGCCTTGTGTCATTTTTTGTCCACTATTTTATCCTCAGCAACTACAGTGGTGCCTGATATATGGCACGTGATCAGTGAATGTTTGTTGAAGAAGACATACAAGGGTGGTTCAGTTGGTTAAGCGGCCTCTCGTGATTTCAGCTCAGGTCATGATCTCAGGGTCATGAGATTGAGCCCCGCATCAGGCTCTGTGCTCAGCGGGGAGTCTGCTTGAGATCTCTCCCTCTGCCCCATTCCTGCTGTCAGAAATTACAGTGTGGTTTGGGGCGCCTGGGTGGTACAGCTGGCTAAGCATCCAACTCTTGGTTTCAGCTCAGGTCGTGATCTCAGGGCCATGATCTCAATGTCGTGAGACTGAGCCCCGCATTGGACTCCGTGCTCAGCGCGGAGTCTGCTTAAGATTCTCTCTGTTCCTCCCCCTGCTCTCTCTCTCTAAAAGAAAGAGAGAGAGGAAGGAAGGAGGGAAGGAAGGAAGGAAGGAAGGAAGGAAGGAAGGAAGGAAGGAAGGAAGGAAGGAAGGAAGGAAGGAAGGTAATTACAGTGTGGTAACTTGTGTGTCCCCAAAACATTTCACCAACAGCAAAAACTCTCGATTATTCCTATTATCATACATGTCCAAAACAAAATGCTTAACCTGCTTCCTGATGGTCCAGGGGCCAGGGTCACAAAACCAGGAGTCCCTAAACCAAAAACAAAGGGCAAGCATTTCCCCCACTTTATGCAAGTATACTTGCACACAATGCAAAATGTGGACAGCACAGACAGATGAGAAGAAATTAAAATCACCCACAGAATTCCAATACCCAGAAATAATCACCATGAAGATCTTAATGCATTGTCTATAAAGACTTTTATCACATTTTTTAAGTTATGAAATATACATGCAAGAATAGACAAAAATACCAATGAAAGAAGAGAGATCCCAGAAATAGAAGACTCTAATACTATATAAGAATGAAAGAATCTCAAGCCAGTGGAGAAAAGATAAACTATGCAATAAATGGCATTTGAACAACTGGTTATCAATTTAGAAAAAATTTTTAGATTCATACATCACACCATACACAAAACTACTCAGATCAGACAGAAGGATGACTAAATATATATACAATTATAAATGACTAGAAGAAAATATAACAAATTTTTCTGTGATCTTGGGATAAACAATGCCTTTCTTCATTGTCGCAAAGAAAAATAATAAAGATAGCTAGACAAAAACTAAAATGTCAATGTGATATCACAAAGGCAGATGAGGTGAAACTATCTGCAAATACACAACAGGCAAAGGATTCACTTCCAAAGCATCTAAGGAGCTCCAAGAAATTAATGTGAAAAAGAACGGACAAAGGATATGAATGGATGCTTAATTCATTGAAGAAATACAAATGTCTGGGGCACCTGGGTGGCTTAGTCGGTTAAGTGTCCGACACTTGATTTCGGCTCAGGTCGTGATCTTACGGTTGTGGGATCAAGCACCACGCTGGGCTCTGCGCTGGGCATGAAGTCTACTTAAAATTTCTTTCTCCCTCTCCTTATACCCCTCCTCCCCATTTGCACACACTCTCTATCTCTCAAAGAAAGAAAGAGAGCGAGAAAGAAAGAAAGGGGCACCGGGGCGGCTCAGTTGGTTAAGTGTCTGCCTTCGGCTCAGGTCATGATCTCAGGGTCCTGGGATTGAGCCCCGTGTTGGGCTCCTTGCTCCTCAGGGAACCTGCTTCTCCCTCTCCCTCTGCTGCTTCCCTGCTTGTGTGCGCTCTCTCTCTCTCTCCATCTCTGTCAAATAAATAAATAAAATCTTTAGAAAGAAAGAAAAGAAAGAAAGAAAGAAAGAAAGAAAGAAAGAAAGAAAGAAAGAAAGAAAGAAAGAAAGAAAGAAAGAAAGAAAGAAAGGAAGGAAAGAAAGAAAGAAAAGAAAGAAAGAAACCTCTGCTGCTTCCCTGCTTATGTGCACGCTCTCTCTCTCCATCTCTGTCAAATAAATAAATAAAATCTTTAGAAAGAAAGAAAGAAAGGAAGGAAGAAAGAAAGAAAGAAAGAAAAGAAAAGGAAAAAAGAAAGAAAGGAAAGAAAGAAAGAAAGAAAGAAAGAAAGAAAGAAAGAGAAGAAAGAAACCTCTGCTGCTTCCCTGCTTGTGTGTGCTCTCTCTCTCTCTCTCCATCTCTGTCAAATAAATAAATAAAATCTTTAGAAAGAAAGAAAGAAAGAAAGAAAGAAAGAAAGAAAGAAAGAAAGAAAAGAAAAAGAAAGAAAGAAAAGAAAAAAGAAAGAAAGAAAGAAAGAAAGAAAGGTAAATGTCTAACAAACATATAGAAAGCTCTGTATTACAAATAATCAAAGAAATATTTTTTTAAAAAAACTTCCACCTACCAGACTGGCAGAAATTAAGAAAAGGCTAATATCCATTATTGGCTTAGTATAAGGACAAGGTAGACTCACACACTGTTGGAGGGAAGGCAGCTCATCACAGTCTTCTTGGAAAACAAACTGGCTTCACCCATCAAAATGTAAACTGTGCTCACTTGGTGACCCCTTAATCCCACTTCTAGAAAATCTAGTTTAACTACACAGAAATATCTATAAGGATCTCAGTCGCACCATTGTTTATAATAGCAAAAAACTAGGAACAAGTTAAATGTCTATCAATTGGGCATTCATTAAATAAATTATGGCAAATCCAAAGAAATATATTGCAGTCGGGGACAGATTTGCCAGAGAAGTTCATAAAGCTTAAGGCAAAGTTCAAGATCAAGTTCAAGGCCCTTCCAAGGGAGGAATTAGCAACATGTGGTGACTGTTACAATTGTCAGTTGTAAATTTTAAAATTGTCATTTCTTTTGATTCTAAATAAATTTCATTTTGTATCTAGTTTTTTATTCATAATTTTGTGTTATTTTTCATAAAGGGTGCCTACCAAATTGTATAAGTTTTAGGTTCAAAAAAGCATAGATTGGCCCTCTGTATGAAGCTATTAACAAGAATGGAGTAGATATATTTATATGTACTGAGAGGAAAAGCTGTCTACTCTACAATGCTAGGTTTAAAAAAAAAAAAAAAAGCAAACAGCTGAACTACAATCTCAAATGCTCCTGGTCTTGTTTAAAAACCAAAACCATACCTCTGTGTATATATCACATACAGGCATATAAAAATAAATCTCAAAGAGTTATTATTTATCATTTTTAAAGACAATTTTGTCACAAGCATACTCCAGATCAAGTATTATCTTAAAATGTGATTCCTCATACCCGCACAGGATTCACCAAAATGATGTGCCACAAAGATTTCCCATTTCTGAACTGGGGAAAGCCGAGGCTTCCTTCCCAACCCTTCCTGCACCAGCCCTGTGACAGTTCAAATGGGCAGGCTGAAGGGGCATGATGGCCAGAGAGGGGTCAGGGCTGTGTGGTCAATGTCAGGAGTGGGCACAGAAGGATGCCCCGCCCTGGGCAGGACGGAGAAGGATCTGTGTGGTTGGAAGACAGGGAAGCAACACTATTCCTTTCGCACTCTGCACCTGGCCCCTGAGACCTCAAAGATAGTCCCCTGCCTGCTTTGGAAAGAGCTTCTGGACTGAGGCTGGACATTCCAGCCTCACTCACCCCAGTGGTCCCAGACAGTTCTCAACAGCAGGGGAGACTAGCAGTCTGCCTGGGACCCCTTCTGAAGAAGCTGAAGCTACACATGGACTGGGCTTCATGCCTTTCAGAGGGTTTTGCCACTCCCCACCCATCTTGTCCTTCACCATGAAGGAGAGGGTCAAGGACGGGGGCTTCATCTCTAGACTGTAATAGACACAGCTGCCCCTGGATCTGTGTCCTTGTCTCCCTCCAAGTGCCCTTTCTGCCCTCCCCCATGGCCTTCTGAGATGGCCGGACAGAAATGGTGATGAAGGGGACCTGACAGGTAAAACTCCCCCAGGTGTCCTTGTCCCCGTCCACCCTCACTCTCATCCACTAGGGAAAGGCTGGGACCAAGGGGAACCCTCTCCAGGGCACCATCCTGAGAAGTTCCACTCTGTCTGCTGCCCAGTTCCCCAGAGGGAAAGGACTTGGCTGCCTCAGAAACAGTGGGGGTAGAAGACAGCACTTAGAAGCCAGGAAGGAGGGTCAGCCTCAGGACCACCAGCTATACACACATGCACACACACACACACCAGCCACAGTGCCTGAAATTTCAGCAATAGACCTTCAGTCCTTTGTAAGTAATCTTCAAAGACTCTTGTCAAGATTCACAATACAAATCCTATTACACACAGATCACCAGTCCAGATAAAAAGCCCAAGGAATTCCCAATGGTGGCAGTACGAAGAGTCAAGGACACAGACTTTGAAAACCAACAGATCTGGAATCAGGCCTTGGCTTGGCTATTTTCTGACAGTGAGGATTTGGGACAAGTCACTTCACCTCGTTGAGCTTCAGTCTCTTTACCCAGAAAATGGGAATAATAATAGTATATACCCAAAGGGCTGTTTGAGAGACAAAATAAAAATAATTCATGTAAATGTTTAAGCTCACATCTAGCAGATACTCAGAGCCCAATAAATATTAACTGTTGCTGATATTATTATTAGGCTGGAATATAACACTACCTATCAAAAGCTTTCTAAGACTGCATTTCTTTTTTTTTTTAAGATTTTATTTATTTTTCTTTTTTTTTTTTAAGATTTTATTTATTTTTGACAGAGAGAGAGAGTGTGTACAAGGAGGGGGAGCAGCAGGCAGAGGGAGAGGAAGTAGCAGGCTTCCCGCGGAGCACGGAGCCCGACGCGGGGCTTGATCCCTGGGATCATGACCTGAGCCGAAGGCAGACGCTTAACCGTCTGAGCCACCCAGGCACCCCTCTAAGAGTGCATTTCTAATCCTAGAGTTTTATGCCTGGGAAATAGACTAGAGATCCAAAATTCATGTGCAAAGATGTTCATGGCAATGTTAGCTACAAAGGCAAAAGCTACAAACCTAACTGTCTAGGAGCAACAGTGGGCTAGCTGGATAGACCTGGTATCCCAGATGCCAAAATGCCATGCAGCTGGTAAATGAGAGGCCATGGCTCCACAGACACTGACAGGAAGTGGTGCCATTAGGTGTTGGGTGAAAAAGAGCAAATTGCAGAGCAGCGTATATATAAGAGGATACTATGTGGTGAAAAAATATTTGTAGGTACATATATACTTTAGTACACATATGTACTTGTATATTGCACAGAAAAATGTCTCCCAGGATGTCTTTTTTTTTTTTTTAAGATTTTATTTATTTATTTGAGAGAGAGAGAATGAGAGACAGAGAGCACAAGAGGGAAGAGGGTCAGAGGGAGAAGCAGACTCCCCGCCGAGCAGGGAGCCCGATGCGGGACTCGATCCCGGGACTCCAGGATCATGACCTGAGCCGAAGGCAGTCGCTTAACCAACTAAGCCACCCAGGCGCCCTACCAGGATGTCTTAACAGTCATTATCCCTGGAGACTGAGGAAGAAGGTAAGTCATTCTTTTATTTTATATGCTACTATAAGCCTTCAAGTTTTCAGTTTTAATGAAGGACATGTACCACTTTCTAATTAGAGAGAGAGAGAGAGTGTTCTTTCTTGAACATTCCAAATAAGCTCTCCTGTGAGGGCCTTTGTATCTGCTGCTCCCTCTGCCTGGATCACCATCCTTCCAAACAACTGCAGCCTTCAAGCTCTGTACAAATGCCACCTCCTCCACGAAGCCCTCCCTGACCACCCTATTTAAACGGCCACACCCTCTCCACCTCCCTTGCCATCCCCGCCCCCCACCCCCCACAACCGTCGCCTCACTTTTCTGGTTCTCCGCTGTACTGGTTCACCCTGTGACCTACCATTTATTTTACTCGCTGGTTAATTGTCTGCCTCACCCCAACTAGAATATCAGCTGCAGGAGGGCACAGGTTTTTGTTTCTTTTCTTTCTTGCAGCCTCCCCAGGGCCTGGCACGTTTACATTAAGTGTTTACTTAATGAATAACTGTCTGGGCCCTGAGGGGACTAGGTCACAGTCAAAGGTCAGGCTTTGAGTCATCTACTTGGATCAGACTCAGAGGCTGAAAGGGATGGGTTCTTTTGGGCAACTGCTTCCAGGAATCCATCCTCACAATGCACTTAACACAAGCGCACAGAAGCATACGTACAAGGACGTTCAATGCAGAGCTGCTCATCAAAGTTAAAAACTGGACCTAACCTACATGTCTATTAAGAGAAGACTGGCCTAATCGTTTGTGATCCCTCCAAACTATGGGGCACTATGCAATTATTACAAAGAATAAGGTAAGTTGACAAAAGAATAAGATGAACCTAAATTATGGATAGGAAAACATATCCATGCCATATGGTTAATTACGTTTTTAGAGAGTAAATGGTAGGACATGCTATGATTTTACATCACTGATCTAAAAATAAAAAGGATAAAGACTAACCGAGGCCACCAATTTCACTAGCAGTGACTGTGGCTGTAACTGCTGGTGGGGTGGAGTGAGTGAGACACTGGGGACCTTTATATTTTGCTTTATACATACTTCTTTTTTTCTTTTTTTAACAACTAGCATGACTACTTTTAAAAGTTTTTTTGGGCGCCTGGGTGGCTCAGTTGGTTAAGCGACTGCCTTCAGCTCAGGTCATGATCCTGGAGTCCCAGGATCAAGTCCCACGTCGGGCTCCCTGCTCAGCAGGGAGTCTGCTTCTCTCTCTGACCCTCCCCCCTCTCATGCTCTCTATCTCATTCTCTCTCTCAAATAAATAAATAAAATCTTTAAAAAAATAAAAAAAATTAAAATTAAAATTAAAAGTTTTTTTAAGGCTTTTTTTTTTAAGATAATCCCTATACCCTATGTGGGACTCGAACTAACAACCCGAGATCAAGAGTTGCATGCTCTACCTACTCAGCCAGCCAGGTGCCCCTAAGGCATTTTTTTAAAAGAGAGCAAAGCACATTCAGAACCTGGAGGAGAGACTGTCCAGCTGCTTGCAGCTCACTACTACTCCTCCCCTTCCCCCCCCCCCTCCCCCGCAGGACCCAGCTCTGCAGGGCACTGCTCCCTAATTCCCAAGTCCCTGATGCCCTGGAGCTAGGGAAAGGGCCCGTCCTGCCACACCCTAACACAACTGTGATGTGGATTTTCACTGGTAGGGATTTAGGGAACCCAAACAGTCTCTGAATTACCATATCTTTGCAGATCAAAGCTAGAAAGGGCCTTAGAGGCCACTTCATCTAGTGGTGACAACACAGTGAGGGGTGTCCAAGGTCAGAAAGGGGAAAAGTGCAGGAGGAAGGGAGAAGAACAGAGATGACCCAATCCCTACTCACATGTTGTACAAAACACCCTACCATGGGAGCCTGGGTGGCCCAGTTGGTTAAGCATCTGCCTTCAGCTCAGGTCATGATCTCAGGGTCCTGGGATCAAGCCTCACATTGGGCGCCCTGCTGGGCAGGGAGTCTGCTTCTCCCTCTTTCTCTGCCCCTTCCCCCCAACTCATGCGCGTGCACGCACACACACTCTCTCTGTCTCAAATAAATAGATAAAATCTTAGACACAAAACAAAAAACACCCTACCAGAGCACAGAAGGGCATTTTAACAGTGGGTTCTGGCAATGCCACTTCTCCTACCTCCCAGTCCAGCCCACAACCAGGAAAGGACCCTCCACAGCCCCCCAGGCACACCCAAGGAGGTTCCCACACACACAGCAGCCCTGAAGCCAGAATCCTGAGTGGTTCCTTCACCTGCGCCACGCCTCTCCAGGTCCTGGGGAGAGCCAGGCTGGCCCCCCTAGGCTCGTTGGCCCTGCCCTTCCCAGCCCATCCCCACTGTTCATGCCCGGCTCACAGCCCAGACCCTGCCTGAGCGTGGCCCACCTTCTCCACAGATGCGTTGGATTGCAGCAGGATCTTCTGGAATTCCCCTCTTTGAGCATCTTTGAAGATCGACTGTTTGCCATGGGGCATTCTTAACAGCTTGGGGCTTCCAGAGTGGACAGGTTTCTGAAAAGAAAAATGGGCCTCCCAGGTCATCATGGGAGGATCTCCCTACCCTGTGGGGAAACAGAAACCAGAGGCAGATGCTGAAAGTACGACCCGCCCAGCCCCCCTCGGTCGATCCACTGCCCTGTGAAAGGGATGGCCGGGTGTTGAAGGGATCCTGCAGTAAAGGCATTCCAGCACTGGGGAATCTCCATGTTAAACCAGCAGCTTCTGCTCTCAGGACAGAGACTTGAGTTTGCCTTTGTGGAAACCACCCCGCCTTTGTCCTGGAAGAGACCCCTGGCCAAAGGTGAGGATTAGGGCGTGTATAGCCATTGCTCTACAAGATGCGAATGCAGTGGTACAGCCCGATCCTCCAGAGGTGGTCTGAGTGTCCTGTAATAAGACGCAGTGCACGCGTCTTACAGCAGAACCCGTCCGAGCAGCCCACGTGGGATCGAGTCTGCACTGCCTACACCCGACAAGTGTTGTGTATTTACGGAAGGTGGGGTTTCTCTTTCAAGCCTCAGTTCCCGGGAACCGGAATCAGGCTCAACTGCTGAAGCAGTTTGCTGGGCTCCCCCGGCCCTGCACAAGATACTGTCTTCACTGCTGAGAGTCCGAGGCCAAACACCCACCCCACCCCCAGCTCTATCTCCCTCCTCCCCTCAAAATGAGACCATCAGTCAAGGCTGGAAGGGTTAATCTTGGGGCAGAGATGAGGGCTCAGAGGAGCAGGGAAGTAGTTTGCCTCTGCTTGGGCCTCAGACCCCCGGAGCCTCAGAGAGGCTGGGTGGGGGAGGTAGACAGGCCCCAGTTGGCTCATCTCTTCCAGATTACACTCGCTGGAGGACTGAGAAAGTAGCCCAGGAACTAGCCTGTGATTCTAGGTTCTCTGGGTTGTCTTCCCTCCAGGTCTGCCCTACCCCCAGCTTGTAGACTCTGGGAAGGGACCATGCCCAGCCTGGAGGCAGCAGAGTGGGCTGGATCAGGTGAATCTAACCAGGGAGGTGAGCTGATGGACGTAAAGGAGCTCTGGAAAGAGTGCCTCCATATAAGAACACAAACACACGACAGGCCCCCAGGTAGCTGCCAGGGCTCAGCCCCAGCTCCCACCTGTGGGGGTGCAGGCCTCTCCGGCTGCTTGTCTCTGGGGTGCTTCATCACCGGGGGCGCCGACATCAGGTTCCGTTGCAGGGTGGCGTTGGCCACAGTCCTGGCTCTGGGGACCGGGGGCTGCCCTGGTGGTCTGTGAGCCCACTCCTGGTGCTCCATGCAGGACTTGCCCGACCGGAGGCTCTCAGCCAGGAAGTTGTCCACTTCTTGGACCTGTGCCAGGGAGACACCTGCCCCGGTGACACTGCAGTGTCCCAGAGGGACATGCAGGGCCTCCTCGGCCCGATGCCAATACCTAAAGGGCCCTCCAGGTGCCCCAGGCCTTGCTTGCTTGCAGTTTCCCTAGAAACTGAGTACCCTTAGAAGCATCAAACCAGAACTCATAACCCTGTCCCGGGGCCAACCAGGAATGCCCTGAGTGCCCACAGGCGGGACACCACTCCCGTGAGGGACTCAGTCTCCCCATCAGTGAAATGGACAGTGGTTTCCAAATATTTGTGAGGTTGTTTGTAATCTTAAGGGAAGCTCCGAAGTGTTAAACAAGTAAAAAGCTGAACTGCTCTAGGAGAAGCCACTGCAGTAGCCTCTGAGCATCTGTCCCCAACATGTTTGGAAAATTACTGGATAAGGTGACCCCAAAGGCCCCTTCCACCTTCATCTGCAAAGATAGCATAATTCAGAGATGGTGTGGGTTTCCTAAGTCCCTTGCATGAGCCCGGTGAGCCCGGAGTGTGAACACAGCCATGAGGAGTAAGACAGGAGCCGCCTTCGAGGAAAGAGTCATCTACTAGACAGAACAGGACCAGCTCTAGAAGATGTGAATGCTCTGCTATCACACCACCTGGGTCTGGACCCATCACTTCTGGGCTGTGCAACCTCAGGCAAGATGCCTAACCTCCCTGTGCCTCAGTTTCCTTGTCTGGCAAATGAGAATAATTCTAGAAACTAGCACCCACCTACCTAGCTCCCAACCTCCTCCAAAAGAAGTCGTCATGTCCCCTCTCCTTCCTGCCCTCCCCACCCGGCCCTCCAGCTGAGTCTGACCCACAGCTGAGAGAGAGTGGGGGGTGCTCCTGTTAACCATACCTTCTTGGGCAGCAAAGGCAAGGGGCTCACAGAGGCGTTGAAATTGAGGATGGGCTTGAACAGGTTGACGTTCCAGAAGAGGATGTCCCCGTTGTAGGAAGAGGTCCCGAGGAACTGGTTCTGGTACTTGGCCATGCTCAGAACGTCCTCCTTGTGGAAGATGTGCCAGGGGTAGCCCACGAACACTGGCTTGGTCTTGTGGAGCCTACGCACAGGGCCAGAGGTGGGAGGGCGGGCCGCTCGGCCTTACTGCTCCCGGGGGCGGGAAACACCAAGGCCTTTAGATTCTGGGAGGCAACTCGGAAGAGGGCACTCAGGTTGGAGCTCTGCCCCACCGACCTCATTTACAGAGCACCTACTGTGTACCCACCACAAAGGCCCTGTCCTCGGGGCTTTATATAAACTAATCTGACGAATCCACCCCCTCTGGACAGCTGAGTAAGGACTAAAGAAGGGAAGCCATGGCCCTAGAAGGGCCCTCTGGAAAGGAAGAGGCCTTGCACATTCTGTTCTCTCTGTCTGGAATGTTCTTCCTACCCCCAGCCCTTTGCTGCTTTGCTGAGAAGACCCTACTCCACCCGCACCATCCTCAGATGAGCCTTTCCTGACCGCCCCTGAGACGAAATCGGGTTTCCATCCCCTCCCCTTAGAAACCTGTGCTCCCTTCCCCCACAGCACTCAACAGACTTTATCATTATAAATGAAGTTATTTGATTAGCCTCTGCGTCCCCCTTGGAGGATGGAGACCCCATCATTCTTGTTTACACCCATCTCTAGCACGTAGCACAAAATCTAGAACATGTTAGCCTCAAGGAGTGGTGAATGAATGGACAGATAAGCAGATGAAGCACTGGACATTACCCGCCACGAATTTCTTGCTTGGTCTTCCAACCACTAGTGAAGCTAGGAATGGGGGAACCCATCTGAAGTAAGGAGAGTGGTCAGCTGCCCTTAGCTACTCACATGAAGCAAGTGATTCTCTTACTCCACCCGGTCACATAGAACGCTTTGTTCATATGGACAATCCCACTAATCTGTGGAAGATGACAGAAAACAGAGCCCTGAGGCACCTCAGAGAAAATGGCCCCAAGTCAAAGCTCTCCATGATGATGAGTTCCCTAGAAGCGGTACCACCATATATTTTTCAGAATGCTCTCACATCACATTATCCCGTTTGATAAACTTGGAGCAGGGAGCGAGTGTAGGTATCCATGTCCGCTCAACAGGGGGATCCCTGGGAGGGTCAAATAACTGAGTGATAGGGTCTGAACGGTACTCAGATCCCTGGCTACTCGGCCAAGGGCTCCTTCTAAACTAGTTAAAGGACTTTCATAAGAGTTAGTCATGGGCTCAGGTCCCAGAGTGGCTGGCTTTGCTCTATGCCATACCCCCAGACCGTCTCTAGGACACTGGCAGACATTTCCGGAACAGGAGTGAGCGTGGGGTTCTCCTGGCCCCGCTGCTAGAAATGCCGTCTGAAGCTCTCAGACCCGGGCTAAGGCGTGCTCATGAATCGAAAGAACAAGAGTAGCTATAGCACTTGCAGAATGCTTGATAAGGACAGGCACTGTGACCTAGCTTCACTCTACAGGCGAGAACACAAAGGCTCAGGCAGGCATGAAGGCAGGCAGTCTATGTGCCCAGCCTGAGAGGGGGGGCCCAGGCTCGGGGGCGCTGTGCTCTGCGTCTCCCCGCGGCGCCCCCAGTGCCAGCTGACAGAGAAGACCGACCTCCAGGTGGTCCATGTTGGGGAAGACCAGCAGGCATTCACCAATGGCATAGTTCCACATCTTTATGGTGCCGTCGCGCAAACCCGTGAGCAGGCAGCGCTCCGATTCGTCCAGGCACATGGTGGACAGCTCCATCTGCTGGTCGCCGGTCACAGAGAACTCCATCGTCCGCCTGCCCGTCGCCACCTCCCACACGCTCACCAAGCTGCTCAGGCAGCCACTCACCACCTGCAGGGGAGCAGGCGGCTGGGGCCCCTAGAGAGGAGAGCGTCCCCACTCCCAAGGGTGGCCCCCACCTGTCACGGCTGGGGCTGGCCCAGCGCCCCTCTCCCTGCGATGTCCTGCCAAAATGGGCAACCAGGCCCTTCCTGCTGCCCAGTAAGGCCCTCGTGAAGACACCTTCCTCTGCTCAGAGGAGTGAGGCAATCCCTCAACCAAGTGGTGGGGCTCCCACCCCACCTCAGGCCACCAGCCCCCTGCAGGGCTGCTTCTCATCCACATGCTGCTGCCCCCACGCCACCCTCCAAGTTATGAATCCTCCCCCCACCCCGCCGCTGTGCTGACTGCTCCTTGGATGCAGCTCTGGACCCCTCAGGGGGTCTGGGTCCTGCCCGAGGTCCCCTGGCCCTCCTGACAGCCTGAGGCATGACCAGCTCCAGCCCACTCACCTGCTTAAAAATCTTGCTGTAGAGGACGGCACACACGGGTGAGCTGTAGGTCGTGGTCTTCTCCCCTGTTTTTCCCGGCTCCTCGGTCTCCAAGTACCCTTTGAGGATCCCAATCTATAGGTGAGGAGTGAGGCCGGCAGCTGGGCAGTCAAAAGGGCTCTGCCCCCAGTGACTGGCCCCAGGGAGAAACTTCCAATAAACTGCAACATCAAACGTCCTGACTGCACACAGACCTGAGCCCAGTGAGGCCTCTTGGCTCCTCAGCCTGCCTGCTGATACCTCTCACGCCTCCTCCTTGGGAGTCCAGTGTCCTTCATAACTCCTGGGAAGCTTAAAACGTCAGTCTAGTGTCCCCTCCTCCAGGGAGCCTTCCCTGACCACACTAGGCTAAGGATCCATTCTCTGTGTTCCAAGAAGCACCTGGTACGCATCTCATCCCACCACGGAGCATTTTCTACTGTCATTCTCTGTTCTCCTCCCACCTCCTCGGTTCCTTGAGGGATGGGGCGGCGTCTAATGAATGCATTCTCGGCTCCTGCCCAGGAGCGGGGGCTCACTCCCTTCCGCCCAGCACTCACCGAATAGGTGCTACAGATGAGACTGTCTTCGTTCTTGTGGAAGTAGATGCTGGTGATGGGGCAGTTCCCCAGGGCGAAAAGCTTCCCGCAGAAGGACTGGAGGCATATGTAGTCCTGCATGTCCCACACGCGGATATTCTGGGGGGTGAGAAACGGGCAGAGAGGCTGAGGGTGGGCTCTCGGGGAGGCATGGGTGCCCGAGGCCTTGGGGCGTGAGGAGGGCCCACACAGTGCAAGCACCTCCAACACACACCTACCGCACAGATGCCAACCGTACCACAGAGATGAGGTTCTTATGCTCAGATGAGGAAACTGAGGCTCCTCCACCCCCCCCCCACCCTGCTGGAGTGGCGGCCACTCAACAGCTGAGGATGAAGACCGAGCAAGACAGCATGAGCCCCTGCAGACCGTCACAGGCTCCCCCGCCAGCCTACCTCAACTAAAGTCAGGCACCGCACACTGTGCCTACCGACAGGGTTGCCAAAAAGCCCACCTGTCCCCACAGCAGCCCCCTCGAGTTCATCCCAAGTTGAGGAACCCACAGAAGTCCCTCCAGGATGCCCATTGCTTGGAGACATCAGCAGTAAGCAGGAAAGGGCATGACTCCAATCCATACCCTGCCTCTGCCCATCGCCTCTGTGAGGATTTGGGCTAGCTCGTCCCGGTCCCCTGCCCCTCCAGCCTCAGATCCTTCAGCAGACGCCAGGACACCCAATTCTCGGGGCTACTGGGAGAAGTCCAGATAACAGAAAGTGTGGGCTGTGCTGGGGAGGGTGGCTGGGGTAACCCAAGGGTCCTGCCAACTCTCAATCTACTGATTCCCAGAAGACACAGACGTGTGCCCTGAAGGAGGACCCCTGGAGCCGTTGGCTGCATCCCCACATTGGCTAGAACAGCCGAGCAGCCCCGAAGCCGGGGCGGTGCCCTGAACCAATCGGTGCAGAGGTGCAAAGTGACAGGCCCGGAACTAGGGAGTCCCAGGCGCTGGAGAAGGTCCGGTCAGGCCGCGAGAGCCAGGGCAGCCGAGAAGGGGTCGCTAGGAGAGCCAGGGGGGAAGGGGACAGGGAGTGGCTCACACGTGTCGCACACCTACTGTGTATCAGCCGCAACGCTGCCACTTTCCCACCAGTCCTGCTCTAAACCTCTCAACCACCCATCCTGTGGATGAGGGGACTGAGGCTCAGAAATCAGAAGGGCCTTGCCCAGGACCACAGAGCAAGAAGCCAGGCTGGGCAACATGGGAACCCAGCTCTGGCGGACTGCTCAGAGTGGGGTGCAGGCCTCTACCAGGGGCTGTCAGAGACCCCCAGCCCCCTCGTGGTGACTCCACCTGGAGCAGCCAGGCGGATGTGGAACACGGGCAGGGAGGTCACACCATCCCCCTGGGCCTCAGGCTGCCGCTGACTGCCGGCCCCTGGCCTGGCCGAGCTACATGGTTTTCCCAGGGCCAGCATCTGTGCCGGGGAACAGGAACCGGTCCGAGTGGAAGAGCTGTGCTCCATGAGGACAGCACCTTGTCCTTGGAGACGCTGAGGAGGATGCTGCTATTTTTGCTGTTCACCAGGATGTGCGTCACGGAAGTCTGATGCCCCTTCATCATCCACACGGGCTTTTTTGAGAAGAAGGGGTTCCACAGGCGGATGAGGGGGTCATAGCCACCAGTCGCTGGGGTCAAAAGAACGAGTGTCAACCATGGGGGGCCTATGCTGGGACCTTCTCCTGGGACCAGGCCCTGGACCCCAGGCAGGTGTGGCAGATGGGGGGTTGTGGTTATCATCTGCCCCTTTGCCACTCCTCCCCCACAGCCTCCCCCATCATGTCACCACACCGCCCCAGGTGCCCACGGGCTGCGACCAGAGTGGCAGGAGAGGAGCCCAGACAGAGCCTCCCCACCATGTCCCCAGCAGCCTTCACCCCGGTTCCACCAGGCCTGGGGTTTCTGGGGGACATGAAGATGACTTACCCACTAAGTTCTTGTCTGGGCAGTAATCAAAGCAAAGAATCCCTTTTCTTAAGTTCAGCACGGAAAACCTACAACAGCAAAGGGCGAAGGCTGCAGGCGGGGAGCGACGGCCTCAGGGAAGCCAGGGAGAAGCCATTACCTCTTACCCAAGGACAGGAGCAACCCCAGCAACCCCGGGGCTCACCCTGCAGCCAAGTCGGGGCGGAGCACCACAGGCAGGGCGGCTGCCGTGCGTCTCAGCCCAAAGCCAGCAGCTCGTGGAGGAGGCGCCCCCCTCCCACCTGTAGGTGAAGGCACCCCCAAAGCAGGAGCAACTCCTTACAGCCGTAATACATTTAACTTAACTCGATCCTCACTTCAACCATACTGAGACAGGCGTCCCCTGACCCATGACACACATTTTTTAAAATGAGGGGATTCTAAGGGCCAGGAGAAGGGGAGCTCCCAGGTCCTTGTGCCCCTGCCTGCTCTGTGTGGGTTCCTGTGCTGGGTGCTGTCTCGTTCATCATCTGGAGCCTTCATATAACCCTAGAGAGTGTCATCAGCCCTGTGCCACAATGAGGACATGGAAAGCAGAAACTAAGGAGTTTGCCCAAGGCCACAGCCTGGCAAGATGGGGGCATCAGGATTCAGAACCAGGGTGGGCGTGGCAGGAAGAGGCAGGAGGCTCAGTTGTCAGTGCTCCAGGACAGGAACAGGTGCAGCCGGGTGGATGGGGCTCAGGAGGGCCAGGGTGACCCAGGCAGGGGTCTCAGGAGGGTCCGGCCCGAGAGTACTGGAAGCTCTGTGCCTTGGCACATGCTATTCCCCCTTATCCATACATCCTGCTCTTTCTACTCAAACTCCCCCTTTGAAACTCAACTCAGAGGGCCCCATTGCAGGGTACCCCAGCCCTCTAACGCAGTATGCCCTCCACTGAACTGCCCCTGAACTGGCTCCTTTATCACTCCCCGGGGGCCTAACCCAGTTGCCTAGGGGTCATCCTGGAGGCTCCCTCGCCAGCATTCCCATTATCCAGCTGGGCCCTGAACCCTCGTTGCCCATGTCCCACCAGAGCCCTGGCCTTTGCTCAGTTTAGACCCCCTTCATCTCTGTGTCAGCCTCCCAGCAGGTCTCTTAACCTCCAGTCTTGCTCCCACTCCAAATCTACTCTCCCTTCCACTGCCGGAAGGATTCCTCGAAAAACTGAAACTTCAAGAAAAGCATATCAAATACATGTATCTCATCTATTGTCAAACCAGATACATCTCCCTCCATGCATATATGCACAGAGAAATCTTCTGGAAGAATGGTCACCACAATGTCACTAGAAATTATTTCAGGCTGATTCACTCACTCATGCAACCAAGATTTACTGGCATCTACACCCTTCCGGGATTACCAGGGGCATAGATAAGATGCCCCTGCCTTCATGGAGTTTTCCTTCCAGAGGGAAACAGCAGGAGCAAGTAAATGAACAGAGACGCAAAGGAGATGGACCTTTGCACATTGGGACAGGTCCTGCAGGGAAATAAACAGGTGGCTTTGACAAGGTAGCTGCAGGAGACCAGTCTGCAGATGGTTGCTGTGTAGAGAAGGGACCGGAAGGTCAGAAGGGACGCAGGGAAGAAGGCCATGGCAAGCAGTTCAGGTGGCTTTGACTCAGTGGTGGGGGCAGAAGTGAGAGAAGAGGGTAAAGCAGGGGAGACACTGTGGGTCAGTCCACACACCCAGCACAGGGCTCCCTCCAACTCCACCCTGGCTCCTCGGCTCAGATTCACTGCTGGCTGCAAGCATCTGAAGAACTCAGCGCGTGCTGGCTGCCAGGGAGCCAAGCTCTCAGGCCCACAGTGCCTCGGAGGCTGAGGCTGACTCTAGAGGCAAAGTTTGGGGGTGACAATGCCTGACCCCTCCTGTGGAGGCCAGGCCCTGAGAGGTCCTTGCCGGGAACTAGAGACCTGCAAACAGTCAATGGTGCCACCTGCCGGCTAGCAGGTGTACCGCATGCAGACAACCCGAAGGGTCTGCGTGCTCTCATGGGTATAAATACATTCTCCAACCTGCCCCCAGAGTGTATCTCAAATCCCTCCATCTCATCTCCACTGGCTGATTCCAGGCCATCATCATAGGGAGCCTGAATTATTACAGTGGTATCGTCACTGGAGTCCCCAACTCCACACCTGCCCACTCCACTTGCAACAGAGAAGCAAGAAGGATGCTCCTACACATCAAACCATACCGTTCCTGTGCTCAAAACCTAAGAATTTGTTTATATCTCTTACCAAATAATCGAAAAAGATATGTTAGAGACAATTGGGGGAGATTAACTTGGACTAGGTACTAGTAATATTAAAGTATCATAGTATTTTCTCTACTTCTGTGTGTTTAAGATTTTTAGTAACGAAAATGTTTAAAAAATAAAAACAAAGAAGAAACAAGGGCATACAGGGCGGAAAGGAGCAATTCAAAGGCCCTGGGGCAGGAGCATGCCTGAACCACAAGGGGGCCACAGGGGGCTGGAGGAGGAAGGTAGAAGAGGTGAGATTAGGAAGGCAGCAGGGACAGACCACAGAGACCCTCATGGCCAGGATGAGGTGATCCTGTGATGTCCACCTACCACTGAGACCCAATAAATAAATAAAAAAACAAGCTGAATAAAACACGTATCACAGACATGAGATAATACTACCACCAAAGCAGAGAGATGAGCCTCTGCTGCAAATCAGCTCCAAGCAAAATCCCACCACACTGCCTCACTCAAGGCCTGGAAGCCAGGACTGAAGCTTCCCCACGGCATTAGGCCTTCTCCGGGGCCCCCTCCTCCAACCAGCAGCTAGTTCCAGGGCTTGGGTAGGGATGTGTGCAGAGGACTCTGGCTGGCAAGATAGTGGAGGTACAGCTAGGCCTGGGACACGTCCCCTGCTCAAAGGTCTCAGGTTTCCAATCTGTAAAATGAGGAGTTGGACCAAATTAGCCCTACCCAACCCAGGACAGGAACGGACAGACAGAGATGGGGCCTAAGTGGCCCTCATTCTTCCCGCTGTGCCTCACCCAGCTGCTCCCCCAAGAAGACAGGGGGCGTGCAGTTCATGGTTCAACCTGCCCAGGAGCAAAATCTCACAGACCTGAAGGGTCCAGGAGGTAAAGACCTGCTGCAGGAAGGAAATAGCAGAAGCAAAAGGAAAAAAAAAAAAAATCCACCAGGAGAAAATATCTACTGTGAAATGCACGGTGAAAGATACATATGAGAGGCGGCTGGGTGGCTCAGTTGGTTAAGGTTCAGACTCTTGATTTCAGCTCAGGTTGTGATCTCGGGGTCGTGAGATCGAGCCCCACGTCGGTGTGGAGCCTGCTTAAGATTCTCCCTCTCCCTCTGCCCCTCCCCACCCTCTCTCTCTAAAAAATTAAATAAATAAAAATTTAAAAATAATTTTTAAAAAGGTACACATGAAAATGATAGAAGTGAGACATTTGAGAACGGGGTGAGACAGTGGGTATTGGGTAAGGGAAGGATTGAGGCTTTATTTATTATGTTTTACTTTTTTACAGGGTCAACCTACGTATATAGACTTACTAGTGTGACTAATCACTGATTAGGAAGGAAGGAAGGGAGGGAGGGAGAGAGGCAGAAAAATATCCACTCTGGGGAGTGGAACCTGGAATAAAGGAAAGAGATCAGAACCATCTCCAAAGAGTAAGTGCTACCAATTATTGACCATATAGCACAAAGAGCAATCAGCTCTGGCACGAGGGAAAGAAGTACTGCTGTCACCCCCTTCTACAGACGACGACACTGAGCAAGGGGCACAGAGGTAAAGCAACTCGCATTCATTCCTCCATTCAGAAAATATTTTGCTGACTGTCTGCTTACCCTATGTGCCAGCTTCTGTGCTGAGTTTTGCGTATAAATTGGTGGATAAAAGAGGCTTGTTATATTTTTGTTGCTGGTAGCAAAGATTAAAACCACGCTCCATAAAAGTTCTCGTAACCCAGTGAGATCCGCAGGATGCCGCTGTCCTGGGGCCAGGCCCACTCTCAGTGGGGATGGCCACGGGTGGCTGAGGTAAAGCCAGACCCTCCGGGGCACCATCACATCCCCCCGCCGCCAGCTCCCCCACTCCAGCCTGGGCAGAGGCGCTCCTTACTTGGGGCTCTCTGGGGCTTTGGATGGCAATATGGTCAGCACCAGAGAGGACTTCTCAATGGCCGAACAGGAGGCCACTGTGTTCAGCTGGGGGATGAACTTGACCTGTTGGCACCAGTTGGGATGGAGCGCCTGGGAAGAGAGTGGCAGTGGTAGGGGCTGGAGCTGAACACGCCTAATGCCGTCTAGTGATCACAGCTCTGACACGCCCACACGCCCCCCCCCCCCCCCCACCAGGTCCTAGCCCAGTCCTGGGCCATCACTTGTCAGTGAGACAGGTGAAAAGCACCCAAGTCTGCTATCACGGGAACTCTTGCTTATAAGCTGGAGAACAGGCAAGGTCAGCCCATGTGACAGCACCATCTGTCACCCCATCCCGCACAGGAGAAAGGATGGATTGGAGTCAGCCGGGCCCGCAGTCCCTCTTATCCACAGGGATCCCCGCCACGGAGGAGAGAGGAGCTTCCCCACCCCACTGCTGCCCTCCGTGTTTCAGGACATAATTTGGAGTGTGTGTGAATGTTATCTGGTGCAACTTGAACAACGAAAGGCTAAGACCCAGCAGTCAAGAGGGTGGCCTGACTGCCCTGAATTCTCTAGTTCTGGCTCTGCAGTTTGGTCCTGTGCTTGGCCTCCCAATCCGGGGATTCTCCTCTTCAGGACAAGAATGGAGGGGGTTGTCGGGCACTAAGCTAGGTTTTCAATGCACTGCCTCACTGAGTCTCTCTCACGATGAAGGCACCGAATTCAGGGCACCGAAGAGAACCCGGGACACTTAGCAACTGGGGTAGAAAACGAAGCCCAAGATGAGATTCCAACAGAAGATGGAGAAGAAGGTATTCGTGAGTGACTCTCCTGGAATGAGCCCAAGCAAGACCCTAAGTGCCTGTCCTTAGGAGCTGCCAATCCCATGAGGATGACAGGCTGAGAAAGCAGTGGGTGGACGATACAAAGTTGGGAGGAGGTAAGCTGTGCTAGTGTGATTTACAGCAAGAAATGTATATTTGGTCTTCATGCCCATTTCTGGCACAGAGCTCCTAAAACCCCTGGAATTTCCTAAGTGATAAGACAAAGGTGTCTTAATATTCGTAATGAACCCCTTTCAACCACACCTGAGTTTACATTAATGAGGTGACTTTTGGAAAGCCCCTAAGGATGGGGACTGGTTGCCAGGGGAACCAACCATGAGCTTGGAGGGTTGGAACTTTCAGTCCCACCGCCCTAATCCCTGGGGAGAGGAGAGGAGCTGCATGTTGAATTGACTGCCAATGGCCAATGATTTAATCAATCATACCTATGTAATGAAACTCCATAAAAACCCACAAGGACAGTGTTCAGAGAGCCTCTGGGCTAGTGAACATGTGGAGGTGTGGGGCGAGCCTTGCACCCAGAGAGGGCAGGGAAACTCTACCCACCCCCACCCCTTTCCCCATACCTTGACCTGCATCTCTTCCCTCTGGCTGTTCCTGAGTTGTAGCCTTTTATAATAAACTGGTGATCTAGTAAGTAAAATGATTCTCTGAGTTCTGTGAGGCACTCTAGCAAATTAATAGAACCCAAAGAGAGGGTCATGGGAACCTCTGATTTATAACTGGTGGGTCAGAAGCACAGGGGACAACCTGAACTTGTGACTGGCCTTCAAGGTGGGGCGGGGGGGAGCAGTCTTGTGGGACTGAGCCTCAACCTGTAGGATCTGATGCTATCTCCAGGTAGATAGTGTCAGAACTGAGTTGAACTGTAGGTCACCCGGCTGAGGTCCAAGAATTGCATGGCAGTGTGGGAAAAACACATTGTCCCTGGTGTCAGAATCCTATAAGCACTGCAGCGTGAAGAGACACAGGCAGGGGCAGGCAGCAGGGCTGGTCCAAGCTGGCTGGTGAGGGCCCCGAAGGAAGCAGAGAAAGGGGGACACAGGAACCTAGGGAAGGGGACAGAGTGTGACAAGTCCCTGTGGTGGGAAAAGGCTTGGAGTGTCCAGAGAACAGCAAGGTGGCCTGCATCTCTCTGCATAGAGTAAATGAGAAGAAGCAAAGTAACAGGCAAGATGGGGAACAGGCCAGGGGGCCAGGTCACATCATGTACTGATGGTCATGGTAAGATTCTGTCCGAATGCAATGAGAAGCTACCAGGGGGGCGGGGGGGGGGGTACTCTGAGCAAAGGAGTGACGTGGCTGTTTCTAGCTCCTAATTCCTCTGGCTGCTGACTGGGGCAAAGCACTGCATGGAGAAAAGATGTGCAGAAACAGCTAGAAGCCACTGCAGCCGTCCAAGTGTCTGCCAGGACCGGGCTTTAGCAACGGAGGTGGTGAGAGAGACGAGCCATGGGATCCAACAGCGGCCTCCATCCTGCTCCCAGTGACCAAGCCCTGAGGCCTAAGACTGAACTCAGGGGGAAAATCCACTTTCTGTATTGATTTTTGAGTGGTGAGTGTGTACAGATAATTACCATGGTAACAGGCCAAGGAAAGATACAACCTACCTTCAGCTGGTAACTCCTATACAAAGGGGACTTTTCATTTAGGAGCTTCCGTGCAGAAACATTGGTCCAGTGATCTGATAGGAGAGAAAAAGCGAGGTCCACATCACCAGCTCCCAACCTTTGCCAGATCAGCAAAACCCCAGGGGACACCTTGAGTTGGTTTGCGACTCCTGTATGTCTCAAAAGGCTTTTCCATCCAAATGCTTGTTCAAGCTTTACCGCGTTCTGGTGGATTCGGTGGGGTGTACTCAACACCCAGAACACAGACCCAGGCAGATAAACACTGCTGCCCGGAGCCCCTGTGCCCCTGCATGCCCAGCCGGCCCCACATCCCGGGCTCCTCCCTCTCCCCTGCATACTGCAATCTACACAAGGTGATTCTCATTTAGGGAGCTCCAGCTCTGCTGGACTGGAGAACCAACTGAGACCACAGGCTCTACTCTTTCTGGAAAGGATCATTTGGAAGTTTACCATCATGCCTCAAACGACATGCCCCACCTTGTCCAGGAAACACAAGTTCCAAGGAGAAGCATCCAGCAAACATGCCTGGAGCAACTGCCCTAAGCACAGCCTGGCCCTTGAGGTGTTTAGAGTCTCCCGGCCTCCAAAACCTCCCAGGGCTAGCGGCCAGGCCCGGGAGCCTCCAGGAAAGGCCCCTGGTGCACATGGAAAGGCTTGACACAGGCAGATGGAGCCAGCGGTGACGGGGACAAGCCTGGGTCTACCTGCAGAGCAGGGTTTAAGGAGGTGGGTCAGAAGGACTGGGACAATCTGGGCTCAAGTCTGAGAGAAACTCCCAGGTAAAATGCAGAAAAGAGAGGGGGACCTAGGGGCTTATGCCAAGCATTTTACTGCTGCAAAACCACCAGCCCCATCTGGCAAGAGAAGTCCCAAGGGGTGGAGTGCTGCTGAAGTGGGGCGGGCCCTGCAAGGGCACAGGAGGCAGAAAGCTTAGCCAGGGCTGCAGTGCAAGCTTGTTTGCCTGTCTGCCTCTCCCATGAGGCTGGGAGGGCCCCGGGAGGTCAAGGGAGGTAGTCACCTGGCCCTTACTGTGTGCCTCACACTGCATGCTCTCCTTCCACCTTACAGAAAAGCCATGAATTGAGTCTGCTTATCCCTGTTTAATAAGGGAACTGAGGTACAAAGAGGTTAAGCAACTGGATCCAGGTCACACAGAGCTGGTCTGTCCACCTCCTCCCAAGGCAACACACTGGTGGGCCCACCTTCGTGCATGACCAGCCTTCAGGCTGCATGTGGCATGGAAGGCCTCCTTCCTACACTCCAGCTTCATCTGCACCTGCTCCGATCTCCTGTCCAACATGCAGCTCAAAGACCACCACAACCTCCCACGTCGGTTCCCAGGGTGGTGCGGCATGACCTCAGCTAGGCAGCCGCCTTGGTTAGGGCAGCGCGAGGGAAGGCACTGGGGTGGGGGAGCTGGAGGGGGGGCCGGGGGGGGGCAGCGGCTGATGAGGCAGGAATGCAGCTGGTGCCCACCCACTGCTGTACCCGGGACAGGATCCATTTTCCATCCGGCCAGTGGGGGGAGTGTTGCCCTGTCAAGCTCAGCAGGAGAGATATCACCAGGGCCTGGGAGCCCTTGGAGAGTGTCCTGCTCAGAAACTCTGACTGGAAGCCCAAGGGGCTGCTCTGGTGTCCTGGGTGGAAGGGGAGTCAGTGTCCTCGGGGGCTGGGGACCCTGGTGGCCCGGGGCCTCCTCTAGACGGGTATGAAGCAACCTAGAGGCCTGACACTGTGCACCAAAGGCTCGATCCTGGACAGCGTCCAGCTCAGACGAGCCCCTGACAGCCCCAGGCCCCAGAGCTGGGATCCAGTGCCCTTGGCGGAGCTGCCCCAAACAGTGCCCTGCAGCAGGCAGTCAGTCTGGGGTACAGCCCAGCAAGGGGTCGAGGTTTGGATTGTGGGGCGGACCGCCTGCTTCGGGCCACTTACCCTGTGGGGCCCATGCAAGTGCTGCACCCCCGAAAGTACCCTTCCCCCTCTCTTCATGGACTGTAGCAGCAGTTGGACAGGCAGTGGGTGGGAGACTGGAGGAGGCCATGTGCCCAAAGCACGCGGCACACAAGTGCTCAAGAGATGTCACTGTGCTTATGCATGTTCACATCCGCGTTGAGCCAGGCCCTCCCGCAGGCCTGTCTGCCCCACGCCCACCCCACAAACAGAGGCTGCTCCCAGCCAAGGAGAGCAGACCCTCGTCCCGACCACGGAGAAAGGTAGTGCCGTCATCCCAGGACCCAGAGCCGGTGAGCGGCTTCCCCAGGGTCGCACAGCAGGCCCAGGCTCATTCGTGCTGGGATGAGCAGAGTCCTGCAGCCCCTCCCCTCAGCCTCCCCTGTGCAACCTCCTGCCTTCCCAGAGATTGTCTCATCAGCCCCCTCTGGCTCCTGCTGTCCCCTCATCACCCCCTGTCCCACAAGCCACTCTGAGCTGAGCAAATGGCCTCACTGCCCCTCAGGGGCTCCTGAGCTGGAAGGCGAGAGAGAGAAGAGCGTCTCAGGGCAGGGCCATCTCCCCCCTCCCCCAATTCCTCAGCATCTTAGCTACCCCATTTGGAGGTCCTGGGAAGGATTCGGGGGTTGAACAACCCGTGGGTCACGTTGTCAGAGGTGAAGATGATGACGTTGCCTTTGGTGTCCCCGTAGCAGAACACACCTCTGTGATAGTCAGACCTGAGGGGAGGTGGGGACAGAAGAGGCTGGGTTGCGCACACCAGCTGCAACCCTCCACCCTCCCAGCGTCCAACGACCTTCCTCCGCCTGGGAGCGAGAGCAGTTCCCACACGACTTTCCAGCCTTGCCCTCAACAGCTGACAAACATGGGCCCAGCCACCCAGATCCAGATCATCGGTGAACCAGGTCCAAAAGAAATCATTATTTTCTTTTAAAACCCAAACAAATGAGTCCCTCGTCCTCCAGATGCTCATTATCAGCTCACCCCTACTGATGGACCATGACATTCCCAGAGTCCTCGGCCTTGGCGGGACAAGCCTCTGCCAGGATTCGGTGGCTGACTTGCTCGGGGCATGGGAGGAAGAGGGACTGATGACTGAGTGACTCCCCCAGGAGGGGCAGCTTGGTGAAGAGGACACAGACACACAGAGTGGGAATCCTTCCAGGGCTGTTTCCAGAGAGGCTTTCTGGGAGTCCCAACCCTGCTGAGTGATGTGGCCGCCAAGGCTATGTACCAATCTCCCTGAGACTCACCAGTAGTCCATGGCCAAGACACAGCTGTCCAGATCAATGAAGGTGAAGGCCCGTGCACAGTTATGGTTGCTAATGTCAAAGAACTCTGGGGAAGACACAGAAGGGGAGACATGCATGGAAGCCAAGCCCACGTCCCAGGCCTTGGGGATCTGGTGACAACACGCAGCATCTGCTTACCAGCTGCAGCACCCCCAGAGGACTCTAACCCATGCCCACAGCTGGCTCGGTGACAGGTCTCTCCAAGTGTAAATGCATGCCCCCCAACGGCCTAGAGCAGGCCTGGGGAGCTGTCAGGGACTCACCTATCTTCTGGTCAGTAGATGCAACCGCAATCAGGTTCATGTTATAGAGACACACCATGTCGATGACCCACATCTGCAGGTTATAGACCTGCTGGATCTGGTTAAGCTGGCCAGAGGAAGAGCAGAGATCTGGGCTAGGGAGGCTTGCCCAGCAGAGCACACCAGGAGCACGGGATCCCATGAGCCCTCTCCTGCCACCCAAGGCCCTGGAACCAGCCATAGACCTAGTATGGAGCCCGGTGCTCCCACCAACTACTGATGGGGCCTTGGAGAAGTGCCCTGACCTCTCTGAGTCTCAGTTTCCACATCTGTAAAATGGGCTTAAGGAACACCCATCCTCACAACCCCTTTTTAGAGCCATTTGACATGCTCATCAAAGTTTTAAGTACTTTTTTAAAGATTTTATTTATTTATTTGAGAGAGAGAGAGCACAAGTAGGAGAGGGGGTTGCAGAGGGAGAAGCAGACTCCCCACTGGGCGCGGAACCCACCCGACACAGGCGCCTGATCCCAGGACCCTGAGATCATGACCTGAGCTGAAGTCAGACAGTTAACTGGCTGAGCCACCCAGGCGCCCCACTCATCAAAGTTTTAAATGTGCATGGTTTGTAATCCTGGGATCTACTTCCAAGCCAAATCTATGGATGTGTTCCCTCGTGCTCACAGAGAAGTGTGTGCGCGAGGGTGGGCCCTGCTACATTGCTGTGATAGCAACAGGCCACAGGCTGCCTGCAAAGGAGAGCGGATATAAACCCAAACCACAGCGCACCACCCGGACGTTAGAAACGAGGGAGGTGTGCACCTGCCACAGAGAGGAGTCACCAGGATCTATTATGCAGTGAGAAGGCAAGGTAGAAAGCAGCACTATCATGCGCTACCATGTGTATATTTAAAAAGGAAGGGGTGGGGGGATGTGTGTACAGTCTAACCACGGAAGAGCACCCCAAAACTGGTCCCAGAAGTTGCCTCCCGGGAGAGAATTAGGGTCTGGGAGAGGGAGACTGACTTCCCATGAACTGCCCCTCTGCCTGTCTCTTTCCCCCACGGTTTAATTGAGATATAATAGACATAGAACATTGTATTCGTTTTTGCTTGTTTTGTCTGAATCTTGTTTACCATCTGTGGGTGTCACCTGGTTCACGCAGCTTATGAACGAGAAATCGTCCTGCCGGGGTGTGAGGTGCCTTTCCGCGCTCCCCTGCCAGCCTCACGTAACACCCCTGCAGACGGAGTTTGAGCGGGTGCTCCAGGCTCCAGGTGGGGGACGCCACACACAAAGGCATGTCAGCAAGAATGGGCTTTGGTGTCCAGGGAAAAGAGGAGGCTCGGGGAATGGGAGGATGGGAGAGGAGTTCAGGGTGACCAGCTAAGGAACTTGTATTTTACTCCCCGAATAAAGCCACAGACTGGGAACTGAAGGAAGCAGGGAGGGAGTGCCACATGAAACAGAAGGGAAGGGGGGCTTTCAGGCAGCTCTTCTAGGTGGGTATGCGGAAGGGCCAGCAAAGGCCGGCGCAGGGAGGGGACCGTAGCATCAGAACTCAGACACACCAAGAGCACAGAGGCTGGTGCCGGCAGCTGGGCAGTGAGGACGATGGGCCAAGGCCCCTGGCCACCCACACACAATAGCGGGGACTGTAATGCCCATCACCTCCATGTTCCTCCCAGAAGCCCAGGGCCACCCTAGGGAGTTTCAGTGACTCGTCCAAGGCTGCACAGCTGGGAAGTGAAGCCCAGCCCTCTCCCCGCAAACTCTAGCATTTTCCATCCGCATGACCACGGCATGCAATGGGTGTTCATGGACGGTGCTTGGTGGATGACTCTTGCCAATATCTACTTGCCCAAGCAGCCCCTCAAGGAGGAATGCTGGGCCTCCCTCTGTCCTCCTCAACCCTCCCAGACCTGGCCTCTGCGGGGTGCTGAGGTGATCAAGTAGCAGCCATAACCAACATTATTTAGCTCAGGCTATCAAGTGCCCCCTTCACACCAAAATAAACACACAGAGAAAAAGAGGGTGGAGGGTGCCAGGAACCCTAGCCTCAGGAACTCAGGTGTGAGTCCCCCTTGGTCCTGGGCTACCAAGGACACCCAAGAGAGTCACTGGACCTCCAGAGCCCTGAGCTGTCTCCCTAGGCAACCGAGAGGGGATGAGCCAGAACGCTCCGGCCCCACGGGACTCCCCCTGATGCATCTATGAAACACTGGTGTTTCACAGGCTTCTGAAACCCTTCCTGCTGCTGGTAGCCTTCTCAGGAAGCCTTCCTTCTCTGGGGAGCTGCGCCTTCCTCGTGTGCTGGACGATTCTGGCCTGGCCTGGCGACACTAAGTTCACAGCCAGTCTTCCTGAGTGTTTTCCCACTTACTGCACTTGGCCAGGAGCTGGCAGCACAAAGACAATGATGATGTCAGCTTATATTTGTCCAGCACTCGCTGTAGGCCTTGTCCTACTCTGAGTACCATATGGGTATTATGTCATTAAATCCTCCCAGCAGCCTGAGGGCGTTACGGTGACCCCATGTGACAGATGAGGAAACTGAGAGCTATATACTGTCCAAGGTCACAGAGCTGGAAGGTGGCAGGGTCAGGTTCTAAGGTGGGCTCCAGAGCCCACTCTCACAACCACTGTGATTTCCTGCCCGGTCCAGGTAAAGGATTCGAATCAGCAGCACTTGGTGATGGAGTGGTTGTGACAGGGAAAGGAGAGGGGGCTGATCGCTAACACAGGAACCTTGGTGGGTGATGATACCACTCACTGAGATGGGGCCCAGAAGTAAGCCTGGTGGCCAGGGAGGACTTCAGTGACATTCTGTTTGGAAAAACTGGGTGTAAAAACTGTTGGACATCCAAACACCCAGATGTCATCCTGCTTACAGAAGAGAAACAGGAGGGTCCCAGTCCCACAGTGAAGCCAGAACCTGGCCCTGGGAGCAGTGACCGCAGGGACCATGAACCCAAGACTGAGCTTACTCTGGGTCCAGTCACCTTCACTATCAAGGTACGAAGGCAAAGGCTCTCCAACCACCCCATGTGTCTCCACGGGTGGGCCTCCCTCACCCTGAAGGAGTTAAGCAGCGAGAAGGCCTCAGACCAGATCTGCAAGATCCCATCCTTGGTGACAGTCAGGAGATGTCCCGTCTTCTTGAACCGCTGGGTTAAAAACTGCACCTTCACAATCTCACAGCCATGGTTCCTGTGGAAGGTGATAGGAGAGAGAAGGACTCAAACAAAAACAGAATGAAGAGCACAGAGGAGGAAGGAGAGAGCAAGCAAAGGGAGCTCCCTTTGCAGGTGCGCACGCTCGCGCGACGTGTGACTCTGCCAGGTGGGTTTCTACCATTATCAGCGCTGGCCGAAAGAAAGAGAGACCCAAGGGGCACCTGGGTGGCTCAGTCGTTAAAGCGTCTGCCTTTGGCTCAGGTCCTGATCCCAGGGTCCTGGGATCGAGCCCCGCATCGGGCTCCCTGCTTGGCGGGAAGCCTGCTTCTCCCTCTCCCACTCCTCCTGCTTGTGTTCCCTCTCTCGCTGTGTCTCTCTCTGTCAAATAAATAAATAAAATCTTTAAAAAAAAAAAAAAGAAAGAAAGAAAGAGAGACCCAAGAAGGCCGCTGGTATGAGACAGGGCTCCACAAGCTGTGGGCTTCTCCTATCGCACAGCCAGTCGGCTTCCTCAGGATGGGACAGGGTCAGAGGAGGCAGAGAACAGAGGTCTTTTGCAAAACTTCTTTTATGAGAAAAATGGCCTACAGGAGGCGAGTGGAGGGGGGCTTGCCACTGAAACCTTCATAATAACAGGTTCTGGCAACTCGGGGTAGAGCAAGGGAGTATAACCCAAGCATGCAATAAAAGTAGACGAGGGACAATGTATCCAACAGAACCCCGTGTACCTGACTCCTCATCTCCAAGGCCAGGCCCTGAGCCCAGCAAAGGCTCCCACAGCAGGCCTGGCCTTGCAGGATGCCCCCACGCAGCCTTCCCAGCAGGCTACAGCAATGCCTTCTTCCCTGCCCCAAGCTGGCTAAGCTGGCGGGCTGGCTGCTAACGGGACCACCATTTTGACTTCTGGACACGGCACAGCACACTCTCTCCCACCTGACGTTCCCACACCTCCAGGCCCCGGCGGGGCAGGGCATGTCACCTCACCACACAGGGACCCAGGGATAAGCATCTGCCTGGAGTTATGTCCTGGCTACAGGCAGAGCTCAAATTAGAACCTCGGCAGCTCCATCCCTACTCCAGCTGGAGCCCTCTGCAAATCTCACTGTGGACACCATGTGACCTGTGGCTGAGGGCTAACCCACACCACTGTGAAATTCCACATCCGAAACAGTCTCAGCAGGAGAGAGGGTAATGGTGTGTCTGGACACGGCTCCTTTCTCTCCCCCGCCCCCCACAGCCTGCAGCGCTGCCCGGTCTGCCCTCAAGCATCATTCCCAGGGCCACCTGTCACATCAGGGCCACGGGACCCTGAGAGGTCGACACAACAGGTGAGAGCCATGAGAAGTGAGAGAAGCCCTCAGGAGGTGTTACGCCACAGGGCCAGCACCTCCGCCTGCCAGACTGCAGAGGCATCCCAGAGGGGGCGTTCAGTGATCTTGGCCCAGACTCAGGAAGGGGGAGCCAGCTTTTAAGATGACCCTTTCATGAAGGTAATTAAATCGTACTTGGCTATTTTCTCTGCCAAGCTGGAAATGCTCTCTGGGTTTGAAGGTTGAGCAAATAAATAGGGGAAAGTAGGGAGAGCCTTCTTAACGTTTTTGGTTCTGGCCCTTTAAGCACCCTTGGGAATCTAAACGTCCCAAGGAAATAGAAAGACCCATGAAGGCTTGGCCACATCAGGTCATCATGTATGGTTATAAAATCCTTCATCGTTCATATTTATTGGCTATTCCTCAATTGAATCTTGACCAAAATTGTTTTAGTTGCCCTTTCCTGGTTTTCATTACACCATCTCTCTGAATCTCCAGGTGCTCTGGGGCAGACTACTTCTGGTTCACGGTCTTCCCCATAGCCTGCTCTGGGCGTGGTCCTGAGGACAGATCCAGCCACAGCTCCTCCTAACCAGGCCACAAATGCCGGTCACCAAGTGTTGGACCAGAGGACCTGGCTCCCTGGCCCAGCTGCCTGCACTGGGCAGGAGGTGCTCAAACCCCCAGGTGGTCTCTGGGAAAGGAACTCTGGGAAGAGGCCTGGGCCATTGGCCAGATCCACTAGAGGGCTCCTTGTTCTTAGGGAGTTCAGAGGGGCGGGAGCAGACAGGGCCATGGCATAGAAAGAAGATGAGGTGAAGGCCCAGATGGCACAGTGGGGAGGAGCCACGAAGAGGAGCAAACAGGCAGGGTCAGGAGGGGGTCAAGGCAGGGACAGAGCCAGATGCTCCAGGAGTGATCAGTGGCCCGTTCCCGAGGGCTGGCGTGGCCTCCAGGAGCAGCTTCCCATGATGGCTTTTACTCCCCGCCACGTGAGCCATCTGTGCCCTGTGGATAAAACCCCCAGGCCCACTCAGCACGAGCGGTGGGAGGAAGCAGGAGGAACAGCGATGCTGCAGGGAGGGTCAAAAACAGCAACCCCTCCACTCTCATTTGACCTCCCCGAACCTCTCTTTCCTTGTCTGTAAAGTGGGGACACGTCACCCACCTTAATGCTCAGGCTCACCTACAGGGTTGAGGGGCTGAAAGGAGCCTTGGTGGCCCCACAAAGAGGGGCTCAGGGACTTAGGGAGGAGCACTCGCTCCTTGTTCCCACACACCCCTTCAGTCCAGGGAGAGGCTCCTTACAGGGGGATGATCCTCATGGGAAGGTGGAAGCGCAGGCGGTACTGGCTTGTTCTCATCCTCTCCTTTCTCTGGAACTCCCGCATCATGTAATCCACGTACTTCTGCTGCCTCGGGAAGAAATACGAGGCAGGATGGCATTGGCCAAGCTGTCAGAGCACTGGGCTTTGGGGGCCCACGCCTGGCTTCCGGTGCCTCCCCCATCCTTCCCAGCCCCTTCCAAGGGGCTCTCTGGTTGCTGATTCCTGGGGCTGGCCAAGGGGAGTAGCCCAGCCCCTGAGCTGTTCTGGGATCTGGGATCACAAGGACATGCAGCAGCACCTCCCTCCTTCATGCATTTCTGTGATGCTAAATACATCTGCGCATCATCGCCACATCCAGCATCTTGTTTGAATCTCTTTATTCACCCCCACTTTATGGGTAATAAGACTGAAGCCCATAAAAGTAGAGATGAGTTGTTCCAGCTCATATAACAAGTTAACAGCAGGGGAAGACCCAGAAACCAGGTCAGAGGGCAACTCTAGAATCTACTGATGCCTCATAAAGGCCAAAACAGGCCACCATATGAACCTATAAAGAAAGAAGTAGTTATTAAGGTCATTGTGTAGATAGCAGAGAATTCTGGAAACATGTTTGTTGTAGAATATTAAGAGAAATGAAAGAAAAAACAAAACAGAATGTATGCCTAAGCCGAGGAGAGGAATGTCAGAGTAGTTAACACCCGGGGTTCCTGGGGCAAACTCCCCAGGTCTGAAGACTAGCTCAGCTGCTAACTAGCTCTGTCACTCTGGGCAAGTTTCTTAACTTCTTCATGCCTCCGTTTCCCAATCTGTCAAATTAAGGTAAATAACAACACCTATCCTGTAGGATCCCTGTGAAGTTTAAGTAAAATAATACATAAAGTGCTTAGCACAACGCCTGGTGTAAAGGCTAGTTATCATTGTTGGCATTGCTATGTCAACACATCAGACTATTTTTTTGTACTTTTCTGTATCTTTCTGTATTCCGTCTGCTCATCACAGAACATACAGAATCAGGGAAAAAATCTGCTCTAAAACCCTGGCATTTTTGGATGGAAAAGCCACAGGCCTGCCTGTTGGCTGAGAGGCCAGAAAAGGCCATGAGATGGTTGTGGCACCTGCTGGGACTGAATGGGGGGCTGGTGGGCGGCATCCTTACTGCCAGGTCACTGCCATTTGTCATACACTCTCCTACCTGCCAGGAGAAGAATGAGCTGCAGTAAGCCCTGCTCACGGAAGTCTCAGGAGGGTTCCCTCTACCCAGCAAGCACCCCAGAATCCACAGGTGGCTTTCTGATGCCTTGACCACCTCCCCATCTTCAGCCCTCCACGTGCTCTACGGATCCGCCATGCCTGGACCCTTCAGCCTCCCTCCAGCTACCCGAGGCGCCCTCCTCACCCAGGTGACGGACCCAGTACAGTCCGTGTCCACCTTCAGAAACAGCACCTCTAGCAGCTCCTCTGACATATTGCTCAGAATCTTCTTCATGGCCTTAATGAAAGCCTTCATGTCCAGGGCTTCAAAAGAGAAGAAAGAACATCATCCACATCATAGCAATTCACTGGGCCCCGTCAGCAGCCACGGTGTTCTTGGATGTCTGGGCGCTGAGGGAGGGCACCCAGAGAATCACGTTTGCTGGATTGTCCCTTGAATCTCATCCATCTGTTCAGATTCAATCAGCCCACAACTACTGGCTGCACACCTTCCACGCCGGAGCCCTGTGTTGGCCCCACAGCATTACTGGGTGAGGGGCTACTGAAAAAGATCAGATCTCATTTCTGAACAAATAAGACAGAACAGGCATTGAGACAAAGAAAACTGATGAAAACTCGAAAAAAAAAAAGAGAGAGAGTGACTGAGAGAGAGAGAAGGAGAGAAAGAAAGAAAGAAAGAAAGAAAGAAAGAAAGAAAGGAAGGAAGGAAGGAAGGAAGGAAGGAAGGAAGGAGGAAAGGAAAGGAAAGGAAAGGGAAGGGAAGGAAAGGAAAGGAAGGAAGGAAGGAAGGAAGGAAGGAAGGAGGAAGGAAAGGAAGGAAGGAGGAAAGGAAAGGAAAGGAAAGGAAAGGAAAGGAAAGGAAAGGAAAGAAGGAAGGAAGGAAGGAAGGAAGGAAGGAAGGAAGGAAGGAAGGAAGGAAGGAAGGAAGGAAAGGAAAGGAAAGGAAAGGAAAGGAAAGGAAAGGAAGGAAGGAAGAAGGAAAGGAAGGAAGAAGGAAAGGAAGGACGAAAGGAAAGGAAAGGAAAGGAAGGAAGGAAGAAGGAAAGGAAGGAGGAAAGGAAAGGAAGGAAGGAAGGAAGGAAGGAAGGAAGGAAGGAAGGAAGGAAGGAGGAAAGGAAAGGAAGGAAGGAAGGAAGGAAAGGAAGGAAGGAAGGAAAGGAAAGGAAAGAAGGAAGGAAGAAAAAAGAAAAAAAAGAAGGAAGGAAGAAAGAAAGGAAGGAAGAAGGAAAGGAAGGAAGGAGGAAAGGAAGGAAGGAAGAAGGAAAGGAAGGAGGAAAGGAAAGGAAGGAAGGAAGAAAGGAAGGAAGGAAGGAAGGAGGAAAGGAAAGGAAGGAAGAAAGAAAGGAAGGAAAGAAGAAGGAAAGGAAGGAAGAAGGAAAGGAAAGGAAAGGAAGGAAGGAAGGAAGGAAGGAAGGAAGGAAGGAAGGAAGGAAGGAAGGAAGGAAGAAAAAGAAAGAAAGAGAAAACTAATAATGGCAATAGACATAAATTAAATCAAATATACAAAGAGAGAGGTGAAGTGTGTCTTTTAAAGGCAGTTAAGGGGCACCTGGGTGACTCAGTCAGTTAAGTGTCTGCCTTCAGCTCGGGTCATGATCCCAGGGTCCTGGGATTGAGCCCCACCATCAGACTCCCTGTTCAGTGGGGAGCCTGCTTCTCCCTCTCCCTCAGCCCCTCCCTCTGCCCACTTGGGCTCGCTCTCTCACTCTCACTCTCTCTCTCAAATAAATAAATAAAATCTTTTAAAAATAAAGGCAATTAAAAGGCTAACTTTGGCTGGAGAGAAAGTTGGGGAGGGGAGAAGAGCAGAGGGCAGGGATAAAATACTCTCCCCATGCTGGGTTTTGTGACTATAAGGGAATCTGTCTGTCGATGGGCCAATATCCCCAACTAGATTTTTTTTTTTTATAATCACAGTCTATAAAAAGTGTTTCTAAAGTCCCCTCCAAATATCTGGACTCCTCGCCACAGTCTGAAGGCTGCATATTTTCTGGCTTTGCTCAGATCTCACCTCCCACTGCCATCCCCCCTTTATTCCCGGCTCCAGCCATAATGTCCCCACGCTGTTTCTCACACCACCGAGCATACTCCCACCTCAAGGCCTTTGCACCATCTGGTCCCCTCCACAGGGAAGCCTTCCCGGGGACTATCTAGGGAGGCCCCTTACCCCCGCCACCCAGCTCCACTGTCGCCCCTGACCTTCCGCGTCCCTGCTCTAGCCCGTGAGCTCTGCAAGTGCAGAGTGAGCCTGTGCCCTCCATGACTGGATCCTTGGCACACGGCACACGCTTGTTCCCCAAGTACTGCTGTTGGCACTAGGATGTGGACGCGAGGATATCGGGTGCTTCTCTGTGTTTATTCCCACTGACCAGTTAATGAGAGGGACTCGTGAGGAAACCGTGGGGCACAGAGGTGAGGTCATGCGCTCAAGGTCACGGGGCGGTGCCTGAGGCTGCCCCCGGCAACCTGGTCCTTCCATGTATGAGTTGGGTATCAGTTGGATGGCACGGAGCCCTCCCTTTGGGAGGGAGCCAAGAGCCAAAGAGCCTTTGTGCAGCGTTGAATAAACAAAGCCCTCTGGCGAGGGAGAGCACTACAGGAAACAACCTGCTCCTTACACAGGTGTCTAAGAAGCTGTGATTGTTCAGCACCATGTTAGGTCAATATACTTCTCATCAACGGTTCACCAAACACTTTTTTTGAAAACAAGAAAAGAGAATAGACACAAAGGTATTTGGGAAAGGAAACACACACTGTGGGGTCCAGGCAGGGCCCCCTTCCGCTCTCACCCACCTCAAGCCAAATGGTTAATTAATCACTCAAAAACCTGCATGTGAAAATATCACTTCCTTAGGGAGCGGGTCACCACCGGGATCAGGCAGGAGGACACTTTCTGGGGGGCAGGAAATGTTCTATAACTTGATCTGGGTGCTGCTTACATGAATGTATGCAGGTGAAAGATGCTGTAAGCTGGACCCCAAAACCTGTGCATTTTGTGGGAAGTAAATGATACCTCAGTGTAAAGATACATATTATTTTACTTCTGAATTGTACTCAGGGCGAACTCTCTAACCTCCTTTCCCTGCACCTCTGAGCTTAGACAGCTCTACATTTTTTTTTTTTTAAGAGAGAGAGAGCAAACGCGAGCAGGAGAGGGGGTATGCAGAGGGAGAGGAAGAGACAGGTTCTTAGACAGGCTCCACACCCAGTGCGGAGCCCAATGTGTAGCTCGATCTCACAACCCATGATTGTCACACCTTCCAGCTCAGAAGACAAGGGGGGTGTTCTGACAGCCCACTCTCCCCAGCCTGGGTGGTCCTGGGCCCTTTCCTCAGGGAAGTCTAGCCTCACTCCTGTCCTCCTCTCTTCTCCCTGCACCCTGCTGGCACGTTCTCTCCAGCACCCAGCACGGGACACCCCCTCTGCCCACCACTCCCTGACATGTGCCCACCCACTCTCCTCAGCCACCAGAGACCTCGGACTCTGGTCTCCTCCATGCTCCGCTGCCTGCCCTGCCCTGTCATTCAGCATGTGCCTCAGCTCTTCTCATCACTGTCCCCTTGGTTTTCTGACACTCTCCTTGAGTGACTTCACCTATTCACCCATCTCTGCGTCTCAGGAGAGAACATGTCTCCCTTGTCTCTGACTGTTCCCAAGTGTTCCCCTGGTCCCTTCAACTCAGCATGCTTAAAATCCGGTTTATTATCTTTTTTTTAAGATTTTATTTATTTGGGGCGCCTGGGTGGCTCAGTTGGTTAAGCGACTGCCTTCAGCTCAGGTCATGATCCGGAGTTCCGGGATCGAGTCCCGCATCGGGCTCCCTGCTCGGCAGGGAGTCTGCTTCTCCCTCTGCCCCTCCCCCCTCTCATGTGCTCTCTCTCTCTCTGTCAAATAATAAATAAAATCTTTATAAAAAAAAAAAGATTTTATTTATTTATTTGAGAGAGAGAGAGAGCCCAAGCAGGGGGAGTGGCAGGCAGAGGGAGAGGGAGAAGCAGGCTTCCCGCCGAGCAGGGAGCCCGATGCGGGGCTCGATCCCAGGACCCCGGGATCACGACCTGAGCCGAAGGCAGCCGCCTAACCGACTGAGGCGCCCTGGTTTATTATCTTTATTCCACTGTATGTTGGCCTTTCCTGTGTTCTCCATCTCTGTTAATGGCATCACCTCCAGCCAGGCGGAAGACCTGAGGGGGTTTCCCATGCCCTCCCTCCTGAAACCTCACAAGAATCCTGTGGTCCAGGGGCACCTGGGGGGCTCAGCTGGTTAAGCAGTTAAGCTTAAGTCTGCTCAGGTCATGATCCCATACTGGCTTCCTGCTCAGCAGGGAGCCTGCTTCTGCCTCTGCCTCTGCCTTCCACTCCCACTGCTTGTGCAAGCTCTCTCTGTGTCAAATAAATAAATAAAACCTTTAAAAAAAAAAAAAAAAGAATCCTGTGGTCCTAGAAGACAGGTCCTGTCATTCTTCCCATCTTACAGATGAGGACACAGAGGCACGGAGAGGTCCGGGCTTTGCCCAAGAACACACAATGGCACTGGGAGGATTTGAAACCAGAAGCCTCCCCTCATCTCCATTATAATGTCCACTACCCTCTGTGGGGCGGTCACGTGAGGAGCCAGTCCCTTCCTGGCCAAGACACTTACCTTTCTCCAGCAGCTCTAGATAAGTCACCTCCCTGTCAGACCCGCTGCTGGGGCTCAGGGCCCCTCCTGACCTGAGTGCACCCACATCCTCTGCGGCTGCCTCCCTCCCAGCCTTGCCCCAGGACACCCTTCCTCCTCCCAGCATGCAACACCCCTGCACCTCTCCTCTGCCCTCCCCACCTTCTCCTGGGAAACTCCCACTTCACTTTTCTCTTTCTTTGTAAAGCTAAAATGTAGGATTATGGACTGTTTGTACCGATTTTTTTTATATACTTATAAGCATTTTTTATTTTTTATTTTTTTTTAAGATTTTATTTACTTATTTATTTGAGAGAGCGAGAATGAGAGAGAGAGACAGAGCACATGAGAGGGGGCAGGGTCAGAGGGAGAAGCAGCCTCCCTGCTGAGCAGGGAGCCCGATGCGGGACTCGATCCCGGGACTCAATCCCAGGACTCCAGGATCATGACCCGAGCCGAAGGCAGTCGCTTAACCAACTGAGCCACCCAGGCGCCCCTATAAGCATTTTTAAAATAAATGCAATATTTAAAATATTTAAGAAGAAAATGTTTCCTAGCCTCCCCTCTGCCATTTGGTACGGGGGGCGGGGGAGGGGTATGTGTGTGTCCCACAGTGCTTGAACTCCTAGGGCACAGTCACCAAGCACGAGCACTGCATGGTCGTGCCCCTGGCTCTCCCAGAAGGGGCCCTCTTTCATTTACTTTGGATCTGAAGTGCTACACTCAGTGTGGGGTGCCCACAGAGCACAGTTTCCATGTCAGGGCACCCGGGTCACTGCATTTGGGCCTGTCGTTAGTGTCTGGCCCCTCCTATGTAAAGTCACAAAGCCACAGGTCTTCATGACAACTGAATCAAATCTGACAGAGGGCTGGGTAACCCATGAAGCTCTGTACCAAGGCTGATTCTTACCCTGCCTGGCAGTGCTTGATGAAATGTCAGCTGGCGAAAGTGGGGGCACACTCGGCATGTGCATCCCCCATGTCCCCTCAGGAGCACCTGTGCGGAAGGTCAGTGCCACTCTGGCTCACAGGCTTGGGGCTGCAGGGCCCCCAGCTCGGTGGCTCTCCCTTGATCCCCACCCTAGCAGCCCGCAAGCGCCCCCAGGCAGGCCCCGGAGGCAGGGGCCAGGGGCACATGGACACTTTTAAGACATCCCAGGAGAGGCACGGACAACCCCCCCTAAAAACCACAGACCCAGGGGCACCTGGATGGCATAGTTGGTTTCGGCTCAGGTTGTGATCTCAGGGTCGGGAGATCGAGCCCCGCATCCAGCTCCGCACTCAGCGTGGAGTCTGCTTAGGACTGTTTCTCTCCTTCTCCATCTGCCCCTGCCCCCTGCGCCTTTTGCTATCTCTGAAAGAAAGAAAGAAAGAAAGAAAGACAGAAAGACAGAAAGAAAGAGAAAGAAAGACCCAGAGACCCTCAGGGCGCCTGGCTGGCTCAGCCGGTGGAACATGCTTGATCTCTGGGGTGTAAGAGCCCCATGTTGGGTGTGGAGATCACTTAAAAATAAAATCTTTAAAAAAAAAACACAAAGAACCATGGACCCTCCTCAGAGACCTCCAATCAACAAATAAAAAAACTAAGGCCCCGAAAGGGAACTTGTAGAATAGACAGGAGAACCCTGGCACATCTCCCCTTTTCCCTCTGAGATAGGCACTGATGGTCAGGTCAGGGTTCCCAAGAAACGCTATGGAACCCATATTCATGACTGATTGATTGATTGATTGATTTTAGACAGAGAGAGAGAAAGAGCACAAGCAGGAGGAGCAGACAGAGAGGGAGAATCCGGCTAAGTGCAGAGCGCGACGTGGGGCTCTATCCCACGACCCTGAGATCACGACCTGAGCCGAAATCAAGAGCTGGATGTTTAACCAACTCCACCACCCAGGCATCCCCATGACCCACCTCTTTAAAAGACTTTTGAGGGGCGCCTGGGTGGCTCAGTCGTTAAGCGTCTGCCTTCGGCTCAGGTCATAATCCCAGGGTCCTGGGATCGAGCCCCACATCGGGCTCCCTGCTCGGCGGGGAGCCTGCTTCTCCCTCTCCCTCCGTCTACCACTCTGCCTACTGTGCTCTCTTTCAAATAAATAAATAAAATCTTTTTTAAAATAAATAAATAAATAATAAAAGACTTTTGAAAGAGAAAAATGAACCTAGTTTCCTTTACCCTGTATCAACGAAAGGTGAATTTTCCTTTCCTCCATTTAAAACCTGGTCAGTTTTTTTTTTTCTTTTTTTTTTTAACGAGGAAACTCTTTTTACATTGATATGAAAAGACGTCAAGACGTATTAGGTAAAAAGCAAAAGGGGAAACTTGATAAAATTATTTTTCTTAAAAGCAGGAGTAGACAATTGTGGGGATCTTTTCTCAATGTATATGGATATTGAATCAGCATGGTGTACGCTTCAAATATGCTACAAATTTATTTGTCAATTATAGCTCAATAAAGCTGAAGGGAAGAAAGCAAGGGGTAGAACAGCATGGACGACAGGCTGCCACTGCATATCAAAGGGGGAAGTGACCACATCGCTTCTGAGCTTCTCCAGGTCACAGGAGACTGAAAGCAGGCACTGCCCGAAGGAGCGGAACCGGGCAGCTTGGGTCTGGCCCGAAGGAGACATTTACTCTGTATGCCAAAAAAGTATCACGGGCAAAGTACTTTTTGACTTTTGAACTGCCTAAATACACTGCCTGCTCAAACACAAACACCATAAAAATTGTGGTCAAAGTTGACACACTCAGGGTCTTCCAAGACCCAGCTGCCAAACACCAACACCAAACCACTCTAGTTAGGAGCCATCTCATCTCCGGGTCAGGCACATGCCAACTGTCCCTGCCCTCACTTTGTTCATCTGTGAGCTGGGGATTTCTTATCCTTTCCTGTCCACATCACAGTATGGCTGTAAAACTCAAATTAATGGGGCCAGGAGCTATGCCCCCAGAGCTGGTACTCGGAGTCTAGTGGATATAAACAAAGATGCCTTTAAGTACTCCTATTACTTGCCTTTATGTGTATCACCCCCAGGAGAAAAATTAAGCTCTAAAGAGAGAAAAAGTCTGATGCACAAAGGATGTTCTTTACAATGTTCTTTAAACTCAGTAAAATCTAAATATCCAACTGTAGGGGAATGGCTTAGTCCACAGTAGAACACTTGCATTCATGAGTAATGATGGTTTGGAAGACTACAGAAGATATGTAAAAGCCCTTAAGGTATTATACATCCAGAGGAAAAGAAGGGTCTGAAGTCACATACGTAGTACAATTACGGACACGTGAAAACACACATAGCCATCTGTGGTCGAGATACTTCAGGTAGCCCCAGGATGTCTGCCTCCTGGTGTTCATGCCCTCCCGTAATCCCCTCCTCTTGAGTGGAACAGAACCCATGACTCGCTTCTAACTAAGAGAATATGGCAGAAGCGATAGGATGTATGGGGTTTTGTGTACATAAGTGCATACTTATAAGACTAGCGGGGCGCCTGGGTGGCTCAGTCGCTAAGCGTCTGCCTTCGGCCCAGGTCATGATCCCAGGGTCCTGGGATCGAGCCCCGCATCGGGCTCCCTGGTCCCTGCTCCCTGGGAAGCCTGCTTCTCCCTCTCCCGCTCCCCCTGCTTGTGTTCCCTCTCTCACTGTGTCTCTCAATGTCAAATAAATAAAATCTTTAAAAAAAAAAAAAAAGACTGTAGCACACATCTTGCTGGAGTTGCGACCTCCCCGGCTACCCTGAGCCTTGGAATCCACCATGTTGGTGAGTCCCACGTGGCCAGGAACCGTGGGCAGCTGGAGGAGCTGAAAGCAAGTCACTGGCCGATAGCCAAGAGGAAACAGAAGCCTTCAGTCCTGCAGCTGCAAAGAACTCAATCCTGCCAGCAACCTGAGTGGACTTAGAAGTGGATCCTTTCCCCGGCAAGCCCCGGATGATACCACAGCCCCGGCCTAGCGAGACCCCGAGCAGAGGAGCCAGCTGAGCCATGCCCAGATGCCTGGCCCACCGAAACTGGGAGATACTAAATGTGTGGTTTACGCCACTGCATGTGCAAGAACGCTGTCACACAGCAAGAGATAATAAACCATACATATGAAATTGTTTGGAAGAAACTATACCAAAATGCTGACAGTGGTTATATCTGGGAGCTTGGATCAGGGGTATTGCTTTTCTAGATATGAAATAGCCTCCTATAGGCTTACAATATTTATATAACGACAGAAAGTTTTAAAAAGTTTGAAGACACTGTATGAAAAACTGCTTGTCAATTCTGAACCCTGCACACCCCCAGGTATGGGTCCCACCCTGTGCAGAAACCAGAAACAGAGCCTGCAAGGCGGCTTTACCTCTGGTCGAGTCAACATCATCCTCAAACATTTTCTCCACCTCGGCCATGTGTAGCGGGGTAAACAGTTGAGACTCATGTTGGCCAAGAGTGATGGATAATGCCGGGGAGCTAAGAACCTCCTCGCTCTTCTGGAATCCACCTGGGGTGGATACCTGAAACAAAGAGGACTATAAGAACCGGGGAGTGAGAGGGTTGATTTCCTGAGCTGAACATTTCTAAGCACATCTTATTGAAATAGAGACTCTTCGCGGGGAGGACAGTGTATGTAGGGTTACAGTGAGGCAAATGAATAAATCTTTAACACTTTTAGACTGAGGAAGACCAAGAAAGATCTAGACTGTCTGTCCTAACTTTGGGGAGTTCATTACTGGTCCCCTTTTGCAGATGCTGTGACTGAGGCTCAGCAAGGTTAGCGGACACGGACAAGGTCTCACCCTCACAGACCAGGACTCCAATTTATAAGGTGCTTCCGTTCAGTAACTGTATTGTTTCAATCTTCAGTGCTCAGAATTCAAACCCCAAGGAATCCAGCTCCATCTTCCCCAGCCAATTTGATTTGGTCCTGAGCATCCCAGACGCCCGCCTGGGTCAGGGTCACATCAAATCATCTGCACACACACCAACGCTCCCGGAGACACCCCTGATAAGGGCTTTCTGCTTCCTCCTCCCATTGTCTCCCCATGCCCCCCACATAGCCTATTCTGCCCTCCCCAGCCTATCCAGCCTATCCAGCCATCAACAATGAACACCTCCTTTCTGTAGCCCCTACATATCCTTAACACAATGTTTCAGGTTACAAAAGGCTCAGGTCATCAAAGACTGCTTCCCCCAAAGGATGCCAGGAGTGGACCATGGGATAACCACTGAATGTCTGTTGCTCACTGAAATGCACTGCGTTGGGTCTTGGGCATTCAAGACTTTGGTTCAAAAAGCCAAAAGACAATGTGGAAGAAGTTGGATGGCTCACTCTCCCCACCGCAACCCCACCAAACCAGCAAACGTGCTCATCCTCCTGTGAACTTCTGTTCATTCCCTCATGGTCTATACACATTTGTTGAGTGTCAGGTACTGTAGGTACACGAGTGCACAGAGTGAAGACCTGCCTTCCTGGAGCCCAACAGGAGAACTAATTAATACTCCCACAGCCACACAGGCCTCAGATTAGACATCTCAGCACCATCTTTGGCTCTTCCCTTCTCCTTCTATGCATTCTTACTGTCCCTCCTGCTGATTCTTACTAGGCTCCTCCTCCTATACCTAACGCCTTGCTCCCCCACATCCCTGGCCCATCCCAAACACTGGCCTTGTGCTGGGACAAGTATAGGGATGTCCCCTAACTGGGACCAGAGTTTGGCCTTCCTTTCCCCTCCACCTCCCCACATTGGGATCAATCACCTTTCTGGAAGACAAATCTGATTATAACTTTACCCCAGCTCTGACACTTCCCAGGCTACTACCACGCCCCCCACCCCCACTCCTGAGTGTGGCACTCAAAGCCCTTTGCATTGTAGCCCTGACCTGTCTTTCTAGTTTCAATGCTCACACCATGGTCCAGGCACACCAACTGCTTTCCATCATCCCCAAACGCAGCAAGCATTCCACTTTTACTCACATGTTCCCTCTATGCAATGCAGACCATCTCCCCTTGACGTGAACTCCTACCCACTCTTCAAACCCTGGCTCAAATGACACCTCCTCCAAGGAGCTTTTCCATAACTTTCAGGTGACAGTCATCGCTGCCAACTCCATGCTCCCAAACCCTTTGTTCGTATCTGCCATGCATGCATGATACTTGTGCATGTCTGTCCATACGTGTAGACAGCCAGGGAAACACCCAGCTGTAGAGTCCCAGAGCTCTGGGTTAGAATTCTGCCTGGCTCCCTACTTCCAAGCTAATTTACCTTGGGCACATCACATCACTTCTCTGAGCCACATGTTTCTCATCTGCAAAATAGAGACCCGCAGTACCCACTTTGCAGGGTTGTGGTAGTACCTACATGACCCCCGAACACATTGGCAGTCTCAGCAGACTGTAGTTACGTAATAAATGATAGCTCCTATTATTACTCCTGTCTCCTAGTGAGCTCTTTGAAGGCAAGGACATATTTAGTTTATCTTAATTTAATCTTTTTTTTTTAAAGATTTTATTTATTTATTTGACAGAGAAAGACACAGCGAGAGAGGGAACACAAACGGGGAGTGGGAGAGGGAGAAGCAGACTCCCCGCCGAGCAGGGAGCCCGATGCGGGACTCGATCCCGGAACTCCAGATCATGACCTGAGCCGAAGGCAGTCGCTTAACCAACTGAGCCACCCAGGCGCCCTATCTTAATTTAATCTTAATTTAACTTGTACTAATGATCTCTCTATTCTCCAGCCCCAAGCATACAATAGACACTAATTGCTTATCTTAGGCTTGAGGGTAATGTATACAGCCTATCCCACCACTGCCACAACTTGGCTGGACAAAATTAAGGATAGTCCCTGCAGAGAATGCAAATTGGTAGCCTCAGATTTGTTGCATTTGGCCAACATAGTGCTTTAAAAGGGAAAACCAGCCTGCTGCCATGCACAGGTAACTTACCTACCTGGCCTTGTGAATATCTGAGTTTGCTACCCTGATGCAGAGACTGATAACTGATAGACTTCTGAGCTAATGAGCGACACCTGGGCGGCTCTGGAACGCCCCTCCCCTTTACCAACCTCAAATAGTTTTCTTACCTTTTGAGACTGAGGGCTCTCTCTTAAGTCCTCGGAAGACACTGGTCTTGACCTAGAAAAGGGAATCATGGTCACTTTATTCCAACTTTCTAAGACCATGTGGGAGGCTGACCTAGCTAGGTCACAAGAGGGTGGAAAAGAAGTCAGGGTCGGGGGTCGGGGGCTGCTACCTGTACCCACAGACACCCCCAGCACGCATCTGATGAGCATCCTTTTTCCCCAGGAGCTCCTCCAGCAGGAAGCTTTTCCCAAGCCTATCCCTGTGAGCCTTCCTCCCCCTGATGGGAAGGAGTTGTCCTATTGAAGCCCTGGGGCTTCTCAAGTGAATGCCAGAGGATTCCTAAAGCAGGCCACACTTTCTACAGAATTAGAAGGGGCTTAGGAGGCCATGCAGTTAGGAGACCAACTACAATTCACATACCGGGAAAAGAATGTCCAGGGGCAGGCACATGTCCAAAGGGTCAAACACAGGGTCCGGAGATGGTGAAGGATGGCCCTACTTTCCACTTCCTCCCCCTCCCCCATCTGCCCTCCTGTGCGCCTGGAGACAGGACCTCTATGGAAGGACGGAATCCTCCTCACTGCAACATGGGATCACATGAGAGTATGGGAGAGGTGCGGTCCACAGAGTTCTACTCTGAGAATAGAAAGGACATATTTCTACTAGGTCAGTGGCTCCTCCATGTAAGATGGAAGACAGCACTTTGTTAGGATTATTTGAGTGTCAGTCTGCCTCACCAGCAAGAATCCAAAGAGCTTTTTAGGATGGCAGGGGAATGGCCAGGAAAGAGTCAAGCCCCAGACAGGCTCAGGGGACAGAGCTAATGAGCCAGACTGGCTTGACAAAGAGCTCCTGAGGGTGTGGGGAGGGGAGGAATAGTGGGAGAGAAGAGAGGAAAGAAAAATGGAAGCAGAATGTAGAAGCTCCAGTATTTCGCCAGGGAGTCCGAGCAGGATGAAGGGCAATTATGGAAACTCATCAGCATAAGCAGAGGGAAGATTGAAGACTGGCCAACAGTGTCCCAACCTAAATTGTCTTGGCGGCAGCTCAGATGTGAAAACCAAAGGAGAGAAAGGAGCCAAAGGAAAGGAAATTTGGAAGCCAAGAACCAGGGTAACTGAGGGTAACATTTCCAGGAAAGGCAGCAAGGAGGGAAAGTGGCTTCATGCATGTGATGCTGGGCTGTCCAATTAGAAATGAGAAACAAATACCTGGAAATATGGGGCCTGAAACTGATGACTGGCTACATTTAGGGGATAGAAAGAGGAGGGGAAACATGCAAAAGACAGGAGGAAGGAAGCCTCAAAGTGGACGGAGAGGGTAAGAAAAAGACAAGGCCACTGAACACAGCCATTAAAGGTCACTGAGGAAAAAAGCTGCAGGAGTGGATTGATAGATCCACTTCTGTTAAGAATATTGTGCATGGGGGCACCTGGGTAGCTCAGCTCAGTTGGTTGAGTGTCTGCCTTTGGCTCGGGTCATGATCCTGGGGTCTGGGATTGAGCCCCATGCCAGGCTCTCTGCTCAGTGGGGAGCATGCTTCTCTGCCTGCCGCTCCCCCTGCTTGTGCTGTCAGGTAAATAGATGAAATCTTAAAAAAAAAAAAAAAAAGAATATTGTGTATGTATATGTTGGCACATGCAGAGCCTGGAAAAATACACTCCAAATTTAGTGGTGGTTATCTCTGGCAGGTGAGATTATGGAGGATTTCTATAGTCTAAATCATGCATTTCTCCATTTTTAATTCAAAAAACATTCATGGCAATCTTTAGGATTTATTTCGGTGGAGCAGGTCAAGTGGTGGATAGCGATTTACATCACTCATCTGTGAAAGACCACTGGCTGGGAGTGGTCGCTGCAGCATCATTCGTAGTGGCAAAAAATAAGGCAAATTGGCTATGGAAGAGGAGCGGCTGAGTGAATCAGTACGCCTGCGCTCAGAACATCCCCACAGCACTCAAAAGGCTGAACCTGGCCTTCAGCAGAGGACTAGCAGGGATTTCCAATAGGTAGTAATAAGTAAGAAAAGATGCAAAAAGTGCACAGTACGATGCCAATTTTTATAAAAGAATGACAGGGACGCCTGGGTGGCTCAGTCGTTAAGCATCTGCCTTCGGCTCAGGTCATGATTCCAGGGTCCTGGGATCGAGCCCCGCATCTGGCTCCCTGCTCCACGGGAAGCCTGCTTCTCTCTCTCCCACTCCCCCTGCTTGTGTTCCCTCTCTCGCTGTGTCTCTGTCAAATTAATAAAATCTTTAGAAAAAAATAAAAAAATAAAAAATAAATAAAAGAATGACAAATAGGTATGTATTTACACATATAAGAACATGTGTGTACATACACAGACATACATACACACATTTGTAAACAGGACTACCCTTAACAATTATGGGGCTGAGAACAAGAGAACAAATACAGGTCCACAGAGCAAGTCGTTTTAAGTAGTTAGAAATCAAGTTAATATACTATTAAATAAAGCACATTCTCTTCTTCTACCTTGACAAATACTTTCCATAACCTGGAAAACCAGTTTCAAATTTACAGTTCTTGAACTCCTCAGCAAAGTGCCAGAATTTGGCAGTGTGGACAGAACCAGCTTCCAAGTCCTCTGCCCACCCACCACACTCAACCCGTCCTGGTTAAGGGGCTTGTGGATGGTGGCAGGTTGACAAGACACCCCAGCCCACATGCAAGCCACACCTCACCTCCACTGCTCCACGGCCACCTCAAACCTAGGGGGCTGCCCTCAGAAACTATGCACTGGGCAACAGGCCCACAAAGAATCAGATTCAAAGCACTTTGGGCAGGGGACTCCAGTATTTAGAGCTGTGGGGGCTGGGGGGGGTGGGCTCTAAGGGCCATTAGTAGGACCACTGGTGAAATTTGAACACGGACTGTATATTCTTTTCTTTTTAAAAGATTTTTATTTATTTATTTGACAGAGAGATACACAGAGAGAGAGGGAACACAAGCGGGGAAGTAGGAGAGAGAGAAGCAGGCTTCCCGCTGAGCAGGGGGCCCGATGCGGGACTCGATCTCAGGACTCTGGGACCACGACCTGAGCCGAAGGCAGACGCTTAACGACTGAGTCACCCAGCCGCCCCTGGATGGCTCAGTCCGTTGAGCGTCTGCCTTCGGCTCAGATCATGTCCCAGGGTCTGGGCATCAGGGCCCGCACTGGGCTCCCTGCTCAGCGGGGAGTCTGCTTCTCCCTCTCCCTCTGCCCCTCCACCCCACTTGTGTTCTCTCTCAAATAAATAAAATCTTAAAAAAAAGAGAGAGAGAATGTCCTTGTTCTTAATACACACGAGTATTTAAGGGCAAAAGGGTACAATGTAATTTATTCTCAAGAATTCAACAAACATGTATAATGATAAAGCAAAATGTTCACAATCTGGACAAATGCAAGTTCTTTATACCATTCTTACAACTATTTAAATATTTTTAATTGTTTCAAATTACTAAAAGTTTCATGAGTGGTAAGTATGTGTCTCACCAAAACACCCTTCTCTGTGTATTTTCATGAACCAAACAAGTGGAAAAATACGGATTGAGGGCAAGAGACACCCAAGAGAAAAGTTAAGAGTAAGAATAAGAAGCAGAGAGAAATACTAGTACTCTACTAGTGAAGGAAAAAAATTGAGATGTAGAATTAAACTTCTAGGGGCACCTGGGTGGCTCAGATGGTTAAGCGTCGGCCTTTGGCTCAGGTAGTGATCCCAGCATCCTGGGATCAAGCCCCGCTTTGGGCTCCCTGCTCAGTGGGGAGCCTGCTTCTCCCTCTGCCTCTGCCCCTCCCCCTGCTCATGCTCTCTCATGAATAAAACCTTAAAAAAAAAAAATTAAATTTCTATCTAGAATTAGAGAACAGGTTAAGATTAAGGAGAAGCCATCCCCACTGGCCTCCATCTACTCCCTCACCTTTCCCTGCTCTGCAGGACGTGGCGGGGTGGAGCACGCCACAAACCTGGAAACGGGAGAAAGATTGGAACAGCCACTAGGGGAGCATACCAGGTATGGGAAGAGAATCATTGGTTTGCGGAATTGGTGTGTAAGAATTCATACAGACAGATGACTTAAGGCCAAACACAGTTACAGCTGTCCTGGAAACAGAGATGCCCTCCTGTTCAGCCTTTGGTTGCAGGCAAATGCATCTTGTGGCCCGTGTTTCCAATCTCCGGGAGACAACGTTAACTCCAAACCCTCACTCACCCTGAACCAGTGTGTTCTCCCCAGGTAACCTTGCTGGCTACATTTGACAGAGGTATGCTGGTTTTCGACTTCCATTTCAACTGAGACATCTTGGCGCTGTCCCGGAGTCCCAAGGAGCTCCTCTATGACGTCACTGCAGAACCCCGAGGGCTTCCGCAGTCAGCTGGCCACGTTTAGAACCAGGAGAACGAGACAGTTCCACGTGCAGAACACAAAACGGAACATCAGAATCCATCCCACAAACCACACCACACAGCCATCTTTCATCCGATGTGAGACATTCTCTTTATTGATAAAAGTTGAGCTTACAGCAACGACAGGAGCTACAGCACAGACAGGACAAGTATGAGTACAACATGCCCCGTAGGACATACACAGCACAGTGCCCACCTCTCACGGAAACGGTGCGAAATGCCAGGGGGCCTTATAAAGGAGGATTCACCAAAACCAAAAGGCCAATTGGCCCCCACAGTTGGGACACGGAAGGCACAGGAGCTCTCCATGCTGTCCTCTGCGTGAGCTCCAATTCTTTGACAAGAGGAAGGCTACAAGAGCATTGTGGATGGGGGTCCTTCGATCTAACCTCAGAGAGCCCTGGACTAGATGCAGCACTGTTCAATCTTGGTCCATGGCACAACACAACAGGGTGACTTGGTCAAAGATAAATCTGTTGGGAAGATTTCAACCAGGGACATGGATACCCGGGTTTAAAGATACCCAGGTTAAATCCTATTTCGTGACCTAGATGTTACCAAAATGTTAATTTACCACCAAACAAGACATTCTCCCCAGATCTATACCACAAAGACAACACCAACACACAAAAAAAGAAAAAGTCTGCTCCCGTTTCATCAATAATGGAGACACAATTTTGTCACACTGTAGAATATTAAAAGTAGAGTGGTTCAATGAAATGTCATAAAAGGTACAACTCTTTAAAATCAGTTTTATTAAACTAGGTATTAATACTAGAAGGATTTACTGAAAAAAGAAAACAAGGCGAATGGCTCCACATTTGACTGTTTCCCACTCTTGTTGGCTTTCATACATACATCTATGTATTCCTGCACTTGTCAATTTTTCGATATGAGCCTAAAATATGCTAAATTGTCATAATAAATATATTTCTCCTTCCCTGGGAAGAAACAGGAGAAAAAAGGGGAAATATTAAGATGCATTCCACTCTTTAGGTAAAGAAAGCTCAGAAAACTCCCACCTAAAAAGAATGAAAATATGACCATCAATAACTCAGGTTAAAAAACCAAAAGACACAACAAGACAAAACAAAACCCAAAAAACTAAAAATAGAAGTGGGAAGGAAGATGTTCACAAGTAAAATCTCCTAGGGGCCCCTGGGTGGCTCAGTTAAGCATCTGACTCTTGATTTCAGCTCAGGTCGTGGGATGGAGCCCCTGTGTTAAGCCCCACTTGCAGCAAGGAGTCTGTTTGGGATTCTCTCCCTCTGCCCCTCCCCACCCCTACACTCTCTAAAATAAATCTTTAACACAGTTCAAATGCCAAAGATTTCAAAATACCAGGATTTAAAAAAAAAAAACATATTCTCAATGTGCTTCATTAAGTACTTACCCACCTCCTCCCCCCAAAAGAAAACACTTCTTAAGGACTGGGGGGAAAATATTAAATCACAGAATTAGAAATTCTTAGGAAATTTTTTTTAATTATTTTTATTTCATTCAACATTGAATTACTTCTTCTCTCAGCCTTTAAAATTAATAGGGAGGGTGGTGCACACAGAGGCAAGCTGGGATAGCCTACAGCTACCTGTAAAAAACACAAACAGTTTATTCCATTCAACCATGCAGGATTCAGATTTTAAACTAAAAACAGCAGTCATATGTAATTATACATTTAACTCTCCCATCCTTCTATAGAAAAACATATAAAATACCAAAAAAAAAAAAAAGGTAGTATTGGGTTAGAAACCTTTAGAATGCTAAAATCCAGATGGACCATGAGGTATGACAGACCTTAAAATCACTAGAACTACCTCAAAATAAATCAACAGGGCCCCCATATGAGAACTATGAATACAAACGTAGTAGAACTACTGGTGAGCAAGGAAGGGAGGAAAGGAACCTGCAGGTCACTCAAACCCAACTAGGATAAGCCACAGCAGATCCCAGTGCAGCATATCTAGAGTCTTGTACTACACGGCGATTCGGGGATGGGCGTACAGCAGGCCGCCTTCCCCACAGATTCACTCTCCACGGCCTGTCACCCACAGCCAACTGCGGCCTGGAAGCAAAGGTCAACAGTAGCCTAACACTACGTCACAGTGCCTACGTCATTCGCCTGACTTCACCTCCACACATGGACGTTTCACCATCTCCCATCATCACAAGAAGGGGGGAGGATGGCACACTAAGATCCTCTGAGAGACCATATTCATTGAACTTTTATTACAGTATACTGTTCCATTTGTTCTATTATTAGTTGTTGCTACTCTCTTACTGTGCCTGATTTATAAATTATTTTATCATAAGTATGTCTGTATAGGAAAAAACGTAGTACACAGAGGAATCAGTACTAGCTGCGGTTTCGGGCATCCACTGGGGGTCTTGGAAATGTATCCTCTGCAGCTACGGTGGGACTGCTGTATTAGCAAAGCTCTCCCTGCAGCTTGCAGCCAAATGCGTGTTAAACTACTTGTTACTTCTCCTGTCAAAGCTTCTTTTACAAACTTTTTTTAAAAGTAGGCTCCATGCCCAGCGTGGAGCTCGATGCAGGGCTTGAACTCACAACCCTGAGATCAAGACCTGAGCTGGGGGCACCTGGGTGGCTCAGTCAGCTAGGTGACCAACTCTTAGTTTGGTTCAGGTCATGATCTCAGGGTTGTGAGATGGTGCCCCCATGCTGGGCTCCACATTGGGCTCTACACTGGGCATGGAGCCTGCTTGGGATTCTTTCTCTCCCTCTCCCTCTGCCCCTCCCCACCCTTCTCTCTCCCTCTCTAAAAAATAAAATGACCTGAGCTGAAATCGGGAGTCAGATGCTTAACCAACTGAGCCACCCAGGCACCCCTAGAGTCAAAACTTTTATTAAAACACAGAGAAATTGTACACTTTACAATTTCATTGTGAGAATTTTTTCAAACTTCCACATACAAAGTGTATGCAGCTGATGCTAAGAAAGATCGTGTTTTTCTCTGAACCAAAGCTGTCCCTCTCCTGATGAAAACTGGCCCCAGGGGCATCATTTGCCAGAACTAGGCACTCCTCCATTCTTTTCTGAGATCAGCTTTTCACAGACCTAAGTAACTGTCTCTGGTCCAAAAGAGATCTTGGGGAAACCATCCTTGGCCCACTCCCCACTGAACCAATGAAAAACTGTGCTCTGGAGACCTGGGATGCAGGCCTGGAGGAGGACCGTGGTCTCAACTGCTGGTCCCACTGACTCCCTCGTTCATTTTGGTAAAGGTCAGAGGACTCAAGCCACACACTCCCTTTATACATTCAGTCTACCCACTTGTATGCTTAACCCTGGACTTGACTTTAATAGTCTACACTGCAATTTTGTGACTCACACGCTAAGGCTGAATCTTAGAAACTCCTCTCTGCCCCCACTGAAAACTAGGAGGAACCATAAAGCCAGCTCTGTTAAGACTTACCCAGATGGGCTGAATCACACCTACCAACTTCCCAAATCTCATTCTACAACCAGAACTAAAGTTAGGGTTAGGGTTAGTAAAAAGAATAAATTCCTCTTCCTCCTCTTGCTCATGCCTGCACCCAGCCAATCCCAACAATACCTGCAGACTGGGGAAAACACTTCAAATAAACCAGGAAAAGGGAGGAATTTTTTTTTTAATTTTTAAGGTAAGATGTGACAGAACTGCCAACTGCTGACAGATCACTCTGCAATTCTAACTCTCTCTCTTGATACCATCTACAAAGTTCTAGGCTTTGGTGGCTAACCTACACTGTGTGAACTCAAAAGTAGGACATCGTCCTAAATTCTACCTCAACACTGACCACAGGCTCAGGGTCAGTGTGGTTCAAGCCATTACTTCTACTTCCATGCGCTCTGTTGACACCAGCCAGATTTGGGTCACCCGCACTGATCTCATTAGGTTCATCAGGCTTAAAGCCTAGGTTGTGTTTGTGGACTATGGTGAACTGTGGTAAATATCACAAAAGGAGCTCCTCATACCAAACCTTGTAAAATACTCCTTAAAGAAAAACTTCTCTAGAGTCACTTTGGTTATAGCAAAACTGCTTCCTGTCCAACACCATATTACATTCTAGAGAGTACACCTTGAAGAAAATACAAGTTTTTAAATCAATGAATGTGAATTACTGAATCACTGAATCTTCATTTCAAAGAAAATGGTGAAATGTGTGTTTAGACTTCAATTTCCCTCAGGAAAAACAGGATGAAAATCATAATCTGAAAACCTAAAGGAGCTGGACTCCTCAATACCACCACCAAGCTGAAAAAGAAACAGTAAAGGAACTTGTTACTTACTTTACAAAGTACTGGAAGCCTATCTTAAGCAGTGCCCTCCTGAATTTTCAGGATACAAAAACCCTGTCCTAAACTTTTCAGATCTAGAAATTCTAGAGAATGTCAGCTGATCTGAAGAACCTATGCGGGGCTTTCTAACGTTGTGGCTGCTTTTTCTAGCAGCTCATACTGATCCCAACAAGTACCCAGTGAGTGAGGCTCTTCGGCCAACATCATCATCCCCATTTTGCAGGTCAGAACAAGAGAGATCAATTAGCTGAGAAGTCACAAAGTTAGGAGGGACCTGCAAGGACTCAAATCTGATGTTCCCCCATCAGAATCAGACTTGAACTTGTAGGCACGTATGTAAGGCCAAAGTACAAGTCTGAGGGCTACATCAAGCCCATGTCGCCTGAGATACATAGTAAAATGCAGATTTTCAATCTTCCGACTCAATTTCTGGAGATGGACTTCAGAAATACGTCAGTCAAGTTCCCCAGGTGATTCTGAAGCCCATTAGTTTGAGGACCACCAGCCTGAGTGAATCATAAATCCCAGTCCAGCCAGAGGACCCATGTGTTTACCTTTCCTCAAGCAACAGAGAACTCGCCAAGCAAACCAAACAGCTTATTCAAGTTAACTGCACCAAGTGACCTAACCTGAACTAGTCCTATCAAGACTTTATAGGCCTCAGCCTAAAGAACAAGGTCAATAGACTTAGGCCAGAGGTACACAGAGGATCAGCTTCACTCCTTCCAAGGTAACTTCTTAGTTGACGTTACCCTATATATAGTATCTTCACCAACTCCAAGCATGCCTGGAGGTATCTTCTTGTAGACTGCCAACACGTGGGGTGCCAAATTCCTTCTGAAGGTGCACAACATTTCAAGAAAGGTACCATACCACTAATTTCTAGGGGAAGTAACGTGGATTTAACCCTAGGCAAAATCATCAAGTTGGGTTTACAGAGCATCCATAAGTGTGGCAAGAACCCTAAAGATCATACAGAAACTACCTCCTACCCATTTAACTTTACTTCATACTGAAAATGGCAGCAAGTCTCCTTTTGAACTCATTTCTTATAGCATAGAATTTTAAAAGGGAGGGGAAAATGATGACAATTCCAGGCTATTTCATAGATTCAGACCGTGGTCACTGCCTCTGAAACATACTTTCAGGGGAGGGGGGAAGCATCTCCCCGGGGCAGCCAGCCAGCACTGTGCTGCGGCAGTTCTCAGGAGGAATCCGCCCGAAAAGGCTTCAAGGCTGCGGGGCCAAGCCTTGGGCTTCTCAAAGACCTCTCACGGTAACATGAGAATGTCTAACAGCAGGAGACTGAGAAATGTGAAGAACGGAGAAAAAAGGAACAGGCTTAGAAATAAGTACATTTGAAAAAACAGCGGAAGACTGAAAAGATCACTCTGAATTTAAGAAAGAAGAATCGGTACCTTACCATTTGAACCTAAAAGAATATACCCAGGACAAGACAAATTTCAGAAGACATGACACTCTTGAAATACAGAATTTTATTTAGAAACTGTTTAAAGTAGAAAAAAACCCTGTCAAGAAAGACCAGGTGGAAAATGGGTTCCCAAAAAAATGGAATTTTAGGGCAACAAAAGTCTAAAAGGCCACAAAAGAGAAATAGCACCACTGTTATTTGAACAATGGCTAGTTACTTGCATTTTTTGGCATTGTTAATTACTGAATCTGGGTTTTCCTCTGAATTCCACACAGAGCATGCACTACACAACAATTTTATCATAAAATATCTGCTTTCTACACACATTTTAGGACAAGCTACCACCAGGAACAAATCAATACAAATACATCAGGGACTGAACAATCTCAGTAGTGGGTGACACACATTTTGCAGAATTCTGCCAAACAAAGGAACTGAATAGGCTAGGGGCAAAGCAAATGAGGAAGAGTTAAGGAATGAAATATTTTAAATATTAATAATTAATTCAGACACGGTACTGTATCTTCTGCAAAAGAAAATTAACATTTAGTAACACGCTAACGAATTTTATCTCCAAAGAGATTAGTGCACTGGCAAAGTATTCTGATAACAGTGGAGGGCGGTGGACAGCAGGTACCGAGAACACCCAGCCTTGCAGATCCCAAGGTAGCGATGGCCTTCAATGGTCACTCCCTTTGCCAGAAGTCCAGAAAGAACTTGTAGCGTGACCACCTGCCTGCTGAACTTACACTCTAAGCAGCAAACTTTAAGGAGCCAAAGAGGAGTCCCCAGTGGGCGAGGGGAGCAGAGAAGAGAAACATGTTCAATGTAAACTTAAAAGACAGTAAAATGGGACACGACCCCCATTCAAATCCCAGAGATGTGGGCAAGTCCCCAAAAGTAGTTGTTAGATTTAAAAACTGGACATACCTCATTCCCCAAGAAACACAATACATAGAAATTTCAGGGATAACTGGAAAAAATCGTCAGAGAAATGTTCAATGAAATTCAAGCTCTTCAACTCAAACATCCCAGGGCTGAAACACACCCTCTATTCATCCAGGCAACAATGCCTCTTACTTCTTAGAGCAGGGATACTACTGGTCAAGGACACCAAATGGCTTCACAGAGCAACTTTTTAAACTTTCCTTTTGGGCCAAGGTCTAGGTCTTTGAGGATTCAAGCAGCCCTGCAAGGCCTGTGAACAGCAGATTCCGAAGGTCCAGAGGTCTGGCCCTTCTTCCTTCCCAGATACAATGTCAAACATGTAAAATCTCCTGTCATGTTACATTTTATATTTTGAAATATGGAAGCATATTTTAAATACTCTTAAGGCATTTATTTATTAAAACGTTCTCTGCCAAGATTTCACATTAGCTTAAAATTCAAATCAGTCTTTACATTTCTCTACTGAGGTTTCCACCTCAGAGTATCACATAAAAACACCTTCTCCAGCAATCAGTGTTACCAGCGTCCACACGGTGAGCCCCATGGTCAGCCTCTTTGTTCCCTAGGTGACCCAACTAGATGTTAATACTGCTCTGCTACAGGGTAAAAGCTCCTAACTCAAACTCATTGGAAAAGGGGTGAAACTTCTGCAAAGTGCACTTTAAGAAGAGGTACTGTTTGCTCATGAAAAGAAACCAGTGAGTCCTCTAAGAATAATAAAAGGGGGTATTTTACAGTTAAGCACATGATTTGGAGTGAAGAATTCGGATGTTGCTCTGCTGGTCCAGGCCATTAATACTCTTCTTGTTCCTCCTGTGGGCCCCCTTCATCAGGTATCACAAAGCCTTCCTAAAACGGGAAAACAAGAGGGGACAGCTATTATTCAGCACCAAATGAAGGATCAGTTTCTACTGTGGGGCCACTTTCCTCATATTTACAGCCTCTCAAAGTCAACGGCTCTTCCTGTCTCTACCACACACTTGACGTTTAATAGCACAAGGCCACGTGACCACCACTTTATCAGACAGTGGAAACATCTCACAAAAGGCAAAAACTAAGCATAAATTTACCCTCAAAAGTTGATTTCTTAAATATGTCTTGATTATGATGACGATTTCACACATCATCAAGTTGTACTTAAATAGGTACAGTTCATTACATCAATTCTACCTCAGTAAGGTTGTTAAAAAAAAAAAAAAATATATATATATATATATATACCCTCAAAAATCCCTGAAGTCATCATGAAAGTTCAGTACCATGCCATCTCCTCTCAATAAACTGTCTATACAGCCAGCTTTTCTTTCCGCCCTCCTCTGATCGCACTTAAGGACCATGCAAGCCATTGTGGGTGTTGTGGGTTTACCCAAAATATTCACAATACCCACGGTAGCCACCAAGACTGATCCAACATTAGTGGCATGGGAATACAGCCGACTCGCAGCTCCCACCTCACACTCCCTCTAGGGCATTCTGGCATCTAGTAACGGCTACACACCATAAAAATCAGACTTTCCCTTCGACCACCATCTTATTTTTTTTCAACTAAATCTCTATAGCTGAATTTACTTAAGATAGGACTCCACTAAAATAATACTCAGACTAGACCAAGTATCTTCATCATCTTTGTTTTCAATGAAGCTGGCAAAGAGCAGCCCAGAATAAGGGTTTACTGAACAAAGTATCATCTTTTCAATCATCCGTCTTCATCCCCTGAAATTCACTTGGTATATTTAGAGAACAGTGTTAATGACAATATTAATATTTCCTTATATTTGTATACTGCTATACATACCATAAAACACTTAAGAAGTAACACTGTAGCTTGATCCTACAGACCTTACTAGGTGTGCAAATTTATAAATAAGCAAAGCCATTAAACAATGGACATAGCAAGATACCAAATCCTAAATGTAGGGAAAATCAGTCTCCCCTGATCAGCTAGCATGTCATGATTAATATCAGCAGATTCAGCTGTGTAATAATATACATGGATCCCGGGCAACTTGACCATAAAGTACTGTGAAGAAATGGGAACCAGGCACACTCCTGGGGAGGAGGAACAAAGATACAATCTGACAGCTACAGGCAGGGGACATCAAAAAGGGGCCAGGAACCTGGTTCCCAGGTCATGCCTGGGGCCCTGATAAAATGGAGCTAAGAGGTCCAAGTTGCAGGGGGTAGAGATGGTGGGGTTAAAAGCATTTTGTGGCACTCATCACCTATCAGTGGACATAAACCACAGAAGCAGGGCAAGCCAGCCACCTCCTTGTCCTATTCCTGCCTCAAAGGCTCACAGACCTCAAAGCAGAGGCTGAGGCTGAGCAGAGGTGACCTCTGGATGACTTTGACAGGGCAAAGTGAAAGTCTTTTGATGAATGCTATCCTGGAACATGACAAGCACCAGCACTGAGTTTGCTAAAACCAACCAGATAAAATTTACTTTGTCTTAGATGGCAAAATGGCAAGAAAATATCCTCATGTCCACACGTACATCTGTGGCATAGAGAATGTCCACGATCCTCTGCAATACTGGGTTGTTTTCCCCCTCGTTCTCCTGGCAAATCAATTCAATGTTCCTTAGCTTTCCAAAGTAGAAATCTCTTTCTTTCTCCAAGTCTTCGACGGTAAGTTTCAATACGTTGACCTGCATAAGACATTGTGAAGGGTGAGATACTCCGTGTTTATGTATCAATACCATATCAGACAAACTGTTAAGCCAAACGGAGACATGGTCTTCCATCACACTCTCTACCATGGACCAAAACCCACTTTTGTTTAATATCGGTTTTCTTCAGCTCCAGATAAATAACGTAGGCTTGTTTGTGGCCACCTTGATTATAACACCTCCCAGGAAGAGGCAGGCTACACAAGGAATCATGAGGAACTTCTCAGGGTTTGAGAAAAGATCAAGGAGAAAAAACTCTGGGATCCTGAGACAAATACAGATGCAGAACCCACAACCCAGCCCAGCAAAGTGGCTGACAAGCATAAACCAAGTCCTTACCAGGGCACTGGTCAGTGAAATCCAGTCTTTCTGCCCGTGGAGGTCAATGGAAAGAGAAGGTCTGGTCTAAAGAAGCAGGATAGAAATGCCAAGGCAGGCGAGGAAGACTGACTAAAGATGACTACTGTTAGCAAAAGACAGCTAGAAGCGAGAGCAACCTGGGCATGGAGAACTCAGTGGTTCACACAGGGCCGCCTTATGTTGGGGATGGGGGGAGTAATCCATAACTCAAAAGGAGGAGAAAGTCCTGGCCTGGTCTCTCTCCCAAGAGAGTTTCAAAAGGGAGAGAAGACACAGAGGCAGGGAGCAGACCCAGCACGTTCCACCAAGCATCTCGTGAGCTCACCACTCGTGCTAAAGGATCCTCCAGGCACCCCGCTGAGGGGCTCTAATTCCCATAACAGGCCAGTGAAGAAATAAATCTCAGTGCTTAGGCCAGGACTCTTATCTAGCCAAGAGTAATCAATGTCATAAGAACTCTCATAGCCCTTTGTGTATTTTAAGCACAGAGCACATCTTCATTCCAGTATATTCAACTCTATGACATGTGAATTTGATTTAACTCTCACTGAAATACAAATTACATGGCATACCGTGCAGCATAAAATCCTCACGGGACAGAGTCTGGGGCCACAGGGAAGGCCAAGCCAGGAAATCAAAGGTGCAGCTACTGAAAACAATTTGGGAAGCAGGGAATTCTGAGAGCCAAAAAGGCACCACAGACTAGTCCAACCTTCTGAACTAGTGGCAAAAACTGAAGCAAACAGCTTCTTTAGTTCCCCCACGGCCTCACAAAGAAGCGAGACATAGCCAAAAGGATCAAGTCCTGTGCCAGGGCGGAAGAACACTCCCCCTTCATAAGCTGCAGTCGAGAAGCATCCAGAGATGAGAACAGGTGTCCAGAACCACCAGGACCATTCTGTCAATTACTTAATTTCAATGTTCATCATCAAAGGCCTGAACCAACCAAACCAGAATCAAGGTTCTAAAAAGACTTTCAGGGGGCGCCTGGGTGGCTCAGATGGTTGAGCGTCTGCCTTCGGCTCAGGTCATGATCTCAGGGTCCTGGGATCGAGTCCCGCATCGGGCTCCCTGCTCCTTGGGAGCCTGCTTCTCCCTCTGCCTCTCTCTCTCTCTCTGTCTCTCATGAATAAATAAATAAAATAAAATAAAATAAAAAATATTTAAAAAGACTTTCAACCCTTCCTTTATCAACCACAGAAATCACCTTTTACAAATAACTGAGAATTTCAATAAAATATACTATAAACAAATAAACATATATATATATGTTTATTTGTTTATAGTTTATACACACACACACACATAAATACACACACACATAAATACACACACATAAATAAACTATCAGTCCCAAAGTGGAGTATGAGAGAGGATAGAAGGGCAAGAGCTGGGGTACCTGGGTGGCTCAGTCAGTTAAGTGTCTGACTTGATTTCAGCTCAGGCCATGGTCTCAGGGTAGTGAGATCAAGCCCCGCACTGGGCTCTGCATGGAGTCCGCTTCAGATCCTCTCTCTCCCTCTGCCCCTCCCCCAGCTCACACTCACACTCTCGTTAAAATAAATAAATAAAGCTTTTGGGGGGGGCAAGAGCTGACCAACCCCAGCAGTAGGAAGCTGCCTTAAATCTTGAGTTCTAAAATCCAAGAGCCAGGGAAGAGGCCTTCTAATCCCATTAGTGACTTAGGAGTAAAGGGAGGTCAAAACAGCTTACTACACTTTGGAGTCCATCACTCATGGTTCACAAACCCACTCCAACTTCCTTGTCCTACACATCATCAAGGGCACCAGAACCCAGCTTTCTGGGCCCCACCTGAGGGGCCAAAGCAGCATTCCTCCGTGATATCATTCAGTAAGTACGCATCTACAAGAAACAATTAGTATACACTAATAAGTCACCGGCTTTCACTCCCCACTCCTCTAAATGCTTACCTATGAGGTTATTAAAACTCTGTGGCTAGTAATCAGTGCCACTCTTAAACCTTCTCTTGTAGTAAAGTAATAGCTATAACCTAGGAAACCCAAGGAGAATGCTTTGGACCTGCACTGGCCAGCAGAGTAGCTAGGAGCCACAAGCGGCTATTTGGGTACTTGAAATGTGGCCAATGCAATTGAGACAAGCAGTAAATATTAAATACACACTGGATTTCAAAAACCTTGTCTTCAAGCATAAAGTAGCTCATTGATGATTATTTGTATTGATTACATGTTAAAATGATAACACTTTGGATGCACTGGGTAAAGGGTTATTAGAAGAAATTTCATGTGTTTCTTTTCACTTTTTTTTTTAATGTGGCTACTAGAAAATTTTAAATTATGTTATGTGCCTCACATTTCTGGTTTGCATTCTATTTCTTTTGAACAGTACTGCTCTGGACTCAAATCAACTCAAAGTAAACTTCTCCAGGATGCCTTAAGACTGCAGAATCGCTGCAGATCTCCTAAAGAAACGGACACCATGAGGTAACCCGTGTAGAATACACTGCTTCTTGCCCGAAGAAGCCTGTCTGGCTCTATTCCCCACATCAGTCATGTCTCCCAGACCTCCACACCTTTGTCAAGTGCCACAAATTCAAATACTTCCAAGAGGCCAGAGAGATAAGGTAAATGAGCCAAGGGAGTCAGTACCAGGGTGTTACAGGTAAGGACTCTGTCAACCTGGAGAGAACCTTTAAAAATCCTTTATATTAAAAAAAAAACAAAAAAAAAAGGAAACCCTGCACAAGCCCAAGTACTCCAGAGGCAGGGCTGGGGCAGCTGGCTCAACCCTCCAGGCAGGTCATTTAACCTCCCCAGACACACTGTCCCTATCTGTGAGACCTCACAGGGCTAATGCAAAAGTGAAGTACTCACTAGAACAATGGCAAACCACTCTAAAAACGTCCATTATTTTTATTTTTATTATTAACATCTGTGAAGACAATTGTACTCCCGTGAACTTTTTTTTTTTTTTAAAGATTTTATTTATTTATTTGACAGAGAGAGACACAGCGAGAGAGGGAACACAAGCAGGGGGAGGGGGAGAGGGGGAGAAGCAGGCTTCCCGCGGAGCAGGGAGCCCGATGCGGGGCTCGATCCCAGGACCCTGAGGATCATGATCTGAGCCGAAGGCAGACGCTTAACGACTGAGCCACCCAGGCGCCCCTGGACTCCCGTGAACTTTTAAAAAGATACTTCAGGGGCGCCTGGGTGGCTCAGTTGGTTAAGCCACTGCCTTCGGCTCAGGTCATGATCCTGGAGTCCCAGGATCGAGTCCCGCATCGGGCTCCCTGCTCGGCGGGGAGCCTGCTTCTCCCTCTGGCCCTCCCCGCTTCGTGTGCTTTCTCTCTCTCATTCAATAAATAAATAAAATCTTTAAAAAAATAAAAAAATAAAAAATAAAAAGATACTTCAGGTGGGCGCCTGGGTGGCTCATTTGGTTAAGCGACTGCCTTCGGCTCAGGTCATGATCCTGGAGTCCCGGGATCGAGTCCCACATCGGGCTCCCTGCTCAGCGGGGAGTCTGCTTCTCCCTCTGACCCTCCCCCATCTCATGTGCTCTCTCTCTCCTCTCATCCTCTCTCTCAAATAAATAAAATCTTAAAAAAAAAAAAGAAAAGAAAAGAAAAGAAAGGAACTCCCCTTTATTTTTTGTCAGAGCCAAAATTCAAGAAACACTCTCTGAATCCCATAGAACCCTGAGAGGTGTTCCAGAGATCTGTGACAGGGTTCTACTGTATGGGCGGGTTTCCCAAGACATCGGTTTCTGTCACACGAACACATCTTAGAAACGCCCAATCCCTTGGGCGCCTGGGTGGCTCAGTTGGTTAAGCGACTGCCTTCGGCTCAGGTCATGATCCTGGAGTCCCGGGATCGAGTCCCGCATCGGGCTCCCTGCTCGGCGGGGAGTCTGCTTCTCCCTCTGACCCTCCCCCTTATGCACTCTCTCTCATTCTCTCTCAAATAAATAAATAAAATCTTAAAAAAAAAAAAAAAAGAAAAAAAGAAACGCCCAATGCCGCTCTTCCACCTGCACCTCCACACTCCCACTCCCCACACAGCACCCAAAGTGCTCACAAACCACGAGGACTGCTTCAGCAGGCAGACAAGGCAGGCCTTCCTCCAAGAACACAGACAGGCTTCCCCTGGTCAGTGCTGCCAAGCATCCTTTCTCCTGAAGTGACTCCTGTCTCGGACAGAGGAGGTGCCTACCTGCTGCATCAATTCAGCTGCTTCGTCATCCCCGTTGCCCACACCAGGATTCTTTCGCACCACACCCGGGCCAGCCTTAGGGGTTGCAGTAGTTCTGTGTGTTGCAATGGGCCTCTGTGGAGCTGAGAGAGGAGCAGAGCTTTTTTTAAGAGGAGAAACTTCAAGACAAAAAAACCCACCAGACAAGAGGAGGCTGTGACCAACTGCCCTCCACATCAGTGCAGTGAAGGGACCCAACGTAGAGAGCCCAGCATGCAAGACAGCACTCCCGTGTTTGCCCGAAGTGGTTTTTATGGCAGCGGAGTTAAGTACCAATTTTAGCCACCATCTTTTGTGCTGGGAAGGAGTCCCTCTGTGAGGTCTTTTTTCCGCTGGGGTAAAGAGGACTATCATCTGAAAGAGACACAATCATTCTGGTGCAATCTACCTTAACCTAACTCCAACCAAATCCACAAGGGGGCAACTTCATGGAGCAAAGGCAAACTTCATGCCAGGAGTGGGCTCACAGCCCCAGCTGCTGCCGGGTGCCCAACGTTTCCCATCTGGAAGGTAAGATGCCCCCCATCTTAGAACCTCAAACTCCTTGGCTTAGGAAGAGGAGGATGGTAGAGACTGCTCTTATCACTCATTACCTCAAAACCCGCATCTTACTCACCTTTTAGAAGGTGGTTAGGAGGGTTAGGAGAGGAAAGCAGCGCCCTGACTAGGACTTAACAAACTTCTCTATGAGTAGAGCCAAAAGCTGATAAAGTTAAGGAAAGAGTAATAAATTAAAACAAGAGGGCGCCTGGGTGGCTCAGTTGGTTGAGCGACTGCCTTCAGCTCAGGTCATGATCCTGGAGTCCCGGGATCGAGTCCCGCATCGGGCCCCCTGCTCAGCAGGGGGTCTGCTTCTCCCTCTGACCCTCTTCCCTCTTGTGCTGTCTCTCATTCTCTCTCTCTCAAATAAATAAATAAAATCTTTTTTAAAAAATAAATTAATTAATTAATTAAAACAAGAATAATCAAGAACGGGCTACCTTGAGGTGTATTTATCATTCGTGATTTTAATCATTTATTTAGCAATCATTTTGTAAAACTGTATATGATGCCAGGCTCAGAAATATCTGACCTTCCTGACACCCCAAAATGTTCAATAACCATAAGGCCTTTCACCCACAGGCATAGGCACTTCCTCCGGACGATCTCTAGTATATGTTTATCCCCAAGATCAAATGCTTACTGCAAGTCTCCACTTGCCTGTTACCAGCATCTACACAGATTCCCCATTCTAGGAAGCTAAGCACTCAGTATTTGGAGAAATCAGAACCCTCATACACTCTGCTGATGAGAATATAAAAACAGTGCAGCCACTCTGGAGAAAAGTCAGGTGGTTCTGTAAAACATTAAACAGAGGAACCATACGACCCAAGAATTGTGCCCCACAAATGTATACCTTTGGATTTATACCCAAGAGAAATGAAAACATAGGCCCACACAGAAACCTGTATAGGAATATTCAAAGCAGCATTATTCCTAACAGCTCAAGAGGGGAAACAACCCAAGTGATCATCAACTGATGAATAAATAAAATGTGGGGGCACCTGGGTGGCTCAGCCAGTTAAGCGTCCACATCTTGATTTCAGCTCGGGTCATGATCTCAGGGTTGTGAGAGCGAGCCCTCCATCAGGCTCCGCACTGGGCATGGAGTCTGCTGAAGATTCTTTCTCTTCCCTCTCCCTCTGCCCCCTCCCATAAAAAATTAAAATAAAATGTGGTATAGCCATACAATGGAGTATTACTCAGCCATTAAAAAAATGAAGTACTGACAAGTGCTAAAACATGGATGAACTTTGAAAACATTACACTAAATGAATGAAAGCCAGACACAAAGACCACATATTCTATGACCCCATTTGTGTGAAACATTCAGAATAGGTAAATCCACAGACAAAGTGGATTAGTGGTTGCCTGGGGTTGAGGGGAAGAGGAAGGGCTGGGGGAAAATAGGAAGTGACCACTATGGGACACATACGAGATTTCTTTTAGGGAGTAATAAAAACATTCTAAAACTGGTTGTGGTGATAGTTGAACGTATCTGTGAATACACTAAAAAGAACTCAACTGTACATTCTAAATGAGTGAACTGTACGGCAAGTGAATCCTATCACATACACAGTATCTCAATAAAGCTATGAAAATTAAAAAGTACACAATGTCCCTCTCTACCTAGCAGATGGATCAGCCTCTCTCTAAAGGTACCATGTGACCTTGAGGTGCCTGGGTGGCTCAGTCGTTAAGCGTCTGCCTTCGGCTCAGGTCATGGTCCCAGGGTCCTGGGATCGAGCCCCCATCGGGCTCCCTGCTCCACAGGAAGCCTGCTTCTCCCTCTCCCACTCCCCCTGCTTATGTTCCTTCTCTCGCTGTGTCTCTTTCTGTCAAATAAATAAATAAAATCTTAAAAAAAAAAAAAAGGTTCGGGCGCCTGGGTGGCTCAGCTGGTTAAGCGACTGCCTTCGGCTCGGGTCATGGTCCCAGAGTCCCGGGATCGAGTCCCACATCGGGCTCCCGGCTTGGCGGGGAACCCACTTCTCCCTCTGACCCTATCCCCTCTCATGCTGTTTCTCTCTCTCTCAAATAAATAAATAAATAAAGTCTTTAAAAAAAAAAAAAAAAAGGTACTATGGGACCTTAACTAATATTCTTTCCACCTTCTGGGAAAGGAGGCGTTAGCATCTGTAGAACATCTGTCCTGCCCTGAAGTATACACATGTTCTACGAATACATGACTGCAAACAGGTTTTGGGAAACCTACCAGGCCAAAATCTTTTAGAGGAGGTCTCTAAAAACTGCCTCCCAGATTCTGCTGGCATCATAGCAAGCCAAAGCCACTTAGCAGCTCAAATTTTAGGGAGGGCAGGGAAGCCACAGTAAGCACAGGAAGCTGGTCGGCAGACAGAATGATGATGCAGAGAGCCAAGCACAGTCCCTAAGAGACCTAGAAATCTCCTTCAGTTCCTGGGTGTTGAGGTCTGGTTATAACTTCCCATCCCAGGGCCCCGTGAAAAAAGTCCTTGTGTTCAAACTAAAGCTCCCTTTTGTGAGCTAACCTGAGGAATTTCTATCCCAAACAACTAAAGAGTACTGGCAAAAATTACATAGAGTAACTCATTCAGGCCTCAAGAACAACCCTCTGGGGCAAGTACTGAAATTCCCATTTTACAGAGGAAGAAACCGGGGCGGGGGAGGGGGAGAGATAAAGTGGCTTAAACAGGGCTACAGAGACCTAAGAACAAACACAGGTCTGCCTGATGCCACAATCCATGATCCTACCACATGGCTGGGATTGCTTGTACTCCTTATTCTCCCTAAGCCTATGGCTGCTCAAAACCCTCTGGTTGAAGGTTGAATGAATGAATGACTGAATGAATACCTGGAATACTATTATTTGGAAATGGCATTTTTGTTTTGTAGTTTTACCTGCACTGCTAGAGCTGAGAGGTTTCTTCGGTTTGTTCAGAGCTGGAGCAACAAGGGAGGGAGCCACTGCAGTTTCTTGACCTTGTCTGGCAGCTACGGGGTCATAGTCTTTTCCATCATAGTTTGCATCAAAAAACTTCTTGAACCACTGAACAAATTCAAAATTGTCCTGAAACTTTCCTTTTACTAATTTGTCCACAGGAATTATCTGCAGAAAAATATCAAGACTATTTAGCCCAAAGCAAGAGGTTTCTGGCAAGCACCAAACTTGTCCATGCATCAAATCAGTATAAAGCTCTGCCAAAAGGAGAAAAAAAAATTTTAGAGGCAAGAACTTAGTGCTAAGTAAGCCCTGAAAAGTTTATAGAGCAAGTTTCAATCAGTTTGCCTTCCACAAAGTACTTACACCTGCCAACCCACCTCCCAGTCCATCAAAAGGAATCAGAAATGCGAAAGAACATAAATCATGTATTAGTCACATACACATATCCAAGCACATAATAAAACATGTCATTCCACTGAAAAAGAGTAAATCTCCCAGGCAGCTTGCATGGCCACAATGCCCGTCACAAAGTAGAAAACCCAGAGCACAAACCAACCACAGGTATCTACAATGAACTGTGTTAAAGAAAATTCGGTCTTATCAATCATATCTCAATAAAACTGGAAAAAAAATTTATCCAGAAAAAAAAAAAAGGAAAAAAATTGTCTTAAAAATAGGTCAAGGTACATAATTTGTCCCACAACAGATTTCTACAAAATGGTATGGTTTTTTTTTTTTTAAGATTTTATTTGGGGCACCTGGGTCACTCAGTCGTTAAGCCTCTGCCTTCGGCTCAGGTCATGATCTCAGGGTCCTGGGATCAAGCCCCGCATCGCGCTCCCTGCTCTGCGGGAAGCCTGCTTCTCCCTCTCCCACTCCCCCCTGCTTGTGTTCCCTCTCTCGCTGGGTCTCTCTGTCAAATAAATAAAATCTTTAAAAAAAAAAAAGATTTTATTTATTTGAGAGAGAGAGAGAGCAAGCACGCAGGAGCACAAGCAGGGGGAGCAGAAGGAGAGGGAGAAGCAAGCTCCCCACTGAGCAGGAAGCCCATTGAGGGGCTCGATCCCAGGACCCTGGGATCATGACCTGAGCCAAAGGCAGACGCTTAACCAACTGAGCCACCCAGGTGCCCCTGGTATGTTTTTCAAGTAATTCCAGTCCTATTAAAATATAACCCTGTAAACTTTCCTATTGTACAAGGATACTTATCAGGTATTACTTTAAATTGCTGGACTGTCAGGAAGAGTTTAACTATCTTTTAACTCGTCAAGGATTCCAGTTGCAATGGTATTTTTATAAAAACTAATATATGTAATATTTTGAACTATATCCACTCCTCTGAGCAAATAAGTATAATTTTAAGAAATTACTTTGTGGGGCGCCTGGGTGGCTCAGTCAGTGAAGCGTCTGCCTTCGGCTCAGGTCATGATCCCAGGGTCCTGGGATCGAGTCCCACATCGGGCTCCCTGCTCAGTGAGGAGTCTGCTTCTCCCTCTCCCTCTGCCTGCCTGCCTGTCTGCCTACTTGTGATCTCTCTGTCAAATAAATAAATAAAATCTTCAAAAAAAATTTGTATGATACTGAAACATTTATAAACAAAATGTTATCTGGAACTCACTTCTCAATAATCCCTGAGTATAGCAGGTGGGGTAAAGGGATATCTGAAACAAACTGGCCATCATTTGATAATCACTGAGGTACCTGAGGGGATCATCACACTATTTGCTCTACTTTTCTGTACTTTAAAAATTTTCCTTGTTCAAAAAAATAAAATACAATTCTATAAAAAGAAAAATTACTGCACATTAGTAAACTACATCTAGTTTAAACTAAGCCTGGTACCTAAATGATATTCGTTCAATACAAATGCATATTTCATATACAGAGACAAAACTAAATTAAAAGAAAACTGATTTCAAAGTAAATACAGACCAGACACATCACCAAGATAACTAGGGGGTGATTACAAGCTTTACTAAAGTAACATTTCCCCCAAAAAAGGCTTAAAAGAATAAACCATTCCAAACTGGGTGGCTCAGTCAGTCAGGCATCCAACTCTTAATTTTGGCTTAGGTCATGATCGCGGGGTCTTAAGAGAGAGCCCCCCATCAGGCTCTACGATCGGTATGGAGTCTGAGATTCTCTCTCTCCCTCTGCTCCTCTCCCCCTTTGCACTCTCAGTAAATAAATAGAATCTTATAAAAAAAAAAGAATAAACCATTCTAATGGGAGTGAAACTGCTGAATTTTGCGTTAATTCATTATCTACTAAAACAGAGATAATATCTGTCCTAATGAAGCCTAGTGGGCTATGTTTCTGGTACTTTCAAATATCCTTAGGGGCAAAAGGGAACTTGACAGCACACATAAGGGATGTTCCTTGTATCCTACTATAAAAAGCAAGTATTTCTAGAATCTTCTCTATTAGAACTACTTATTCTACCATATGGTATGCTTTACAAAAGTAGATCCAGAGATAAAAAGGATTTAGATCTCAGACTAATAAAGATTAGACAGTATTAAAAAAAAAAAAAAATTCTGAGTACAGATTTACAGGCTGATTCCTCCAGACACTAGTAACTTCAAAATAAAGAAAGAAGACAGCAAGGGAACCAGGGGTAGGAGGGTACAGAGAAATGTTGCTCCCAGTAAATCCTATTTTACCTGGAGAAAAGGTAATTATATAAATGGTGGGGGGGGGGTAGAAAATGTCCAACCTTAGTAACAGTTACTAATTAATAAACAACTTCGAAAGAGTAAAATTTACTTACTTTGTCAACACCCATTCTCTTAAAACCTGCTTGTAGTATTTTGAAGTTCTGGATGTATTCATGTTCTAGCTTAGCCTGGAATTTCACTTTCTTCAAGGCAATGGAGCCAGGGAACAGCATGTCCATAAACTGACAGTAGGCAGCCCCTGAAGGAACAAGAGAAGATTAATATACACACTTAGGTCATTAAATACTATCATTAAAGAAGCAGGATGAACTGGGGTACCTGGGTGGCTCAGTAGGTTGAGCATCCAACTCGTGATTTCAGCTCAGGTCATGATCTCAGGGTTGTGAGATCGAGCACCCTCCCCCCACTCTGGGTCAGGCTCCACACTCAGAGGGGAGTCGGCTTGAGATTTTTTTCTCTCCCTCTGCCTGATTCCCCCCACCTCACATGCTTCTTAGAATAAATAGATTTTTAAAATAAATAAAGAAGCAGGATGAACTTTTACCCAAACCTACTTAACCCACATACAATTTTTTTTTGTTTATTTTTTTTTTATTTGAGAGAGAGAGAGAGATAGCAAGAGCAGGAACACAAGCAGGGGGAGTGGGAGGGGGGAAGCAGGCTTCGCACTGAGCAGGGAGCCCAATGTGGGGCTCGATCCCAGAACCCTGGGGTCATGACCTGAGCCGAAGGCAGACGCTTAACGACTGAGCCACCCAGGCGCCCCCAACCCACATACAATTTAAAAAGATGTAAAGTGGACCTATACTGGGGTGCCTAGATGACTCAATCGGTAGAGCATGTGACTCTTGATCTTGGTGGTGTGAGTTTGAGCCCCATGTTGGGGGCAGAGTTTACTTACAACAACAACTAAAAAAAAAAATAAAGTGGACCACAAAACCCAAAAACGTCATTACTACTTGACGTCAAAGTCAATTTCTCAAAATCTCTAACAAGACTGGTTTCACCTAAATTCTAACATACTTGCAATCTGGAAGTCTGTGATGAGGAGAGAAGAAATGTTCCTATGTTAAAACTTTATAAGAAACAAGCATGACAATAAAATGACCACTACAAAGAAAAATGAACCCCTAGAAGAGAAAAAAGGGAAACAGGTGATTCCATCTGAGTTTTTGCAAGGACATATCCTCCTCCCCATTGATAGGAGTAGGGATTTCCCAAGTATTTCAAAGATCCATTCCCTGACCTAGGTTAAACAAATGTTTTTCTAAGATGTCGGTCTCCCTGAGGTCTTACATCTCTAAATAAACTTAACCTTTGTTTATAAAGAAAGTTAAATAGAAGAAATTTTTGGTGGCGCCTGGGTGGCTCAGTCGTTGGGTGTCTGCCTTCGGCTCAGGTCATGGTTCCAGGGTCCTGGGATGGAGCCCCACGTCGGGCTCCCTGCTCTGCGGGAAGCCTGCTTCTCCCTCTCCCACTCCCCCTGCTGTGTTCCCTCTCGCTGTATCTCTGTCAAATAAATAAATCTTAAAAATAAATAAATAAATAAAATCTTAAATAAAAAGAAATTTTTTTCATTTTTTTATTTTAAAAGCAGCTATAGAAAATTATTACATATATTTCATCCTATTTGCTTTCCAATTCCATTCCTTCCCCCACTTGCCCATTTTTTCCCATCACCACCCCCAGAAGTATTTTCTTGGTCCTTAAAATTTCCATGAATGTAATTTCTCTAATGCCTACCGAACTGCACTCTCCTAAGACAGGGCAGGCTTCACTGTGCACTTAGTGGCCTTGCAGGGCTGATGTGCCAAAGGAACAGCCAGGGAAGGAGGCAAGAAATCCACTGACTTAAGTAAAAGGTGTTCTGCAGAATGAGACTGCCATCATATGCATAGTCAACTTAAACTCAGACCAATCTGGCTCCCTGCCAGTTCTAGCATAAACAGTGCCATTATCATTATTTTTGGAAAGAAGATGGAAAGAGCGGAAGCACTTCAGTGACCAAAGTGGCATTCTGCGTAGAAAAAAGCATCAAAAAGTGAAAGCCTGATTTTCGAGGTGCCCAATTTACTTCCTCATCCAAAAAAAATATACTGAAGGAATTCTGTGTATCAGGCACTGAATTAGCAATATTTATATTTTTAAAATAGGGACACAAATAGCTCCTAAATTCTAGAGAACAATGACCCAGTTTCTTTAACAAACTAATAGCATAAAGAAGGGTAATTTGTTACATTTATTTTTTTTTTTTTTTTTAAGTAGCCTCCACACCCAGCATGGAGCCTAATGCAGGACTTGGAACTCATGACTCTGAGATCAAGACCTGAGCTGAGACCAAAAGTTGGCCGCTTCACCAACTGAGCCACCCAGGTGCCCCTGTTATATTTTAAAAGAGATTTTAAAGTCATAATCTACCAACTGCAATGTACAGATCTTGTTTGGATCCAGATGCATACAAATCAACTCAAAACGTGCGCATGCACACACACACACAAGATAATCTATTAGGCATCTATATTCATAGCACTGTGTTATACATGAAAGTATTTTTCTGAAACAGCAAAATAATGTGCATTTACTAGATACACACTATTATTCTCAAGCCAGCCACTGACTTCCCACTAAAGTCAACCAAAACCACTTAAAAGCAGCAATCATCTGCTTCTCACAGAAAACTTGCTTGGGGCATCTGGGTGGCTCAGTTGGTTGAGCGTCTGCCTTCAGTCAGGTCATGATCCCAGGGTCGAGGGATCGAGGTTCGGCATCGGGCTCCCTACTCGGAGGGGAGCCTGTTTCTCCCTCTCCCTCTACCCCTTCCCCCTGCTCGTGCTCTTTCTCCCCCTCTCAAATAAAATCTTCAAAAAAGAAAAAACAGTTCTTTATTTTAGAGCTAGGAGAATTCTTAGAGCCATTATAAATTTAAAAACTGTGGCCCAAGACCACAGAGGCCAGAGACCAAGCTTGGGACCAGAACCCAGGTATCCTGACTCCCTGTCCACTGCTCTTTTCCACAGTGCCACCAGACTTCCTCTTACAACACCCTGTAGCTGAATAAAGAAGCATTTCCTGGATTGGGGGGGAAGGGGGGAAGGATATGCCATGCTGTAACTGGCTGAAACGGAGAGATGATACATAAAGAAAAACATTAAAACCTCATTAAAAATGGACAGAGCAATTGGACAATTCACAAAAGAAATATAAATGGCTAATAAACACATGGGGACTCATCCTAAGGAAATAATTAAAAAAGAATAGGGCAAAGACTCACTTATGAAACTGGCTATGCTAACTTCATTCACAGGAGTAAAAAATGGAAGCAACCTTTATGTCCAACAGTAGGAGCAATCAATTAGCACACCAGCTGCCTAAGAGATATTATGCAAGCATTCAAAATACATTTTTTTTTATTTGCGGGGAAAACTCAAGATCTAATGTTAAAAGAAAAAGCAAGATACAGAAACATACCCATAAAATGTCTTCATATATATAAAAATAGCCACTCTAATATATATACGCATAGAAAAAAAAACCACAATGGGGACGCCTGGGTGGCTCAGTCAGTTAAGCGTCTGCCTTCAGCTCAGGTCATGATCCGAGGGTCCTGGGATCGAGTCCCACAAGGAGCCTGCTTCCTCTGCCTGCCTCTGTCTCTCTCTCTCTGACAAATAAATAAAATCTTAAAAAAAAGAAAAAACACAATGTTATCAGGTTAAACCATATGAAATTACTGTTTTGTAGATCAAAAATGACTTAATAGTGGCCATCTCTGGGGGGTGGTACTGAATGCATTCTGTTTTTTAAATATTCAATTATGTACTACAGTAAATATTACTTTTTTTACTTTTTATTTTTAAGTAAACTCTACACCCAACATGGGGCTTGAACTCACCATCCCAAGATTAAGAGTCACATGCTCCACTGACTGAGCCAGCCAGGTGTCCCAGTAAATATTACTTTTATAATCAGAACACAAAAAAAGAAAGCAAATGTTTAAAAGAAAAAAATCTATCAGCTCCTTTTCACAAAAGGGCTGAAAACTCCTGGCCTATAAATGTCCCAACTAGGTAAAAAATAGGTTAAAAAGGGGCCTGCCTTCCAGTCTGCCTTAATAACAAAGGTTGGCAACACAAGCAGGGTCCCTCTCAGATGGCTGCTGACCCAATGATCTGTGGCAGGAGAACTGGCCCACATAATCTGTGGCCTGAGGATGCAGACAGACTTAGGGCAGGACCAGCCGTATGTCACTGCATCAAATACCAAGTCTCACCGGCTGCTGCGGCCTCACCCTACCAAGTTCTGTGCTGCAAGGAGAGAACACAAAACAAGGCAACCCCTGATCCAAAAGCTTGCACTATCTCAAGTGCACTGGCTCTCAACCCTTTCAGGTCCAGAGACCCTGGAGAATTAGAAGAAAACTGCAGCCAACATTCTGCACAGAAGAGATGCTTCCCAATAAGAAGACTCCAGGTGAAAAGCTGCCAAAGTTCTACCACAACACACAGGAAACACACTGACTACTAAATGTAAGCATGTTCAGACTTTAGAGAATAGGTGAGGCTTGAGTCATCTTAAAGTAAAATTTAGAAATAGAGGGTTATGAGGAGTCACTAATGCAGATATTAAAAATCAGCCTCGGGGCGCCTGGGTGGCTCAGTCGGTTAACCGTCTGCCTCCGGCTCAGGTCAGGATCCCAGGGTCCTGGGATCGAGCCCCACATCAGGCTCCCTGCTGCTTCTCCCTCTCCCTCTGCCACTCCCCCTGCTTGTGCTCTCTCTCTGTGTCAAATAAATAATATCTTATTTTTAAAAAATCAGCCTCAAGGTATTTTAACATGGGAAAAATAATCCTATTTTAATTTTAAAAGCAGGAAACAAAACTGTCCAGCATATACATGTGCTTGTTACTTAATGTAATGTCTGTAAGAGCAACAGACTGGAAAGAAACCAAATGTCCGTTGTTAGGGGACTGCTCGCTCCAAGGAAATTAGAATCTACACAGCCAAAAAAGAAAGGAAAGTGGTTATCTGATACACTGATACGAAACATCCTCTGGAATATAGAGTGTGATTAAACATGCTACCAACTGTGTAAAAAAGGAGAAAAGAGAACACAAAATATGGACAGATGTTTTTGCTTGTACATATACACTCTCTCTGGAGCAGGAAACTGGGTGGCTAGTTGACAGGGTTAAGGAGGAAGCTTTTCACTGTTTATCTTTTTGCTCCTTTTGAATTTTAAACCATTTTGAGACCTTCAGTTATTTCAAAATACTCAAAAAACAAGAACTGTATATACAGTGTATGTCAATTATTTTTAATAATTATAGCTAAATACTGAAAGTACAGCTACAATAAATGACCTTGGGCAAGTTGTTTACCCTCACTATGCCTCGGTTTCTCCAACTATAAAATGGGGATGATAGTCCTTACCTTCCAGGTTATATATGTAAAGCACTTTGGAAAGTGCCAGGCCTATGATAAGTGCTGAATAAATAAAGCCATAATTAGGGGGAAAAAATACATCTAAAAGATAACACCACCACTAGCTTGTGACATGATAGCAGATTATGGTTTTCTTCTTAATACATTTTGTAAGACCCAATAACTTATAATTAGAAAAGTTTCTTGTCTTTTGTTTTAATCAAGGCAAAGAAAAACCAAGAAGGTACTTGAAGAGTCAGGCAAAAAAGCTGGAAGAGATCCTTCCTTGAGCAGAGGAGTGACTCAATAAAAATGGTCTCTAAGAAAGGCTGCAGACTACTGTGGCGCCAGAGGAACCCGGTGAGGGGGAACCCGGTGGGGGGAACGCGGAGGGAACCCGTGCCTGGTGAGAGGCCACTGTGGCAGCAGTGAGCAAACAGAGAAGGGGCTAGATCCAAAACACCCATCAGAAGACATACAGAACTTGGTGAATTAGTCTCTTTGGAGGCCTGTAACACTGGAAAAATGGTGAAATCATGACCCAAAATGGAGCGTCTGGAAAAGGGAGCTAACCTGATGAGAAAATGAAGTGGAGGAGGCCTGGTTAGGGGCGTGGTCACGCTCAGAGCAGCATGAGCAAGACTGACAGGCCTTTTTTTTTAAAAAAAGATTTTATTTATTTGACAAAGAGACAGCGAGAGAGGGAACACAAGCAGGGGAGTGGGAGAAGCAGGCTTCCCTCAGAGCAGGGAGCCCGATATGGGGCTCAATCCCAGGACCCTGGGATCATGACCTGAGCTGAAGGCAGATGCTTAACAACTGAGCCACCCAGGCATCCCATGACAGGCCATTTTAGAGAAACTCAAGGGCTCCTACAAGCAGCTGAGGAATAAGGAAATCTAGCATTTGCCGGGGAGTGTCTGCACACCTGCACCTCTCCTATTCTGGGCAGCATAGGAACTATGGAGGCGAGGCTAGAGCAGAGGAGACAAGAAGAGAAGGGGGCGCTGAGAAAACTCAGTGAGGGACACTCTACAGGTTCAAAGAAGCATGGTGGGCCCTTGGAAACATGCGGAGGGCCTGAACATGGAATGGAACTGAGGGAACAGGGGACTGGTTGACAAAAAGCAACCAGCATCCCCTGTCTGATATAAGCAATCCCTCATCCAAATCATTCTCAGTGATCAGGGTTTTTTTCTTGACGACTATCTTTCCAAAATACTTCATGACTAGCTCTCAAAAACAGGGAGACTATGGAATGGAAAGGAACCCTGAAACAACCTATCAACCGTGACTCAAAGTTACCCTCCCCTTACCTCACAAGAGCCAGGCAAAGGCTTGTTTCACTGGCGGGGCGGGGCAGGGCCACAATGCTGACAAAACTCGGCAATTTCATAGGCAACCAGCACATTAATAGTGCAGGACCTCAGAGCTTTACTCTCTCAAGAGAAAAACCTATTCCTACCCTTCAAGGCTTGGGTTTCATAGAAGATTCTAGTCACCTTGATCCTCTGCTCATAAGAGGTAAGAATGGGAGGGACCACGCACCAGTGTTAAAGGGTACTGGGATGCTGCTTAGGCCTCAGAAAATGCAAGGGTCTAAGGAACCTCACTTTCGCCAGGACTCCCAATTCCCCGGCAGCAGGCCTTCTCCAAGGACATGGTGTCTGCAGCTCATTCTGTTTGGTCTCATGTTGAAAACAGAGACCTGGTTTTCTAAACATCGATGTGAAACATTATGCAACCATCTACATACTTGGGAGAGAAGTCGTACACAGCTCCCAGAGGAAAACCAACTATGAATGAATAAAAGTTTGCTTACAAGTCAGTTAAGTGTCCTGCACTTAGCACTTTCTGCTCTGGAAAAGCACTTTATCCAGGATAAGAAAAATGGCAGGCAGCTTACAAAGCTGAAATTCTTCATAGGGATTTTTAATGAGACAATTATCATTGTAATTAATTATATATAATTTACATTTGTTTAACTCTCTTCCAAACGCTTCTTTTAAAAAGATATTTCGTGAAAAAAAAAAAAAAAGATAGAACATGAATGCAGCACAAAGAGTGTCGGTTCAGTGGTCAGAAAGATCTGGGTTCAAAACCCGGCTCTGTAATGCATAAAGCTGTGCTCCACAGACAGTCTCCTCGTTTGTAAGAGAAGCATATGCACGCTCCCTTGAGAGAGCTACGCTCACATCCAGGGTCTGGCACAGAATCAGTATCTGAGAGCTATTTTTACAGGTGGGCCTGGTCCTACTACTCCAGTTTACAAATGAGGAACTAGAACATTAAGGGACTCGTCCAAAATTACGGCTCACAGCAGACTGAAGCCTCTTCAAGCCCAGTCTTGACTATCCACAACAGCTCCCTGTCTGATCTGGAGCCAGATCATACATGTACCACTCATCTACACATGAAAAGATATCTAGGGACACCCGGATGGCTCAGGCGGTTAGCATCCAACTCTTGATTTTGGCTCAGGTCATGATTTCAGTATTGTGAGATCCAGCCCAGTCAGGAGTCTGCTCGAGATTCTCTCTCTCCTTCTCCCTTTGCCCCTCCCCCACCCATGCCCGCACGCTCTCTCCCTTTCTCTTTCTAAAAATAAATAAATCTTTAAAAAAAGAGAGAGATCTAATTTTCTAATTAAGTGAAATATATTTCAGAGTATATTTAAGGAAAGAGGTAAATTTTAGGGAGAAATTGCTGGTGAAAAAGCTGGCTCCAATGAAAACTGGGATGACCTCATCCCCACATTAGTCACAAATCACAGGGCAAAAAAGTGTTTTAAGAGCCTCAAACAGGGGCGCCTGGGTGGCTCAGTTGGTTAAGCCACTGCCTTCGGCTCAGGTCATGATCCTGGAGTCCCGGGATCGAGTCCCGCATTGGGCTCCCTGCTCGGCGGGGAGTCTGCTTCTCCCTCTGACCCTCCCCCCTCTCATGTGCTTTCTCTCTCTCTCAAATAAATAAATAAAATCTTTTAAAAAAAAAAAGAGCCTCAAACAAATGGGGATGTGGTGATGGGACTGAGGGAACAAACAAAAACTGGGGGGAAGGCAGCACAGATCTAAGGCTAACAACCTGTGCCTTCAACTAACCTGTGCCTGCTACAACTAAAGTAACTAGTGAGAAACTAGCATGACTCATGAGCACCATCTTTTCACTATACAACTTCATATGGAGCCTCCCCCTGACCATCTGCAAAATGGAGATTAAACCTCACAGAGGATGTAACAAGATGAGCAAATGAAACTAAGAGCAAGACTCGGATCCAGCTATAAAATAAGGAAGTATAGAAGCTGAATTCATTTTATTTTTAAAAATCACATAAATGAAAACAGTAATTTTACTTTTTAAAATTTATTGGGAGAGAGAGCATGCACAAGCAGGGGGAGGGGTAGAAGGAGAAAGAGAGACACTCTCAAGCAGACTCCCCACTGAGCAGAGCCCGACGCAGGGCTCATTCCCATGACCCTGAGATCCTGCCATGAGATGAAATCACGAGTCAGACATGCAACCAACTGAGCCACCCAGGCGCCCTGAAGGCAGTAATTTTAAACCAATCCAAATGGGGGCGCCTGGTTGGCTCAGTCGGTGGAGTATGTGCTCTTGATCTCGGGGTTGCAAGTTCAAGCCCCACGTTGGATGTAGACATTAATTAAAAATAAAATCATAAATAAATAAATAAATAAATCCAAATGGCACCGGTAAAGGAAAAGTCTGAAGAATGAGTAGGGCATGGGGATTGAAAAATATCGGCTCTTGATTTGAACAAAGATTCAAGTCTCAATTCTGTTCTTGGCTGTATAACCCAGGACTTGTTACTCAGTTTCTCTAAGCCGTTTCCTCATCTGTAAACTGGGGTTAATAAACATCTCTACCTCATGGGAGCTATAGTGAGAAAAGAGATATCGGAAAAACATTTACATGACCCTGGCACATTAAGTGTTCAATTAAATGACTGCTGTTGTTACACCCAGGAATAATTCTACTTCTCTCCCACAAATAAGATAAGAATTGAAGTAGCAGCAAGGTGTACATCTCATCCTTCTGGCATATTCTTAACCCCACCTTATCTTTGGTAGACCCAGTTTTGGTAATCCCAACACAATTCATACCATGTGAGGACAGTCAAGGGCAGTCAGTAGAACCCCCAAAGGTGAGACAGGAAGTCTATAGAGGAAGTATAAACAAATAACATCTTCATGAAAAATAATTACCAAGAGCGCAGAGTTCATACTCTTTGATCTAGTAATTCCATTTCTAGGATTCACTATGGAAAAATTAGAAACCACCTAAATGTTCCCAAATCAGGAAGATATTAAACAACTCTAGCATATCCACAGAAATAGCACACAGCCATTAAAAATAAGTTATTTTTATGATAGTGAATGACACTAGAGAATGTCCTCAATATAGTTACGTGAAAAAAGCTGGGATATACACAAATATATATGTGCAGAGAAAAGTGAAAGAAAATATCCCAACAGCGGCTTTCTCTGAATAATGGAACTACCAACATTTTTTATTTTCTTCTTTCTAGTTCTTTAAATGTCAATTAGTATACACAGAGAAAAAAAAAAAAACACCACGTTTCTATTCTCGTTTTAAATCATTACCTCTCCGTAAAATCCTTATTAAACAACAGTTCAATAAAATTGTGGCTCAAATGGCATTTGCCTGACTTTGGTCTTGTGCTGTCTGGGAATAAGACATGCCACTGATAAAACTAATATAAAGCTAGAACAGTTACAACTGTCATCTTCAAAGAGAACATTTCAAATCTGGATGCACAAGAGTGCAGACGGAGAAGCTGGGCTAAGTGAAGGCGTCGGAATGTAAAGATGGTGGCACAGAAGAACACTCTCTCACAGCACAGTTCCTTCCAGAAGTGGAACTGGGGTGGGCTGAAAGGAAGAAACAGGGCAGCCTGACACAGAACCTGAACCTGTGGCCTCTGCAGTCAGATACAGGCCTGTCCATTCCTGAAGGACCTGCAGGCTTCCCTGGAAAAATGGTCTAGTGGATTTCTCTTACCTGAGCACAACTGTTCGATCTTCGTCAGATTCAGCTGCAGAGACTCATTGATCCAGGCCAGCATGTCATGTCGACTTAGGTTATCACTGGTGACTGATGTTGAATATACGTTCACTGCCATCTTCTACAGCATGTGAGGAAAAGAGAAGAGCTTACATTATTAGGCATGCAAGAGAGATTAAGCATTTCCTGAAGAGTCAGTCACCCAGAGCAGACCTGTAGTAGACTCAATTTTTAAGCCTCGCCTTCTTCCCCAAGAGGCCAAATCAGACACTAGGATTCCAGAAATGAACTTGGATTGCTACACATAAGCATAACCCTAAATGAACTGCCCAACCCCTGCCAGCCTAAAAGTTAGGCCCCATTCTAATGTGATTAGTATTAAATTTTAAGGAACCAGACACTAAGTAAAGAGATGATTAAATGCTCTATGAAGGGGGCGCCTGGGTGGCTCAGTCAGTCAGGCATCTGCCTTCAGCTCAGGTCATGATCCCAGGGTCCTGGGATAGATGGAGCCCCATATAGGGCTCCTTGCTCAGCAGAGAGCTGGCTTCTCCCTCTGCCCCTTCCCCCACTCATGCTCTCTCTCGCTCTCTCTCTCACACTCTCTCATAAATAAAATCTTTAAAAAAAATAAAAATAAATGCTCTATGAAAGAGGCTGATGTACAAACAACGTTCTCTGTTCAGAAAACTTATCCATTAACATTAAAATGTTCACAGCAGTTTCCTTCAGATGGTGGGCCTTTGTTAATTCCTCTTTATAGTTTTCATAATTTTCCAACTTTTCTTTAAAGACTATACCCAGGGGCGCCTGGGTGACTCAGCTGGTAAGCATCTGCCTTTGGCTCAGGTCATGATCCCAGGGTCCTGGGATGGAGCCCACATCGGGCTCCCTGCACCGTGGGAAGCCTTGCTTCTCCCACTCCCCCTGCTTGTGTTCCCTCTCTCGCTGTGTCTCTCTCTGTCAAATAAAGAAATAAAATCTTTTAAAAAAACAAATAGGGCGCCTGGGTGGCTCAGTTGGTTAAGCCACTGCCTTCGGCTCAGGTCATGATCCTGGAGTCCCTGGATCGAGTCCCGCATCGGGCTCCCTGCTCGGCAGGAAGTCTGCTTTGTCCTCTGACCCTATCCCCTCTCATGTGTTCTCTCTCTCTCATTCTCTCCTCTCAAATAAATAAATAAAATCTTTAAAAAAAATAAAATAAATAAAGACTATACCCATTTTTTATAATCAAAATAGTAAATAAACTTTTCAAAAACCTACATACTACAAATGTGGTGGGAAATGACCTTACAGTGAAGGGTCCTTGGTACTAATACTCTCCTGAACCACCTGAGTATAGGAAGACATCTGAGGAGCTTCACAGATACTTGTCATTTACCCTTACAACTGCCCAAAAGGGTCACCTCATTCTCCTCATTTTACAGATGAGGAAAGAGAGGCTCAACCTAGAAGCCCTGGGAACTAGTAGCCAACCCTGCCCAGCCCTGCCACTAGAAAATGCTGCCCCTCACTGTTCTGCTAGGCTTTCAAATTCAAAACACAACACAGAAACACAGTAACTTAAAATGGTATTAAACGTGAACAAATGTTTACCAAGCACTGTTCTAAGGCCAAGGAAACAGTTAAGCAAGAGAGACAAGTTGCCTGTCCACAGGCAGTTCATGTTCTAGTAGTGGAAGTCTAACACAGACCAAAAACACAAACAAATGTCATTTCATATCGACCATTTAGGAAATAGGGGTGGTGGGGAATGTGGTCAGGGAAAGTCTCTCTGAGGTGACATTTGAGCTTAACAATCAGAAGGAAGCAGTCACATTTGGTTGTAACCCAATAAGCAAGAGGGAGAGCGGGAACAGAAGTGGGAAAAGAAGCGAAGAAGCCAGATCATGTTAGGACTCGGCAGGCCATGGTAAGCAGTTTCGATTTTATTCTGGAATTGCTAAGGAATCCATTGTGGGGATTTAAACAGGGTAGAACCACACCCTCCTTTAAGTTTGTGAAGGGGTTCAGGACACCCCCCTCCCAGAATGTGCCACTTTGGCAAGTGGATTATTTTGAGTTAAGGCACTTGAGACCCTGTTGAGCTGAAAAACTTTTGTCCCTCCCGTTACCACACAGAAGAATCTAAACTGGGAGGGTCTTTCCAGACTAAGGGGTATTAGCAGAGATAAATTTTATCTGAGTGACCCATCTGTACAGTAGGGCAAACATCTAATTGCCAAACACCTGCTCTTATTGCCCTGTGAAATGCATTCCTTTCCTCTGAAATCCCAGACCTCTACCTGCTTCTACTGAGAGTAACATATAGACCTCATTTTGCCTGTCTTTGGCATTCCCATCTATGCGGATTTCCCGTATATACACCTATTAAATTTTATTTTCTCCTGTTAATCTGTCTCATGTCAATTTGATTCTCAGTCCAGCTAGAAGAACCTTGGAGCAGACAGGAATTCTTTCTCCCCAACATATGAAAAAGATCACCCGACTGCTGGTAGAGGACCGTGGGAAAGGAAAACTCAAGCAATGAGGGAAGGGCAGGTTGATCCAGACCTAATGAAATCCCTGGTCAATTACCATGAAGACACACAACTAACTATAAAGCACCAGATTTCATAGTGACCTTGACATAATTTCCCTCATTTCCTGAGATACCAATATTACCAATGAAGAGTAAAAACTCAGAGCAAATTTGGAACCATCATGAGAGCCCATGATCTCTTGTGGCACTTCCTTCCATCCACCTAGTGCCTAGTGAGTTGGTCTTCCTAAACCAGTCTCCTGCAAGCCTCATGAGTCATACAGCTACAGAATATGAGGGCTGGAAGAAACAGAGATCTACCCAACCAATCGCCTTTTTATAAGCGGGGTGACTGAGAGCTGGCAAGATAAATAACTTATCAGGTCTGTGCCCTCACATCCCACATTCACCCATCCTCCACAGCACTTGGCACAGTGCCTCGCACACAGCACTCAGTAAATGCTATTTGTTTTCAGGTTGGCAGGACAGTGTCAAACACAGAAAACTGTATCTATATAAACTTTTTTCAGAAAGGAAAGCATCAACACTCTTACATTTTTAAACTCAGATGATAAAACCATTTTATAAATATAAGAAGCCAACACAATTAAGTTCCTAACTCCACTGGGAAATTAATTCCTGTTCCCACAGCACTTCATTCAAACCTCTATGATAGGCATTATCACACTGGATTGTCATTATCTCTCATTTCTGAATCATTCCCAGACCAGATTTGCACCAGGAGGCTATTTGCTCTATGAAAAGACCCAAGGATTTCAAGCCAAGAAGACCTGGGTTTGAGAAGAGTGTGAGGCCATCACTCTTTTGCTGTATGACCCTGGGCAAGTTACTCAACTTCAGTACACCTTAGTTATCTTATGAGTTAATGCCACCTACCTAAAAATTACAAGGTGAGGTTTAAATGAGATAAGGTACATAAAATGCTTGGCATGGCATCTGACAACATAACAGGTATTAAACAAACAAGATCCAGGGTAGGGATGGACCTAGTCCCACTCATCCTCCTACCTCCAGTGCCAAAAACAGTGCCCAAGACCTGCTACCATCTCTCATCCGGATCCACTGCAACAGCCTTCAAATTAGTCCCCCTGCTTTAATCTGTCCTTATACAGCAACCACAACAAATTTCCTGAATCACAAATCAGATCAGGTGTCTTCCCTATTTAAAATCCCTGAATGAATGAATAAATGAAATGCATATTGTGTGCAAAATACTATTACCAGGTACCAAGGAGAGACACATCCAAACAAAAAAGTTCCAGGCTAAGCACTTGTAATCTATTTTGGCGACATTCATACATACAATGGGTAATGTACGGGTCATGCTACCATAAAATGTAAGCAGCTGGTTAAGCCACGTGTGTCTCCTGACCACACCCCAGCTCAGAAAACGTTAATGGCCTTTCATCATCATATAATTTAAAACGCTTTCATTAGCAGTACATTAATACCTGGTCCCATGTGCTCCGCAAACTCTGCAGCCACTAAATACATGGGGTTAGGCACCCTGTGGATATGCAATAAACATCCACTGACTCAACCAATTAATTGGCTCTTCCAGGCAGTCAAAAGAGAGTCTAGTTCTCAGAGGTATGGCTACAGCTAGCTACAGCTTACTCTTCCTCCATAAGGATTCCACTGCTTTGGCCTCAACGGAAAACCCCACAACCACTGTGCCAGCCTCACCTTTAAAAGGCTCCGTGATCCAGGTTTCAACTGCTTTGAAAAACCTCTCTTACCTCCCCAGGTATCTCTCCTCCCTCAGTTCTCCTAGCATGTTCTCAAACCCATTCTGATTGGATGCTGGCTGAGGGGCACCCTATTACTTTCAAAGGCACCATACTGAGCCCTATGGAAAGAGAGGGAGGGAGGTACTGCCAGAAAACAGTCATGTGACCCTGAGTAAACACCTCGCCTTTCTGGATCACAAATGGCTCACCTGTAAAAGATGAACAACATATTCTGCACAAGGTGCTGGTGAGGAGTAAATGAGAATCTAGTGAAAACACTTCAGTGAAAAGAACATCATGTCTTAAGCTTCTCTTTGTGCCAGAAACTGTGTTAGGCACTTTGACACACCACCACCAAGGGCAAATTGGTATAACACACACTAGCTCTCAGGCGGGCAGCATAATATAGAGGTTAAAAGCCTGGACTCATGATCACAGATGCGGCTTCAGCCAACTGCTGGACAGCATAAAGTAAATCGCTTGACCTCTCGGAGTCTCAGTCCTTCATTTGTAAAATGAAGGCAGGATCTCTTAGAGAGAGTATGGTATTAAATGATACAATGCCACATCAAGCATTTAACACAATGCCTGGCACACAGCAAGTGCCCAATTAGCAAAGAGAGCTATTATTATCTTACAGCACCCCAAGAGGGAAGTGAATGCCAGGCCTGGTCTATGTTCCCTTCAATGGGCCTCAGGATCCTCATCCTCAAAATGGGGGAGAGGCCAAACTCTATCCTGAAGCACCTCAGGGCAGCTGTGAAGCAGGGGCTGGAAAAGCACTGTTCATATCACCCTGTTATACTGTCTTCGTAGTAATTATATGAAATTATCTTGTCCATGTATTCATT